GAGGACACAGACTCTCAGATCTAACAGGTCCTTATAGAAAGGAAGGCCCCATCAGAGAGGAATGAGGACACAGACTCTCAGATCTAACAGGTCCTTATAGAAAGGAAGGCCCCATCAGAGAGGAATGAGGACACAGACTCTCAGATCTAACAGGTCCTTATAGAAAGGAAGGCCCCATCAGAGAGGAATGAGGACACAGACTCTCAGATCTAACAGGTCCTTATAGAAAGGAAGGCCCCATCAGAGAGGAATGAGGACACAGACTCTCAGATTTAACAGGTCCTTATAGAAAGGAAGGCCCCATCAGAGAGGAATGAGGACACAGACTCTCAGATTTAACAGGTCCTTATAGAAAGGAAGGCCCCATCAGAGAGGAATGAGGACACAGACTCTCAGATCTAACAGGTCCTTATAGAAAGGAAGGCCCCATCAGAGAGGAATGAGGACACAGACTCTCAGATTTAACAGGTCCTTATAGAAAGGAAGGAAGGCCCCATCAGAGAGGAATGAGGACACAGACTCTCAGATTTAACAGGTCCTTATAGAAAGGAAGGCCCCATCAGAGAGGAATGAGGACACAGACTCTCAGATTTAACAGGTCCTTATAGAAAGGAAGGCCCCATCAGAGAGGAATGAGGACACAGACTCTCAGATCTAACAGGTCCTTATAGAAAGGAAGGCCCCATCAGAGAGGAATGAGGACACAGACTCTCAGATTTAACAGGTCCTTATAGAAAGGAAGGCCCCATCAGAGAGGAATGAGGACACAGACTCTCAGATTTAACAGGTCCTTATAGAAAGGAAGGCCCCATCAGAGAGGAATGAGGACACAGACTCTCAGATTTAACAGGTCCTTATAGAAAGGAAGGCCCCATCAGAGAGGAATGAGGACACAGACTCTCAGATCTAACAGGTCCTTATAGAAAGGAAGGCCCCATCAGAGAGGAATGAGGACACAGACTCTCAGATTTAACAGGTCCTTATAGAAAGGAAGGCCCCATCAGAGAGGAATGAGGACACAGACTCTCAGATCTAACAGGTCCTTATAGAAAGGAAGGCCCCATCAGAGAGGAATGAGGACACAGACTCTCAGATTTAACAGGTCCTTATAGAAAGGAAGGCCCCATCAGAGAGGAATGAGGACACAGACTCTCAGATCTAACAGGTCCTTATAGAAAGGAAGGCCCCATCAGAGAGGAATGAGGACACAGACTCTCAGATTTAACAGGTCCTTATAGAAAGGAAGGCCCCATCAGAGAGGAATGAGGACACAGACTCTCAGATTTAACAGGTCCTTATAGAAAGGAAGGCCCCATCAGAGAGGAATGAGGACACAGACTCTCAGATTTAACAGGTCCTTATAGAAAGGAAGGCCCCATCAGAGAGGAATGAGGACACAGACTCTCAGATCTAACAGGTCCTTATAGAAAGGAAGGCCCCATCAGAGAGGAATGAGGACACAGACTCTCAGATTTAACAGGTCCTTATAGAAAGGAAGGCCCCATCAGAGAGGAATGAGGACACAGACTCTCAGATTTAACAGGTCCTTATAGAAAGGAAGGCCCCATCAGAGAGGAATGAGGACACAGACTCTCAGATTTAACAGGTCCTTATAGAAAGGAAGGCCCCATCAGAGAGGAATGAGGACACAGACTCTCAGATCTAACAGGTCCTTATAGAAAGGAAGGCCCCATCAGAGAGGAATGAGGACACAGACTCTCAGATTTAACAGGTCCTTATAGAAAGGAAGGCCCCATCAGAGAGGAATGAGGACACAGACTCTCAGATCTAACAGGTCCTTATAGAAAGGAAGGCCCCATCAGAGAGGAATGAGGACACAGACTCTCAGATCTAACAGGTCCTTATAGAAAGGAAGGCCCCATCAGAGAGGAATGAGGACACAGACTCTCAGATCTAACAGGTCCTTATAGAAAGGAAGGCCCCATCAGAGAGGAATGAGGACACAGACTCTCAGATTTAACAGGTCCTTATAGAAAGGAAGGCCCCATCAGAGAGGAATGAGGACACAGACTCTCAGATCTAACAGGTCCTTATAGAAAGGAAGGCCCCATCAGAGAGGAATGAGGACACAGACTCTCAGATTTAACAGGTCCTTATAGAAAGGAAGGCCCCATCAGAGAGGAATGAGGACACAGACTCTCAGATTTAACAGGTCCTTATAGAAAGGAAGGCCCCATCAGAGAGGAATGAGGACACAGACTCTCAGATTTAACAGGTCCTTATAGAAAGGAAGGCCCCATCAGAGAGGAATGAGGACACAGACTCTCAGATTTAACAGGTCCTTATAGAAAGGAAGGCCCCATCAGAGAGGAATGAGGACACAGACTCTCAGATTTAACAGGTCCTTATAGAAAGGAAGGCCCCATCAGAGAGGAATGAGGACACAGACTCTCAGATTTAACAGGTCCTTATAGAAAGGCCCCATCAGAGAGGAATGAGGACACAGAGCAGCTGTCAGGCGGGTGGGCTCTGGGATTTGCTCGATGTGCTCCATTACTTCCTCTGCCCATAATGGGCCTGGCAAGACCACTTTCTGAGGCTGCTATGCTAGTTTAGAGTGAGGCCGCCTCTGGGTGCTCTTTCCGGAAACAACTACAATTTGCAATCTAACAGATAACATTCTACCAACCCAGGGCTCTTAAATGGTCCCTGAACAACAACAACAACAAAAACCCCATGGCAATTGAAGTTTTATTGGAATTAGTTAGACGAGGCCCTAAGCTTAATGAGTTTCTAGGAACCTTTGGAGTCACTGGATCCTGTACTGCATCTTGACATTGGTGTTCCCAACTCCAAATGCATATGGTTTCCTTCTAGCATTTGGTTTTGTTTGTTTGAAGGTTATCATGTTGCTCTGGCTGGCCTAGAAGTTGCTATGAAATTTAGGAAGACCTTGACCCCCAATCTTCCTATCTCTCTACCAAGTTCTGGGATTACAGGCATTGCCAATGCCTTCGATGTATGTGGTACAGAAGCCATACCCAGGACTTTGTGCATGCTAAATAAGCATTCTTTTTTCTTTCTTTCTTTTTTTCTTCCTCCCTTTCTTCCTTCCTTCCTTTCTTTTTTTCCTTTCTTCCTTCCTTCCTTCTTTCCTTTTTTTTTTTTTTTTTTAAGATAGGTCTCGCAGTCCTAGCTGGTTGCCTGGAACACTCTATTTTCTATGTAGACCAGGCTGGCCCAGCACACAGCAAACATTCTTTTTTTTTTTTAATTTGTTTATTTTTATTTTATGTGCATTGGTGTTTTGCCTACATGTATATCTGTGTGAGAATGTCAGATCCCCTAGAACTAAAATTACAGACAGTTGTTAGCTGCCATGTGGGTGCTGGGAATTGAACCTAGGTCCTGGAAGAGCAGCCAGTGCTCTTTAACCTCAGAGCCATCTCTCTAGCCCCACAAACATTCTTTTGAAACCTTTTTTGTAAATATGATTCTGTTTGGTAGTAGTGGTCCATGTAACATACAATTTGGAATGTGTGCATCAGGGCTTGGGAAAAATCTTGGCTCCAATCCTCTTCCTCACTCCTTGTCAGTTCCCTAGGGCCTCTGCTTCCAGTTCTGTCTCTAAAATGAAAGAGACACAAAAAGCACATTCTAGTTTTTGTTGTTGTTGTTTTGGGTTTTTGGTTTTTCGAGACAGGGTTTCTCTGTGTAGTTTTGGTGCCTGTCCTGGATCTTGCTCTGTAGATCAGGCTGGCCTCGAACTCACAGAGATCCACCTGCCTCTGCCTCCCGAGTGCTGGAATTAAAGGCGTGCGCCACCACTGCCCGGCTACATTCTAGTTTCAATAACCGAACTCAGCTTCAGCATTCTCTCTCTCCTCTGTGTTTCCCTGGCCACTGAGGCGAGGCGAGCTGCTCAGCTCTGCCACCACGGCTGTCCCTGGTGGGAGGAACTGAAACCTCTGAATCCATGAACAAAAGCAAACGTCCCCTTTAAAAAGGTCCCACTCCTTTTCTCTAACGCATAGTTTTCATCATTACTGGGGTGTGGTATAAACACAATGAAATAGTCAGTAGGATGGCTCAGCAGGTACAAGTGCCAGGCACGCCACCTGGAGCACTTGAGGTCCAGAACCCATGTTAAAAAGCCAGAGTAGTGGGTCAAATTTGTAATCCCATCTATAGGACTCTTAATCCGTTTTTAGCCACAGTGCTTTTGCTCATGTATACAGCACAGTGGCAAAAATAACAAGAGACCCTGCCTCTAAAGCAAGGCTTGGTTTCTTTAGTCATGGGACTGCTCTTTGATCTCCACATCTCCAGCCCCAGTATGCTCTCTATTGTTGGAGAGATCCATTTTGTAAGAAAGTTGGTCTGGCATTCAGGAGGCAGAGACAGACAAATCTTTGAGTTCAAGGATCATCCTGGTCTACATAGAGAGTTCTAGGCCAGCTGGAGATGGATAGTGAGACCCTGTACTCCTTACTTTTGTTCTATGGAATATACTCAGTTAGTAATAGAAAGATTATTCCAATGTTTGAGTAATCGTTTGTAAATCATGGACTTCTTAGGTCCCTCCTGGCTTTTCTCCTCTCTGACTTAATGGTCTTGAATTTAAACCCCGCAGTTTGTTTCTTGGTGTGTGTATAAAAACAGTGTCTTAGTTACTTTTCTGTTGCTGTGACAAAACACCATGACTAAGGCAACTTATAAAAATAAGAAAGCATTTGATATGGACTTATGAATTCAGGGCTTAGAGTTCATGATGCAGAGCAAAGAAAGCCAAGGTGGCAGGAAGAGCTGAGAGCTCACGTCCAGATCTACAAGCAGGAGGTGGAGAGAACACACCGGGTATGGCGTGAGCATTTTGAAATCTCAAGGCCATTCCAAATGACATACTTCTCCAGCCACCAACTGGGTGCCAGATACCAAATGCCTGTGACTTCTGGGGGACGTCACATTCAAACCACCCCTGCAAAGTGCTGTAAAAACACAAATGGTAATCATTCTAACCCTGAGTTGCTGTTTTGAAGGTCAAAGATGAACCAGACTCTCCTCCTGTGGCACTGGGCATGGTGGACCGATCTCGAATTCTGCTGTGTGTCCTCACGTTCTTGGGCCTCTCCTTTAACCCCTTGACTTCCTTGCTGCAATGGGGAGGGGCCCACGATGCTGACCAGCACCCATATTCAGGCTCTGGCCGCAATGTACTGTCACTGGAGTCAGGTAGGTGGGTCCCCTAATACTGCCTGGGTTAGGTGGACTGCTGTGACAAAAGGACCCTGTGTAAAACTGCATCGTGTATCTACCTAGTCCAAAACAGGGATGGGTCTCCTACCTGCTTGCTTCTAACAGGGGCTGGCCTAAGTTATGTACAATAAGACAAACTTAAGTTTAGTTGGAACAAACTGGAGCCTGCTTTGTTACAGTTACCATGGAGAGAGGGGGTGGGAGAGATAGGGGAAGTGCCTGCTTGAGGGACTGTGTGGTATTATGTCAGGTGTGAGATCGATGTCCTAATGTCCTGTAACTGAGTTGTTTGTGGCACTCAGCTCCATGGTGCCAGGGGATATAAAGATTCCTATTAGGCTATAGAATTGTCTACCATTTCTTCTGAAAATGATGCAGAAGGCTCTTTGATCTCACACTTCTGGAGCCCATCAGGTGCCTTGCTGTTCCACAAGGCCCTGCCTGGTAGTCTCAGCTGAGATGCCCCTCTTTAGGTTCTGGGGGCTGGTTTGACTGGATGATGCCAACTCTCCTCCTATGGCTGGTAAATGGTGTGATTGTCTTGAGCGTCTTTGTGAAGCTGTTGGTCCACGGGGAGCCAGTGATCCGCCCACACTCACGCTCCTCAGTCACCTTCTGGAGACACCGGAAGCAGGCGGACCTAGACCTTGCCAAAGTGAGTTCTGTCATCCACCTTTCTTCACCTTCCTCTGTGCTCAAACAAGAACACAGTGAATGTTGTTGACTCCCCAGTGTGTGCCAAGTCCTGTGGCAGGTGCCGGGGTGACGGAAAAGGAAAGGACACTGTACCTGTACCAGCCACAGGGCAATGGGAGGGAGATCATCTGTGGACACTGGATGGTCTTTGTCCGTTATGACATATGGTGCTGTGAGTTTCGGGGTATAAATGACACTGTCCTGATGAAGTAGGACAGGCAGACAGGCAGACAGGCAGGCAGGCAGGACCTTTCAAGCTGATAGTGCCATGAGTAATATCTGAGTCACTTTCTCTCTGTTGTAACCAAGCACCTCACAGAAGCAATTTAAAGGGGAAGTTTATTTGAACTCATAGTTTTTAGTCCCTCCTGGGAAGGGTTGGTGGTCATGGGGCAGGAGCTTGTGGCATGGTATCCCAACATCTTGGCAGATCAGGAAATGGAGCATTCATACAAGAACTACAAATGGAGATCACTCGCAAGATCTGCCACTAGCAGCCCTCTTCTGTCAGCCTGGCCTTAGTCTCGAAGGATCCATGACCTTTTAAAGCATTGCTACCAGCTGGGGACCAAGTGCTGGAATACATGAGCCTGTGGGGGGAGGCATTCACATTCAACTATGACGAGTAGACAGAGGATATGTGTGTCTAAAGTTCAGGCTATGTCGAAGAGAGATGGCAGTGAAGTCTAGTGGTGTAGTAGTCCACGTTTGCACAGTTTTGACTAGCAACTGAGTTGGGTGGGTTTTTTACACTTATTTTTTATTTATGTGTATGTGTGTGTGTGGAGGTATATGCACATGTGTGCAGATGCCCACTGAATCCAGAAATGGACACCAGATTCCCTGGGGCTGGAGTTGCAGGTGATGCTGAGTTCCCTGGCCTGGATGCTGGGAACCAAACTTTGATCCACTGGAAAAGCATCAAGTGCTCTTAACCTAACTCTGTGAAGTCTCTCCGACCTCTGAATTAGGTTTTTATTTCCAGTTCACTAGTGAATCAGGGAAGATTTTTGAGCAGCAAAATTAGCTGAAAGTTTTTGTTTGGAATCAGTATAAGGAGAGGTTATAGGGAGGGCTCTATGGCACCTTGTGACACTGAAGGATGTTACTGTTAAACATGCGTACTTCGGGAGCCATGTGACTCAGAACGGTCCTGAGCAACAGTAAACCCAGTGCTTACTCTCCCTTTGGCAGGCTGTCACAATGAGTTGTAGCCCATTGAAATCTGTGCCCACCACCCTGGGTCCTAAAATACAGATGTGATGGTCGGGGGAGGGTTGTTCACAGGAATATTGTAGAGGCAGGTTTAAGCGTGTTTCATGATGCCATTCTAGTGACTGTATGAAGAATAGGTTGGGGAAAGGAAACATGAAAGGTACAGAAACAATTTAGGAGGTTCTTAGAATGGATGGAATAAGAGATGAAAACCTGGAATTTAACACTTTAAAATGGTAGAAGTGAATAAATATTTTGAGATGTAAAGTAAGTAATAATGGTGTTAACTCAAAGGTGGAAGAGGCTAGAAGGTATCGAGGGCTCTTTTGAGGCTGTTGCTTGGAAACACTCAGATGCCTTTGTATGTGAGCAGTGACCAGGAGGCAGGCTGCAGGGCTGAAACGAGTCAGTGCCTGAGTGGGGAGTTGCATTCTTGCTAGGAGAGGATGTTTAGGGAGAGTTGGGCTGGTTGAGGCAAAGGAGCAAAATCAAAGCCATCCTGGAAAGCAGCGAGCCCTCTAGGAAAATAGCTTCTGGTTGCCATTGACAACCTCTCAGTTACTAATGTCAGCAGGGTGCTGTAGACTCTGTTAGACCCACAGCGGGGCAGAGATCCCAAATTGAGGTAGTTTAGCAATGTAGCTGTGAGTTGGCCTTAAAGCTGTGGTTCATGGGCTTCTACAGGCCACAGAATCATAGGCTACAATTCCAGAGCTGTGATTAAGCAACTCTGAGGTAGGGCTCAACAGATTTTCAGAATCTAAGCATGTATTTTATCTAAAAACTAGTTTCTACCTTATTTATAAAAGCTACTGTGGCAGCTGGGTGGTGGTGCTGGCAGCATATGCCTTTAGTCCCAGCACTCAGGAGGCAGAGGGAGATGGATCTCTGTGAGTTCGAGAACAGCCAGGTCTACAGAGTGAGTTCCAGGACATCCAGGGCTACACAGAGAAACCCTTTCTCGAAAAACAAAACAAAACAAGAAGTTGCTGGAAACTGCCAGCATTTGCTCAAAGACAGAACACAGCGCAATTTAATTTAGTAAAAAGGCCAGGGAGTTCTTCAGAATGTCTATGATGATTCTTTGTGGGAGATGAGGTTATAGGTAGCTTCTTTTTATGTTTTTGTAGCTTTCTAAAGTTTTTCAGTTTTCTTTAATGGAAGTTGTGTTTTATTCTGACAACAAACATGTTTTATACTCATAACAAGATGGGTAAAATAGAAATATCTTAAAACAAAAAGGCCATGCATGGCAAAGCCAGTGACCATTATTACCACTTGCTGCTTTATAGGGTGATTTTGCGGCTGCTGCTGCCAACCTACAAACCTGCTTATCAGTTTTGGGCCGGGCACTGCCCACCTCCCGCTTAGACTTGGCCTGCAGTCTCTCCTGGAATGTGATCCGGTACAGCCTGCAGAAGCTGCGCCTAGTACGCTGGATACTCAAAAAAGTCTTCCAGCGCTGGCGGGCTACCCCAGCCACTGCAGCTGGCTTTGAGGATGAAGCTAAGAGCAGTGCGAGGGATGCAGCCCTGGCCTATCACAGGCTGCACCAGCTGCATATCACAGGTGAGAACATAACTGCTGCCTGGTTTGCTGTGCAGTGCCCTGCACATCTCTTCCTTAACTTGCTTTGACAGAGTTCCACTTTGACAGAAGCCGCTTTTACATGGCTTTAATCCAGCCATCAGCCTGCATTGTCTACAGCTGTAGTTTACCCTTTCTTTCCTTCCTTCTTTCCTTCTTTCTTTTTTTTTTTTAATTTATTGATTTTATGTGTATAGATGTGTACCACATGTGGGCAATGCCTTGTGGAGGCCAGAAGAGTACGTCAGATCCCCTGGAACTGGAGGTTCATATGGTTGTGAGCTGCCATGTGGGTGCTGAGAATCCAATCCAGGTCCTCTATCTGTAAGGGCAGCCAGTGCTCTTAACCACTGAGCCCCCTCTCTAACCCCAAGTTTACCATTTCTAGGATGGACATCATTCACAGTAACAATGACACTTCTCTATGTACTTAGGCCTGGCCGGAAGGCACACACCTATAATCCTAGCACTAGGGAGGTTCAGGAGTTCAAGATCATCCTTGGCCAACTTGAGCTACATGAGACCCTGTCTCAAAAAAAAAAAAAAGAAAGAAAGGAGGAGGAGGAGGAGGAGGAAGAAAATAATGAGGGGCCAGCAAGGTGGCTCGGTTGGTAAAGGCACTTGCCACCAAGCATAACGTCCTGAATTCAATCTTATTGACTCCCGTGACAGGAGAAAACTATCTTTCTCACGTTTTGCTCTGACTTGCATACACATGCCATGGCACACACATGCCCACACACATACACACATAAATTATCAGTAAATATTTAAAAAAACAAAAGTGCTGCTTAGGATGGCTTCCTGCTTCCTGCTAGGAGTTTGGTTGAGCAGTGGCACCACTGACAGCTGACGGAGACAAGAGGGAAAGTTGTTTTCCAAGGAAGGGTATCATGCACTGTTTGGGACACTCGCCTATGAGACAGAGGAGAAATTTTCAGTAGACATTGGACCTATGGGATCTGCAGCCCACATAATGGCCTTGGACCTTCAGGGGAGAGAGAGAACCAAGGGTGTCTAGAATATCTTACCAAAGGACAGGTAGAGCAGTGTAGTCGAGACAGGCGCTGCCTTGCTGGGCATGGTGGCACATCCTTTACTCCCAGCACTTGGGAGACAGAGGCAGGTGGGTCTATACAAGGAAGTCCAGGTCAGCCAGGGGTACATGGTGATCACCTGTCTCTAAAAACAAACAAACAAAAAAACACTGCCTGAGAGGGGCAACAGTCAAAGGTCAGAGGAGAATCAAGAGATTTGGCATGTAAGAGGGACAAGGTAAGGACAGAGATGGTTAAAGAAGAGAAGGTTGTGCCGGGCGGCGGTGGTGCAGGCCTTTAATCCCAGCACTCGGGAGGCAGAGGAAGGCAGATCTCTGTGAGTTCGAGGCCAGCCTGGTCTACAGAGCGAGATCCAGGACAGGCACCAAAACTGCACAGAGAAACCCTGTCGCAAAACCAAAAAAAATATGAAGAAGAGGAGGAGAAGGTTGCTGCTGATGTGTCCACTAGCAGTAGATGAAGTCAGAGATACCTGTTAGGTGTGGTCCTAAGGTATGGAACATTCCTTGTGAGTTTGAGAGGGAACAGGCCCAGTCATCTAGGATGGAGGAGGGACCAGGAGATAAGATGATGGGCATCAGCTTTGACGGGAAATCCCTAACTGCAGATCTCTCCTGCTGGTTTATTTTTTTCCTGCCACTCACGGTACCCTTAGAGCAGACTTGACATCCCAGTCTCTGCTCAGGAGATTAAGCTGCTAGGATCTAGAGTTCCAAGCCAGAACACTTCACACCACTCACCTCCATACTCATTGAACATTCTCAACCCCGGGACCTAAGGGGGCTCTTCAGGGATGAGGTGCCCACAGCATGAGTTTCATGCTGTCTTCTATCCTTTCCCTAAAGGAGAAAGCTTAGAGCTTCGTGGGGAAAACAAATACCCCACACTAATACAGAATGAACTCAGGGCCTAAGAGCTCCCATGCTAATAACAGGAAGGCAGCTGGGTAAAAAGAACCCTCAGCTAAAGAGGTTAAGAGGGCCTGGTTGCTGCCTGACCTCAAAGCCAGGAGACTGCTAGTCCTTTGTCACCTCCCAGCTTCTGTATGAGGACCATAGCAAGAAACTAACTGTATGAAAGCCTCAGGACAGCTAGGATGGGCCCTTGGGTCTGTGCCGGGGCACTTTGTCCACTGATCTCGTAGTAGAAGCCTTTACCTACTAATCTAACGTATGTAACTGGCACTGTTCAGTGTTCTATTTCCTTTTCTGTGACGCTTATGGGAGGAGGCTGATGAAAATCAAATCCACTCTGTTTTTATGTTGTGTTTTCTCCCTTCAAATATTTGGAAATTCAGACCTTTGTCAACAGAATGAGGCCGTGCTATTGACACTGCTTTGGAAAAGATTGCACCACACACCTCTGAGTTCTATCCAGTGACCAGCAATCCCAACAACTCCATTGTCACAGAACCAGAGCCATGTCCCTGTCAGTTTGGGAGGTAGATGAGCACAGCACATAGCTAGTAACTTGCTGAGCCTGCATCCCATCTGGACCTACCTGATCACAAAGGTCACTCCTTTCCCCTGGCACCTCGTGTATTTGTTACTGTGCTTACAGTGAGGCAGAAATGAGAGGAGTCATTTACTTTGGCTCACAATTTGGAGAGAGAGTAGGCAGAAGGGAGCTTTCAGCCGCAGGTAGAGAGCTGAGTCAGACCAGATCTGGAGGTGTGCTTTAGCCCTCAAAGACCCACTGCAATAGCCTCCACCTCATAAAGGTTCCTCAGCCTTCCCAAACATCACCACTAAGTGGGGACCAAGTGTTGAAACGTCCGAGCCTGTAGGTGACAGTTTACGGTGAAAGCTGAGCATTGTTAATGATTGTGCTGGGGGACAGAGATGTTTAGTTCGGAGACTCTGTCAGCATTAGTGTCTGTTTCTGCCTGCCCTAGGGAAGCTTCCTGCAGGGTCTGCCTGCTCAGATGTACACATGGCTCTGTGTGCTGTGAACCTCGCCGAGTGTGCTGAGGAGAAAATCCCACCAAGCACACTTATTGAGATCCATCTGACAGCTGCCATGGGACTCAAGACCCAGTGTGGAGGCAAACTGGGCTTCTTGGCTGTGAGTACCCTTCGATTCCTGTATTAGTTACTTTCCCCATCACTGTGGTAAAGTACTGGGACAGCTTAAAGAAAAAAGGATTTATTTTGGAAAGGGTATGGTCCATCATGGCAGGGAGGAAGAATCAGAGATAAACCAGAAGCAAGGCCAGCCCTCAACCCTCCAAGTATCTATACTTTTAAATCCTCTATATCTCTGATCTGCTAAGTAGGCCCCATGTCCAAAAGTTCCACAATTTCTAAAACAATGCCACTGGCTGGGGACCAAGTATTCAGAGAGCCTGTGGGCAGTATTTCATTCAAACTGTAGTGTTTCCACTGAGCACCTTCCCAGCCTGGAGCTAAAAGGCAACATGTTCCCCACCACTTAGGGGTTGGTTTTCACTTGCTCGTCCACAAATACGTAGAGCAATGAAGAGGATACAGCAAGATGTCCCCCTGGCTGGGGTTTCAGGTGTAAAGCCTTATTGGGGACGTTCTGGTGCACTGAAATAAAAGTATCAGTTTGTAGACGTGGACAGCTGTATGTGGGATTCATGTCTGACTTCGCTCTTAGAATCTTGTTACATTTCTGATCTCTTTAATTCACCCAAAAGCTGTTTTGGGGGTGCCTTGTATTGGTCTCAGTACTATAGATCCAGAAATAAAAGCCAAGAGCTCTCTGCAAAGAGCTCAGGTCAGATGCAGGGTGGGAACTGAGGTTAGGAGGCACATCCTACTCGCTTGGCAAGGTGCCAGCATTGGTTCTTCACAGCTGGCTGGTTCCCAATTCTTGTTATCAGCTAGTCCACAGCATCTGCTGACCTCAGGCTTTCTCTTACTCTAGCAGAGACAAGCACATTGTACTCAGTGCCCCACACATTAGATATGTTGGAAATCGAGTTATCTTATCTCAGCTTGTTGCCAGTTGCTAATGGAGGTGATATGCTGAGAACAGACCAAGAACATGCTGTGTGGTAACACTGATCCATTGCCTCAAGTGGCTCATTGCAGTCTACGGGACAGAGAACTCAAGAAAACTCTCCACTCTGTCTTTATGACCATAAATGAAACAGCCATTGGTTGATTTCTTCAGCAAATTCTGCCTTACTCCTGTTCTGGACCAGGCACTCCCAGAGGGGACATAGAAGCATAAGATCTGTCGGGAGACCCCAGAGGGTTCAGGCAACAGAAGAACATGTGGATAGAGCTGACACAGGATCATCTTGTCACCCTGAAGCCCCACTTAGCTTCAGTGCTATTGCTGAAATATAGCTACTTTGATAAAGGACTCGGCCTGTTGGAGTTAAGCACACGTGGCAGCTGAGGATCAGAAAAAACGGCTCCATTCTAACTGTCTCTAAAAGCGGGGGCCGGGCCACACCTTGTTGACCCATCTGCTTGGGAGGTTGAAGCAGGATGATCACTTGTGCCTAGAAGTCCAAGGCTAGTCTGGGCAACTTAGCCAACCTTATCTGGCACTGCTGAGGGATGTTTGGAGCACCTCCTGTACTTGCTGTTACAGCCTGCTACAGAGAGGAAATGTTTTTTATATTGTCACCCACCTCTGTGAGCTTCCTCATACTAGTGACAGTGCTCCTGGAGCAAAGGCTATAAACACCTGAAACTTCGACGATGTTGCCCAATTTGCATAGTCAATAAGGTGGGGGAGGAGAGTGATGGGAGGCCAGCATATCCAGCTCTTTCTGTTCACTCCCTTGTGGAGCAGCTGAATTAAGAGATGCAGACAATAGACACTTTGATTTTGGTGAGTTAGATTTAGTTAGCAAATGAGCTGGGTGTCGGGAGCAAACAGAGGGCTCACCCCTAAAAATAGTTTAGACCAGAAGCTCCCAAACTCTGTGTGAGGCACTGTCTAACGGATGTTTTTATGGTACTGAAAGAAACACCTTCAAGTTGGTCAGTCAGTAATGGCAGTTTGGTTTTGTTTGTTCAGTTGTTAGGAGTTCCAGTGTCCTAAAAAGTATTTATGTCTTAAAAACTTTGTGGAAAAAAAATAATAGGTCAATTGAAAGAAGAGATGATGTCTTTATTGTTTTAGATTTTTGAGACAAACTTTTAAGATTTATTTTTATTTTATGTGTCTGGGTGTTTTGTCTGCATGTATCTGTGCACTATGTCCATGCCTGTGAGCCACCATGTGGGTCATTTGAAAGAACATCTGGTGCTCTTAACTACTGAATCCTCTCTCCAGCCCCTTGCCTCGGCTTCTCTTTTCCTTTTGACACAGGGTCTCTACCTACCCCCTGGCTGTCCTGGAACTCACAGAAATCTGACTGCCTCTGCCTCCTGAGTGCTGGGATAAAGGTGTGAGCTACCACACTCGGCTTGCCTCCACTTTTTAAGTATGGCCATTACAGACATGTACCACCACATCTTAGAATTAGATTAGGCACAATGCATTCCCCATTGCCTGTTCCATGCTGATTTTCACATGCTAATTGCTGTTTAAAACAAGACAAAACAAACAAAATCAATAGCTTCCTAAAACTCATCTTTACAAAACATGTGGTGTCATTTAAAAGAAGGTAGTATAGCCTGGCTTTTCCAATGCCAAGCACCTTGATCTAGTATTTTACATAGTGTCCACATGATGTTGAATGTTCGTATTTTAATCAGAAACTTCAGATATCACTTGGCTCCCCGAGCACTCAATGTGGCACTTAGGGTACTTGGCACACGATTTGTGAACGGTAATGGTGGGGACTGGAGTTGGGCCTGGTCCAGGAGTGCTAGATAGCTCTCAAGATCTAAGCAACGCTGGGGCTCCTGCCTAGCTTCTCATGTCAGGCAATTAGCAGATGAATCATAGGAGAGAGGCCTCTATGCTGCAACTCAGGAGTGGTCTGGTGTCTATAAAATTTAGAGGGAAAGTATTTTTTTTTTAAATTAGGAACATTATAATTGGGCTTATAAAGCCAAGAAAATTAAAAGAACAATAAAAATTATTTTCCCTTATAGAAGCCAAGTTGTACTGTTTATCCAGGATTTCTGTTTCTTATTAGTTCAAACTACTAAACTCAGGTCTCCCCGCAACCTCCCATGGAGATTTCTTATTAGCTTATGCTTCTTAAAAATTCAGGCAGTTCAGAACTGCCTGTCACTCCAGCTCGGGGAACTCCAACACCCTCTTCTGGACTCTGTGGGTACTACACCCATGTGCAGAACACAAAATCTTTAAAAATTCTTAATGTCAGGCCAGGCATGATGGTACATGCCTTTAATCCCAGAACTCAGGAGTCAGGGGCAGATGAATCTCTGTGAGTTCAAGTCCAGTTAGAGCTACAAAGTGAGATTCTGTAAAAAAAAATTTTTTTTCTTAATGTCTACAGCATGATTTCAATGTTTGTTTGTTTTTCTTTTTAATTCAGCTTAAAATTTTATTTTAACTTAATAGTTCCCTGATGGCTTCTGTAGACTTTTCTTGCCATCTGACCTGACAGACTCTGTGCTTCTCTGTTGTCCCTTGGGACAACGGCCTTACCTTGCTGATTAACCCTATGGCCTGGAGAGAGTTGCTCAGTGTTTAGAAGGTTCTGGGATGTGAGAGGCATCATGTGTGTGTAATCTCACATGCACATGTACACACACACATCTCTGTTGTCCCACAGTTGTAGTTATAGTTGAAGGTCATAGCAGGTCATGGAATTCTACTCTGTTTGCTTTCACAATACCGTGTTGTCAGTGCTGGACAGTGACTAAGACACTGGGTCACTGTCCCTTTGATTTAAGTGAAATGCTCTCCTGGTCCCATAAGCTGCCATGAAAATGCCAATAAGTATCTGTAGAGCAGTTCAGCCAGGCAGCTGACCCCATGTTCCCCTGCAGAGTCTCCCCATTGCATCCTTGAGTGGCTGTGCTTTGGCTGTGCTATTTCTGACTCTGGCATTCAAGTTTTCTGAAGCTGTTACATTAACTGATTGCTGCTTAAAGTCTATTAAAGGTCAGAACCATCAGACTACCAGACCATGAGATAGATGCCCTCATTGTGCCTAAGCTAGAAGGGGGAATTCCCAGACCAGCAGCCCCTGCGATGGATGCCTTAAGTTCCATGTATGCTTCTTCCCTCCACCTCTGCTCAGCTCCCTATTCAGATTGAGTAGTTTTATAGATTGAAATCATGAGTTTTAGAGTAGAGATTTTATCACTCAAAAAATGATAGATAGAACTAGAGGCTGGGGTGGGGTGGGGGTGGGGAGGGATTTCCAAAAACAACCAACAGCATTGTCCTTGTGTGTGTTTTACGCTGGGGCCCTAGATGTTGTTCCGGCTAGGGCACTGGTGGTTTGAATTCCAGGAAGATGCTTTCAACATCTTTTTTTGAGACAAGGTCACTATGTCCTGGAACTCATTCTGTAGACCCGGCTGGTCTCAAATCTCACAGAGATCCACCTGCCTCTGCCTCCCAGGTATTGGGATTTAAGAAAGGCATGTACCACCACACTTGATTCAACATCCCTTTCTTATGGAACTAGCCTAGATGTCTATCAATAGATACTGGTAGGGTAAGGAAAGTGTGTGTGTGTGTGTGTGTGTGTGTGTGTGTGTGTGTGTGTGTGTGTGTGTGTGTCTGTCTGTCTGTGTCTGTGTGATGGAATTATTCAGCTGTCTATGAAGGAAAACTACATCATGAAATTTGTAGGAAGATGGATAGATCCATCCATTTTCCTCCAAATTTTTATATTGAGCAAAAATTATTATATCAAGCAAAGTAATACAGCCTCAGAAAGGTAAATCCCACATTCTTGGTCATATCCTAGTTGGGGTGGGGGCAGGGCATGAAACTAGAAAAGCGACTGTGGAAGCAGCAGTGAGGAAAGCATGAGAGCACTAAAACAAGTGGAGACAGAACGGCCACCGGAAGTGGACGGGGGTGGGGGGGGAGGGGAAATGGAGGAGAAGCAACGCTTGTTTTGTTTTGTTTTGTTTTTCGAGACAGGGTTTCTCTGTATAACAGCCCTGACTGTCCTGGAACTCTCTCTGTAGACCAGGCTGGCCTCACAGAGATCTGCCTGCCTCTGCTTCCCGCTGTGCTGGGATTAAAGGCTGAGAATGAACACATTTTGTTTGAAAATGCCAAAAAGAAACCTAATCCTTTGTATGTTAATTTTAAAAGGCTGGAGAGACAGCTCAAGGGTAAGAGTACTTGCTGTTCTTGCAGAGGACCACGTCTGGTTCCCAGCACCCACACCCGGTGACTCACAGCCACCTGGAGCCAGTTTCAGGAGCTGGAGCACCTCTTCTGGTCTCAAGGGCACACACGGGGTGCACATCCACATAGGAAAACGTTTATGTCGCTTACACTCAGTACCATTTTAGGTTTGCCTAGGGGAAGAGAAGTCCACTTCTGGTCTTTCCTCTCAGGTTGGGGCTCATGCAAGGAAGGCATGAGACTTCCTGAAGAGGCTTCCTTTCAGGGTCACACATGGACACACAAACGTACCATGGTCCTGGGCAAGCCTCCTGCTGCCTGGTGTGGTACCTAAAACTGCCTCTGGGTGTGCACAAACTCGTCACACTCAGGTAAGAGCTGAAAAAAATTAGTCAAACAAGACAGTTTGCCTAAAAATACTCCAGAGATTGTGCAGTTTACATTACTTGAGACGTCCCAGGATTGAGGGGGGTGCTTGGCGAGGCACCCTCGGTGTCACAGATAAAGTTAGGGACTTCTGAGGCCCTTCCTAAGTGAATACCTGTTGACTACTAGCAGGTGAAAGAGAAGTAGACTCTGGAAGGTCTAGACAGGCTTAGCGGGACAGGGTGGAGCAGGAAAGTGCATCGTCTGCCCTGGCCCTGCTCCTGATGCCAGCTTCCCCAGATCAGAGCAACTTTGCTACTTTCTCTAGTTTCTGTGGTGGGATCACGTCTAGGGGTTCATGCAGGGCCTGTCCTCTGTTGATCCACCTTTCCCCAGCAGTTAGTTCTTCCCGATGACTAGGCAATAGCTGCAACCAGCATTCTGCTACCTTGACGTCACTCCTGGTCCTTTTCTTTTACAGAGCTACTTCCTTAATCGTGCCCAGAGTCTGTGTGGCCCAGAGCACAGCACTGTCCCTGACTCCCTGCGCTGGCTCTGCCACCCCTTGGGCCAGAAGTTTTTCATGGAGCGAAGCTGGTCAGTCAAGTCAGCAGCCAAGGAGAGCCTGTACTGTGCCCAGAGGAACCCAGGTGAGGGTACTGGCTCTACTGCTCAGAGCTGGTGACAGGCTAGGTACAAGGGAGACAGGAGACCCGGGTGTCTCCACCTTAGTATCTTTTTTAACGATTGGGTCTCATAAAGATAAAGTAACTTTCTTGAGGTCAAGCCCAGTCAGAGCCTGTCTGTAACTTAGCTCAGTTCACAGCTCTGCTGTGTAGGGCAGTCATTGCCTGTGGTCACTACATCACAGGGCCTTACACCCGTGGTAAGTTGTGATTAAGCACCAGCTGTATTCTTAGCCCCTGTTCTGGACACTCAGGAGATATAAAAGGTGCGGGGCTTGCTGTTCCTTGGCCTCTGGGCCTTCTGGTCCCATTGGGAAAGCAGACAGACATGTATGGAGCAGTTAGGGAACAATAGGCGGCAGGCACTCATCAGTGCTCAGAATGGTGACAGGGACAGGGCTCCAGGCATCAGAAGGCCAGGCAGGCTTTCTGTCCCTGGCATTTGATAGTGATTGGAGTTGACTGGCCCAGTCTTAGCGTGCAGAGGCTGCCAGGGTAGACTCATACAGGGATCACTTGAGTAGTTCTTCTATGGCTTCTCTGCTGAGTGGAGAGTCTGAGACAAGGAATCATACCCCCTGAGTACAGAATGGATATCAAACGGGTTTTTTTTTTTGGGGGGGGGGTAATCTTGTTTTTTTAATAACTGTTGTGCAGTATAAGGATGATGTTTGACACCAAAAATTGAAGAATAAAAGAATGAAAGGAAAAGTAACCTCAAGTTTTTTGACAGCCTCGTCACAGGGTAGACCCCAGAGACCTGCACTCCCCAGGCCGTTTTGTCACAGAGCAAGTGTCCAGAAACATCCCTCTTTCTCTCAGCTGTATCAGGGCCAGAATGGAAAGGGCTGGTGATGCTTGCTGTACAGGCCTGCCAGTGAAGGGACTTGTCAGCCATTACAAGCTTTGCAGGCCCCTTATCCAGTCAGCTTAGTCACAGCACGGCTGACCACAGGTTCTACGCTAGAGAGAAATCGGGCTCTTTATAGTCAAGAGTGCTGCAGAGTCTACTGCTCTCCTTTCCAGCCTCTCTATACTGGGGTAGTGTATAGAGATGCACCCGCATGGACACACACACCCTAGGGGACTAATTCAGAACCACACAAAGGCTTGCGCTACCTTGGGGCAGTTTTACAGGGTAATTCTTTTCCTTCCTTCTTTCTTCCTTTTAGACATTTATTTATTTTGTGTGTGTGTTTAGTAGGGGCACATGCCATAGCATGCACGAGGTCAGAGGACAATTTGTAGGAGCCAATTCTCTCCTGCTGTGTGGGTTACAGGGTTGAACTCAGGTCATCACCCTTGGTGGTGTATTCCTTTGCCAACTGAGCCATCTCACCAGCCCCTGAAGGGTAATTCTGGGTTTGGTTGAGAAAGATTTGATCCCTGTTACAGGCACAGCTGTTTCTAAGGCTCTTTCCATGCCTTTTTCACCATAAAAAGGTCTCTGGTTTATTTGGGTTTTTTGTTTTGGTTTTAGTTTTTTCCTTTACTGTACAAAGACCTCACAGATGTAAACATGTATTCTCTTGCTGAGTATACCCCCCAAGTCCAAAGGTGCTCGTGAGTAAGACCCATTTAACCCTTCTTTCTCTTCAGCTGACCCCATTGCCCAAGTCCACCAGGCTTTCTGCAAAAACCTACTGGAAAGAGCTGTGGAGTCCTTGGTGAAACCTCAGGCCAAGAAGAAGGCAGGCGACCAGGAAGATGAGAGCTGGTAAAGTCCCAGTCCCCTCGGGCAGCACTCCTAGACCAGTCAGCCAGGAAATGGAATTTGGGGTTATTTCTCAAAAGCAGAGCTCTGATTTAGACCCCACGGTGTCTGTCCTTTTTTTCACCTTTTACATCCCTTCACCAACTGGGGCGGTTGTCAGAGCAGGTTAGAAATTGGATGAATTCGCTTTGCTTTTGGGGACAGAGAGCAGTGAACTGTTGAGAGAGACAGGAGTGAGGTAGAGAGAGCTCACCGGGCAGCCCATCAGGCCCAGAGTGCTTGGAAACCCAGCTCTGCAGTGAGTGTGCTGTTTTTAAGTTCTTACATAGTTACCAAACGTGAGCTTTCCTTCACAGATTAAGACCCGATGAACTGAGAAGTGTCAGCTCACTCACATAAGTCCTGGTCCTGAACAGAGTGCTCCTGAGGAACGAGGGAGAGGCAGTTCCACCTAGGCAGTAGCAAATGTCTGGAAGACTGTGGCATTAGAAGCTAGTCTGGGGAAGAGGGGTCAAGGTTGTCTACTGAGGGAAGAAGAGACAGATCCTGCCCTCAGAATAGACTTCCTAGTAGAGGGAAGAATATCAGTGCTCTCCTAGAGATGCCTGACAAAGCTTGACCTATCAAGCATGTATATGGTATGCATGGGCAGAACTTGGTGAGCTTGGGATGGTGGGGGAAAGGAACCACAAAGGGCTGTTCAGTCTTAGTACTGGATCTCTAAGCAGCCTAGCTTAGAGATGTAAGTATGTACGTGAGTGTGTAAGACAATACATTAGTATGTTCTTTCTGTATGTTATACACATGGGACCCTTTCTTTTCTTTTTAGTGAATTTTCCAGCGCCCTAGAGTATTTGAAATTACTTCATTCTTTTGTGGACTCTGTGGGATTTGTGACCCCACCATTCTCTAGCAGTTCTGTGCTCAAGTCAGCCCTTGGTGAGTATCTGTGGATGGCTCCACAGTCCAGAGAATTTACTCTTTCCAGCCCACCACCCCTCCAGTGTGGATCCAGAATGAGTTAGGAGCATGTCTCAAAGCATCTTCCCTAGTCCTGGGTTCGTATCTGTGTCCTCCAGGCTGCCCAGCCCACAGAGGGCCTGGGCAGGATTCTTTCAGCAGAAAATAATGGAACAGTGAGTGGTGGAGTACCCCACTGAAGCCCTGGCTAGGTAGTCCATGTCAGGACCCTTTCCAGATGCACAGGATGGCACCAGAGTCTGAGTACCTGGAGCTGGTGGGTTTCCACCCTAAGCACAGAAGGCCCTTGGTGCCGGGTCCTAACACTCCCAGCCGGCAAGGCTCCATCTGTGCCTCTGTACCACCCAGCTCCCCACTGCCTCAGGTGTAGTCTCCTCTGCTGACTACAGAGCTGAGACTTTATTTGCTTCTCCCTCTAAACTGCCATCAGAATGACAGCACATCAGCTGCCACTTCTCAGCTTCTAGAGCACCTTGGGGTATGGGTTGCTAAGCTACCCTCGCCCGTTCTTCCTAGGGAGAGAAGGAGCCTAGAAAATCAACTGTGGTAGCGTGGTCTCTACTGACGTCAGTGTTTAGAAGATAGTGTTCTTACTCCTTTTCTGTCACTGGCTGTCTCTCACTGGTTTTGTGAAATCTCTGGTAACAGTTTTACAGTTGAGAAACCTGAGGCTCAGAGAAGGAAAACTGTAGCAACGAAAGCATAAACGAATGTGCTGCTACATCTCTTTGAAGAGACCTGTCCCTGTGCCTGTTAGAACCTTACCTTACATTTACACCTAAGAACAAGCTGAGCCAGGAGTGCTGGCGCATGCATTTAATCCCAGCACTCAAGAGGCAGAGGCAGGCAGATCTCTGTGAGTTTTGAGGCCACCCTGGTCTACAGAGTGAGTTTCAAGACAACCAAAGCTATGTTCAGAGGCCTTGTCTCAGACAAAACAAAAGAGAAGAATAACAAGCCGGTTGGGAATGGAGCGGTGGCTCAGCCCTCGCTGCTCTCCAGAGGACCCTAGTTTGGCCCTCCTCACCAATACTAGGCAGCTCCCACCTACCTGTAACTTCAGCTCCCAGGGGATGCAGTGCCAGCCTCTGGACCCTCTGGGCACCTGCACTCAAATGCACACACCCACATGCACGTAATTTAAAAAGAGAGTAAGTGTTTAAAAACAAACAAAACATGAGCATGGTGGCTCACATCTGTAACCCCAGCACTTGAGACACTGAAGCAGGAGGATTTCCACAAATTCAAAGTCAGCCACATACTGAGATCGTGTCTCAAAAAAGACCCAAAACAGGCCAGGCATGACAGCACGTGCCTTTAAATCCTAATACTTCAGAGGCAGAGGCAGACATATCTCTGAGTTTGAGGCTACTCTGGTCTACATAATGAGTCCCAGGATAGCCAGGGCTACAAAGAAAAACCCTGTCTCCGAAAATAAACAAAAATCTAACCTTAAAAAGAACATTTTTGTTAAACTTCTTTTCAAACTGGTTTCCTAATGATGGAGTATCAAATATGGGATTAATGGGTTAATAGGCATGAACATGTTAAGGTTCTTGATACATATTGTCAGATCATGTAGGCGGGTAACCCCAAAGACCATTTACCCATCACCACAACATAAAGATGACACATGCCATTAAGGCCACAGAGTTCCTCAGACTTGGTTCCAGTGGGTACTAATGGGTGCTTCCTGCGGCTGTTCCCATCCAGGTCCGGATATCATCTGTAGGTGGTGGACATCCGCAATCACTATGGCCATCAGCTGGCTCCAGGGAGATGATGCAGCTGTGCGCTCTCATTTTACTGAAGTAGAGCGGGTCCCCAAGGCCCTGGAAGTGACTGAGTGCGTAAGCTCCTCAACTGTTCATCTACTCCTCTCCAAGGGAATCTTATGTGAGGTAGCAGAAGGGAACAGGTCCACATAGCCATGTTGATCTGGGGTCAGAACTATACAACAGATGGGAGCTGGAGGAGGGGCAAAGGAGCCACAGAGACATGATCTAGGTCGGCACAGCCCTCCCTCTGTGTGTGTTCTGCGTAGCTCTTTGGGCGCCTTAGCAGCTATCCCCGATGCTTAGGCCGCCTCTTCCCTTCTGCTTCCGTGATGCCATGTGATACAGATGAAAAGAGCATTGCCCCTGGCAAATTCAGAAGCAGCAGTGGGATGTAGTTGTGGCCACTGCAGGGAAGTCCTGCAGCTTGTGTGGACTCTATCTATTTCCCATTTCTTACAGTTTCCAGTCCTGTCAGCCCTGTCTGCTCTGCCTGTGTGCATGTACATCTACTCAAATGTGTGCTTGTCATGGCGCACATAGAGAACTCAGAGGACAGCTTACAGAAATGTGTTCTTCCCCTCCACCTTATGGGTTCGGGGACCAAAAGGCCATCAGGCTTGGTGGCAAGCACCTTTACATGCTGAGCCATCTCCTATAGCATGAAGCATAACCAGAGACTTTGACATTCTTTTTGATACTGTGTCTTAACCTTGGAGGTGTCTAACGGTTGGTTAATGATAAACAACCCTACCTGCTGATACCCTGGCTGTTTTTGGTTAAATCTGGGTGTTTGTAGTAAAATTATAAAATGCTATAAGGCAAAAAGTCCACCTGGGGTCCTGTCTTGAAAGCCAAAACACATTTCTTGCCAAATAGAATTCTACCCAGAGCACAGAAGGGCTGCAGAGAGTGGGAGTGAGCAATTTGAGCTGTCCCAGTTTCGTTTAAGTGGCCCTATTTTTAAGTCCCCATCCAATAAATAACCAGCCCTGTACCCACCCTGCATGGCTCTCCCACCTGAGTGTGTCTGCCTTGACTCACCTAGAGACTCTGAGGCTCAACAGGTATGTTATCTAAAGTCATTTGGCCACTGAGCCGCAGAGCCACAGCAGACAGCAACGGTGCCTCATGGGCATCCCTCCTACCAGTGTTCTTGGCTCCTCTGCTCCTGAGAACGGATGAGTGGGAACCCTGGCAACCCAACGCCATCACTTCTCATTCTCTCCCCAATCCAGAGACTTTAACACCAAATCTGGGTCTCTGGTCACCTCTAGCACCAAATAAAGGAATACCAAACAGGTAAAGGCTTGACTTGGCTCAAAACCAGTGTTTCCTAACTGAAGCTGGCTACAGGACACCACTATGACATCAATTATAGTGACAGCAGATACTGCAGTGATAGAGGGTGTGACGAGCCCAATCTGAGGCTTACCCACCTGTTTGTAACCAAGCTAATATGCTCTCCCCTGCTTTCTCCTCCTGGTCACTATTCTAGGAGTCCCTTGGTGAAGGCCGTCTTCTATGCCTGTAAAGCCATGCATGCCTCACTCTCTGGGAAAGGAGATGGGCAACAGAATTCCTTCTGTCATTGTGAGAGGGCCAGTGGTCACCTATGGAGCAGTCTCAATGTCAGTGGAGCTACTTCTGATCCTTCACTTAACCATGTGAGTGGGGACCTTAGCCCCTCAAGACAGACAGCACTGGGGTCTGGTCTGTGTGAATGCTCCCACCCCAAGTTTACCTAGCCTGTTGGATTGTCTAAGAGACACAGAAACCAGAATAGTAGTTCCCTTCCCCAGAATGGAGCCTACTGGGGCAGGCATACCTTTTGGTTCCTGGGGCAAATGTATTTCCACCTTCTCCTCTCCTTGGCTCCCTTAATCCCAGATCCTGCTAGCCGGCAGCTTCCTATAAGCCACAAATGAGCTGGCCAGGGCTCTGCATTTCTCCAGGTAGTCTGTGCTACCTCCTGAGACTCTACAGTCCCTCAGGCCTGTGTGGCCCGCTGCACACCTGGCGGGTTGCTGTGGTGCATTGTAGTTGCATTGCATGTTCTGGCCGTACCTGTGCAATGTTTCCACAGTGCATCACAGAGGCCTGCCCTGGCTTCCCACTGTACAATGACCAACGGTCTCAACACTGGAGGGGACACTGGTTGGAGGACACTGCTAAAGGCCGAATCATCCTGGGAGAATGAGGAGGATAGAATGTCACAGCTGGTCCCCTAGGAAATGTGTGGTGTAACTCCGGAGAGGAGGGAAAGTTAGAACTAGCTGCTCTCTGGGGTTTAGTCCCAAGTAGCTGGGCTAGATTTTCAAGGTAGTGGTTGTCAGCAGGCATAGGTGCTTTATTGCAATCAGGACAGCATGTCAACAACCCTACCAGGATAGGTATTGTGTAGACCACAGGCTCGATGACAAGCCACTGTTGGACTTCCTTAGGTCTCCCCGTGTCTGTCTTCATGAGGAAGCCATTGTCAGCCACATTGGAGGAACTAGAAAGTTTGTAGGGCCATCCTTGGAGCTCTGGTTCCTAGGTAGCAGTTCAGGGTAGGAGAATAGGCCTGGGAGAGCGTGGTCAAAGAACAAGATCCAGGCCTGGCTACTTTCCCACACCCAAAGATGTTGTTCCGACACCTACAACTTAGAATGCCAGCTTTGGTAGGAAGTTTCTCATCTGTGTTCCCCTGAGGCTGTCAGCAGCCAGAAGATGGTAGCCAAGGGCTAGGGACTTGTGCAGGCATGGGGCAGTACAGGTCTGGGCAGCATGGTACCCCAAGTCCAGTGCCTACAGGAAAGCAGAAACCGCCTAGTGTAGCATGAATCTTAACAGTTCTTATTAATAAGATCAAACCCGAGGCCAGTTATTGGGGTAAATGCTGGAAGGTCAGAGTACCAGAACAAGCCACAGCTATCTCACCTTGCCAGTTCCTCAGCTGGTCCTGTTTCCTCAGACTGGAAGCTTCTGTGTCCTCATCCAGAATGGGTCTCAGCTGAGCTGCTGCTAGAAGCCTGAATGCTTAACCAGCCAAATCTTCACCAGCCAAAATGCTTAACCAGGCCAAATGCTTAAATTTCTGGTCCTCACACCTTATAAACCTTTCTGCTTTCTACCACCACTCCCTGGGATTAAAGGCTGCTTTCTGGGATTAAAGGCGTGAGTCACCATCCCTGGCTGTTTCCAATGTGGCCTTGAACTCACAGAGATCCAGAGGGATTTCTGTCTCTGGAATGCTAGGATTAAAGGTGTGTGCTAACATTTTCTAGCCTAGGTATCTTGTGGCTTTTCTGTTCTCTGACCCCAGATAAGTTTATTAAGGTACACAATATTTTGGGGAACTCAATACCACCACAGCCTAGGTGAGATGAGAAGTGGCCTGCAGGGAAATCTCGTGGTCCATTTAGAGCTGCTCTCCTCTTACTGCTGCACATGGTACTGGTGGGCTGTTGGGTACAAGTAGGTACAAGTAGTCGCCTTGTCAGCCGTTGCAGAGTCCACACGGCTCCTGCTGTGCATGCAGAGCACTGTTTTGTAAATGCTCATGCAGCTGCGCTGCCATGTCCATTTTGTAGATGAGGAAAGTAAGGCTTAGGTTAAGTCGGTGTGGGAAATCTATGCCCTGAGACCCACAAGGGCTTTCTCTCAGCCCCTACTCCCTGTGCTGTGTCCCTTTTAGAGCTTTCATTTTCTTCCGTGGAGAACGATGAGAACAGACCTCCTACCTCCTGGGAAAAGGATTAGGTTCCCCACAGCTGTCCTTTCAATGCCAGCCCCTGGGTTTTGCGCTTCAGTCCCTAGTGCTTCTGAGTGTTGGGCTCAGCGAAGGTCTGCAAGGTGCTGGGATCCTTGCATTAGGCATAAGCCAATCACCTGTCTCTTCCTTTTGGTTTATCCCCTAGGTGGTCCAGCTGCTCACCTGTGACCTACTACTGTCCCTGAGGACAGCACTCTGGCAAAAGCAGGCAGGTGCCAGCCAGGGTCTGGGTGAGACCTACCATGCATCAGGCACTGAGCTGGCTGGCTTCCAGCGGGACCTGGGTAGCCTGCGCAGGTTGGCCCATAGCTTCCGCCCGGCATACCGCAAGGTGAGACCTAGCAGGCCGGTGGGATGTGCAGATTAGCATATGTGGGTCCTGGGCCCCAGGTCCCTTCGTAGGCATATATTGTGAAGGTGACTCTCTGAAGTCAACCACGTGACCTGTCAGGCACCTACTGGGACTCAACACTAAGCTGGGTGCCATGTGTTCCTTTGCATGTGCCCAGCCCAAAGCCATGTGTCACCAGTCAGGCACGCAAGAGCATTCAGAGGACAGAGGAGCAGCTAAGGATCTCCCAGTCCTGGCCACAAGGGAGCCTGACAGTCATAAGTAGTTGTCAGCCTTACCCTAGAGCCATACTCAAAGCAAAATTCACTGATTCACTTTCTAAGCCACTTGGGAACTGGCTCTGCCGCCTTCTCTCCACAGCACCCCAGCTCCGGCTCTAGGATCTGAGATCAGCCTCTGAGGACAGTTGCACAACTGCATTGATACTAGGCTCAAGTCATTCCTTCTGTTTATGCTGCCTATTAGAATAATGCACTGGGCCTTTTGTTTTGTTTAGAGCAGAGTCAGTATATTGCCTAGGCTGGCATTGAACTCCTGGCCTCAAGTAATCCTCCTGTCTCAGTCTGTCTTAGCATCTTGTATATGGAATTGCAAGCACATACCTCCAAGCTTAGATTGTATTAAACATTTCAAGTTGGGGGACAAGGGGGTGACTAGAACTTGCTGTGTCAACCAGGCTGGCCTTGAACTCACTGAGATTCATCCAACTCTATCTCCCAAATGCTAGGATTAAATGGTGCACCACCATGCCCAGCTTAAAAACGTATTTAAATTTTTTATTTGACACATAATAATTAAACATTTATAGGTTTATTTATAATACATATTTATTACAAGTTAATCTATACATAGTGTGTAATAATCATAGTTGGCATACCCTTCACTTTATTTTTTGTTTTTATTAGACTGTATTAATTATGCATAGCGGGTTTCATCGTGGCATCCCATGCATGTATACATGTGGATATAATGTGCTGTGTTCCTGTTCTCTCCTGTTGCCCTCCCCTTCTCACTCCACAGCTCCCGTTCCTCTTCCCGGCTAGTCGCTCTCTGCTTCCATGTTGGTGGTGGTTTTGTATTTGAATGGCCCAGTGAATTTCATCAAGTTTGTTCTTAGGCTCATGGGACCTTAACCAGTGGCTACACCGCTGACAATAATGTCTCTCCGTCTCCCATCAATCAGTAATCGCATATAGATCTCACGAGAGGGCTGAGACCACATGAGCTCCACCTATTCCATGACAGGAAGTTGTTGAGCCCAATCCTGTGCAGATCTCATGCAGGCGATTTTAGCTTCTGTTCATTCCAGGGTGCAGATCCAGAGTGCACTGGCTGTGTCCTACCCAGAAGCCAGTGTTCCACAGCACTGCCTCACTTCTGCTGAGGAAGAAATCCCTTATCCTAAGGTCCAGCCTCATGGTGGTACTGACCACTGTGTGCAGCAAGCCATGACAATGGTACAGCAGAAAGATATAGTCCTTAGAGCACCGAACTGGCTGTGGGAAGTGTGCTTGCCTAGAGTGTGCAGAGCCCCGCATCAGTCGCCAGCACCACATGAGTCTTAAGTGTGATGGCACACACCGAAATCTTAGCACTTAGGAGATAACAGCAGAAGGATCAGGAACCCAAAAGTCACCTGAGGCCACATAGTGAGTTCGAAGCCAGCATGGGCTATTTGAGACCTTACCTCAACCAAAAAACGAGAGAGAAGTGTGCCCCAAAATTTGGGCCACGCTTCTGTTATGGAATGCACTCAGGTCAGACCTCTGGTCTGCTCACAGACTGGCTGGCATTGAAGGCCTCCTTTAAAATGCCTTCCCTTCCCCACCTCCCCCAAATTCCCTCCCAGCATCACTGAGTAACATCACTGGCTACTCAGGCTGGAGCAGGAGTATTGCAAATTCAAGGGCAGCCTACACAACTTAGCAAGACCTCCTCTCAACATTTAAAAGGCTGAGGATACAGCTCTGTGTGGAGAGCTTGCCAGGCATGTGTAAGGTCTAATCCTATCTCTAACAATGGGGAAAGAAAAGCAAGTTAGAGACCTAGACCTGGGCCTCCATCCACCAGTGATTCTGTTTACCTCAAAGCTGCTACTTTAGGCCAGTGAGATGGCTCAGCAGGGAAAGTCGCTTGCTATCAAGCTTGATGACCCGAGTTCAATCCTCAGCACCCATATGGTGGAAGGAGAGAAGCAACTCCCACGGATCATCCTCAGACCTCCATGTGCATAACGTGGCATTTACTCTCCACACTTACATGTTCACACACAACAAAAGAAATCTTTTCTTTTTTTCTTTTTTTTTTTTTTTTTGAGCTGCCATGGTAGGTAGCTCACACCTTTAATCCTAGCACTTGGGTGGCAGAGGCAGGTGGATCTCTGTGAATTTGAAGCCGTCGTGGTGTACAACAGGAGTTCTAGGCCAACCAGGACTACACAGTCAGACCCTGTCTCAGAAACAAAAAAACAAAAAAAGAGCTACTGACTTATCCCAGGAAACATGTCCCAGGTCCAGCCAACCCACCTACAGCCCACATGTGACCAAAGAGCAATGAGTGGCTGAACACAAAGTCATAAAATTAAGAGCCAGACATGGTGGCGCATGTGTTTAATCCCAGTACTCAGGAGGCAAAGGCTGGTGAATCTCTGAGTTCAAGGCCAGCCTGGTCTACAGAGGGAGTTCCAGAACAGCCGGGACTACACAGAGAAATGCTAAGAAAAGAAGAAAAAAAAATCCTGAACTTAAAACGAGATTTCTTGTGTATGTGATCTTTTGCCAGTGGGGAGGGGAGTGAAGGGCTGGCTTTACTGCACAGTTCTTAGGCATGACCTTGTAGAAGACAGTGTTGTGTTGCAATGTCAAAGGGCCAAACAAGACTGTGAGTCCAGACTGCGTTCCTTTCTGAAGAAATAAGATACTGAACTTGATACCAACCTAGCCGTTCCCCCTCATCCCTCTCTCTTCTCCTTTGCCCTTTTGGCCTACTGGGACACAGCCTTCAAGGACAAGGCTTCACCCTAACTCGCCTTCAAACCCTAGAGGATACCGCAGGGCTTTGTTGCCACCAGGAAAAGCTCCCTCTGGCCTCTGGCTCATCTAGTATTGCTCCTGCCCAGCGGCTGGCCTGTGCTCTGTCCCCATTCCTACAGTTCATCTAGGTTTCTAGCTTGACTTGAGGACAAGGTAGGTTGCTCTCCAGGAGCAAGAAAGGCAGGGTGATATGGAGAAGAGAGGGAGGCACTGGGTAGAAGAGGAGATTGCTTGCTTGAGACATAGCCTCTAGGATTAGATGGGCCAGAACCCAAGAGTTTGACTGAGGCCCCCTGTACCTGCCAGGTGTTCCTACATGAAGCCACCGTGCGCTTGATGGCCGGAGCCAGCCCCACCCGTACACACCAACTGCTGGAGCATAGCCTACGGCGGCGTACCAGTCAGAACAGCAAGCATGGTGAGTCCAGCAGCTCCCTTACCACAGGCCTGGTGGAGCCTTCACTCAGGGAGATGGGAGGATAGAGCCCTGGCATCTGGCAGAGTGTGCTCTACACCCTTGCCTCTCTTGGCTGCTTAGTGGAGCTGACACTTGACGCAGTGGGCAGCAGGAATGGGGTTAGCTGAGTAGTCATGAATGGGGCTTAGGATATCGTCCAGTGCAGAAGCAGGGGAGGAGCTGCATGGGTTCAAATATCTCAGCCCACACAGTGGCTGTATTTCAATGACCCAGTGAATTTCATCAAGTTTGTTCAGAGGCTCATGGGACCTCACCAATGGCTACACCACCTCTAAGTCCCTCTTCTGTCCTGTGAGGAGGACTCGGGAGAGAGCAGAACATACCTCCTCACAGGATGAGGGGTGAGTTCAACAAATGAGGCCACACGAAGTCCTTGGGACCGTGCTTACATAAATCTCATTCCCACAGGAGAGGTAGACACCTGGCCCGGCCAACGAGAGCGAGCTACTGCCATCCTGCTGGCCTGCCGCCATCTTCCACTGTCTTTCCTGTCCTCCCCGGGCCAGCGGGCAGTGCTGCTGGCAGAAGCCGCCCGCACCCTGGAGAAGGTGGGGGACCGACGTTCCTGCAACGACTGCCAGCAGATGATTGTCAAGCTGGGTGGTGGCACTGCCATCGCTGCCTCCTGACCACGCACGGGCTTGGTCCACCACTTTCCACCTTTGTCTCTGTCTCCCAGGACCTTCCCTCTGTCTCTCAGACTGTCTCCCCATCTGTTTTTCTCCCTCCTCCAAGAGCTGTGAGGATGAAGGCAAGACTGACTTTCTGAGCTGTCACCTGCCAAGGCTTTTGGATCATTTCAGGCCAGTAGCACCATGGGCAAAGCTCCTTAAGAGTGCTGCGGTAAATGCCCGTGGTCTAAGCCCAGGTGGGCTGAGAAGAAAGGCCGTCTGAGCAGGAATGGGGTGATCGCCTCACTTGAAAGCAACCTAGGGTGCTGCCGAGCCCCTTCCCCAGCCCTCTGGAGACTCGAGTGCCCCTCTCTGCCTCTTTGGGGTTTTGTTATGGATTTTTTTTTTTTTTTTTTTTTTTTTTATCATCAGGCTTTCTCTGGGAACTAGGATTCTGTGCACCAGAGAGCATTTTGGACTTATCTGGCATGCCCCTTTTTATACAGATGTTTTTATATGTGTGTCCTTGGGCCTGCCACGATACAGGGCAAAGTTGCTGTGGCATCTGAATTTCTCCCTGGGCCTGCATTCTCTCCCCTAGGCCTGCCTAAGCCTGGTCATTGTTTTCTCATCATTACAAGGGACAGCCAGGGAAGGAAGGGAGCCCAGCCCTGGGGAGGTGGGTGGGAGGCAGGGGCAGGTCTAGGGATGGATAAAATAATGTTGGCATTGTTTTTTAATTTTTTAAAAAATAAATGGTATCTTATTTAATTGTCCTGTTCCTTCCCCCTCTTCCACCCCCTGGGATGGCAGCCTGAGCTCAGGGTAGGCCCAGGGGCTGGACAGGATGAAGCCACCGTTGGGTCTGGGATCCAGGGGTCTTCAGCATGATTTATTTTTTTTCCTTTCTACCCCAGCCTAAGTCCTACCTCCCATATAGCCTATTTTGATCCCTAATTCCTGTCTGTGAATAAGCCAGGGTGGCAGACACTGGTCCCAAGCCCTCCCCAGCAGCAAGCCTCTCTTTTTTCAGGGTAGGCAGCAGGAATCGGGTTATCTTGCCTTGAGATGGGGGAGTCCTAGGAAGAAGAGCAGTCCTGCTTCTCTGGACTGCTTGGCTCAGGGCTTCCTGAGAGACTTGAGAGGAGCCCTCCCTCCTCGTGCTTCTTCAGGCTGGTTGAAGCAGAGAGTAGGTGGGGGCAGGCCCTTCCTATGCTTGCACCCCACCTTCCTATCCTGTCTCCCCAACTGTCACTGTAATTTATGGCCCCACCCATGGGGCAGCCCAGCCCTTGTGTCCTGTGTATATACTGTGCCTTTTCTCCTTGTTGAGGGGTGGGAGGGTGGTTTTTCACTGAACGGGATACACCTATGTCTTCCTTCATTCACCATGTGCTGGACATAGGGTTATTCAATAAACACAGATTGGTACCACCTAACACAAGGTGTGTGAGTCTGTAGTATGACCTCTGCGATGACTTAACCAAATGACTGCCGAACTTGGCCAGCAGTGAACTAGGGACTAGGAGCAGCCAGGTGGCTGCAGTCCGATGGTCCTTCCTTGCCCACAGGCGTACCTGACAAGCTCTAGGGATGGATGAGGGTCTGGGTAAAAGGGCTGTTATCCAGGTTCCAGCCCCTTGCCTGGCCGTTCAGCTGGCTGGCTGGTAGCACGTCTTTGGAACTTGAGATGTCAAGTCACTCCTCCATCAGGTGGGCCACTCCTTCGTTTCCACTTATTGGAGGCAGGTCCTAAGCAGCTCACCAGTTGATGGCCACATACAAGTATGGGTCGGTATTTCCCAGCAGTCACTTTGGTGAACTGCCCGTAGCCTCCACTTGCATGCATGCAGAATGGGATGGCTAATTCCTACCTTTGACCTCAGCACCACAGGCTTACTGCTCATTTAGAGCAGTGTGACATGTGTGAATTACTAGTGTTCGATAAGTGCTTTGTGAAGCTGGTCAGAGGTGGGTGGTAAGACCACACGGAGTATTTGGGCCTTGGTAGAGGTAGAACGGAGGATTCATTCCATCTGAGAATGAGCCTGAGGCTGAACTGTTTGGTGTATGGCTGCGTCTTGTTCATCTGTGTTCATCTGGCCGAGAAACAACCCTGGACCACGTCCTAAAGGGCATCTCCAGCGGAGGAGTACCCTGCAGAGGCTAGAGCAGCCAGGAGGGGTACCCTGCAGAGGTTAGAGCAGCCAGGAGGGCCAACCAGCACATTGGCCTCTGCCTCGCCCCAGTGAACATACAAGGCTCTTGAGCAGAAGGGTCACGCTTCAAGACCTTCATCAGCGTGGCAGGTGGCCTGAGTGACCCTGGGCAAGGTACTTAGGTCCCCAAACCTTACTTTCCTTATCTGCAGACAGCCCCATAGGTCTCTTAGGATTAGAGATGGCAACAAATAGTACCAGTGTGCCAACCCTGGGAACGAACGAAGGGCATATACCTCACCTGGCTGTAGCTAGGGTATCCCCACACACACCAGAACCTGGAACTGAGGGACTTGGGGAAGATGCAAAGAGGCTATGACAGTGCCCTGGGCCTCAGCCAGGTACTGGGAGCTTCTGGCAGGAAGGGGGAGAGAGCTGGCAGTGCCAACCCCTTGCAGCGGGAGCACCCCAAGGGAGGGGCATTGCCAGGCTCGCATTCCAACATCTCCATCCCCCTAACCCCAGAGCAGCTCCTGGGAGGAGGCTAGGCTCCTCTATCCTGAGCACCAGATGTCCATGTGGCCCACACCCATTAGGGGGGTGGCCCTGGGCCAATCTGGCCAAGCGGCCTGCAAGCCAGGAGCCGGCCTGGGGCCAGACTGTGAGGATCAGCCAGGCTGAGCTAACTCAAACTGTTGAGTGAGAGATCAGCTGCGGGTGGGGAGGGGCTAGCCTCTAGGAGAGCACATAGACCCCCACACAGACAGGGTCCCAACAGACCCTCTGCCCTGAACCCAGGCCTTAAGATGACTGAGGCCTACCTGCTCTCTTCTATGGCTCCTTCTGCTCTGAGCAACGTTTGGCATTCAACCCAGCCACCCTCTCTGGCCACTTCTCTGGCTTGCACTACGGTCTTGTACAGTCAATGACTGATGATCCCCTTGGGACTGGAACCACATTAGAGGGTTTATTTACACAGGTACGGATAGCCCTACATTCCCAAGGGCAGAACACCTGGCCCTACCCTTTTGGCCCCTTTAGCCACAGGCTCCAAATGTCCCCAGTCCCGCCTGGATCGAAGCCAGCACTGCCACTCCACGGCCTGGGGCCCAGGACCACGCAGAAGGCTCTAGCAGTTCTGCTTCAGACGGTGACCTCGGCTTTGCTGTTGGTGCTTAGGTGCCGGGGCCCTCGGCCCGCGCTGCTGTAAAAGGTGGCGGGCTGCGCGCTGAAGGCCTCGGGCAGCTTCTCCACGCTGAACTGACGCCGCGGCACGTGACTGGGCCGCCGGGGCGCAGGGGAGACCTGAGCCACCAAGTGGCCACGGGGAACCGGCCGCGTGGGGCGGCCCGCGGTCCAGGCCGCATAGGGGACCGACGAGACAGGGCCGGCGGGAGGTACGTAACCCGGAGGGGCCCAGGGACAGGCTTCGAGCAGCGCGGGCAAGTCCTCCGGAGGACGCGGGGTCCGCGCAGGGAGGGTCCGCGGAGCCGGCTCGGTAGAGGGAAAACGTTGATAGAAGTCCTGGGGTGCAGCCTCTGCAGGGGGGCGGGGGAGGGACAGGACCGAGAGGGTCAGGCATCGCAGCACCTGCCCTAGGAGCCGGGGGTCAGCTGCCGAGGGAGCTGATTGGCTGCTTGGGGACGTCCTGAGCTCTGATTGGCCAAGCCGGCTACCCTTGAGGGCGAGAAGGTAGTAGCATCCCTGTAACCCTGGGGGACTGGCCAGCAACATGCACCTCACCTGTGGCCTTGAGGGCTGCTGCTTTGAGAGTAGCGAACTTGGTGTAGTCGGGCTGCAAGGCCAGGCTGCCGCCACCCTGCAGCCGGGGGCCGCGCGGGGGGCCCGGGGTAGCAGATCCCAGAGGTGCATTATTGAGGCGCTTCTTGTCTAGAGGGGAGTCGGGGGTAGAGAAAGAAAGCCGACCTTGCCTACGCCACCACCTCTTCTCAACACCCTCCCCAACAGCAGCTCCAGGCAGCTTGGAGCATGGATGGCTGTCCGAACGAACGTTCGTTCTGGCTTGGCTCCCAAAAACATGAACAATGGCCGCAAGCCCCGAAGGATGCTATCCTAATGGATGGCTTGCTCGCCAGCAAGGCGCTGCTGAATCCCCACAGAGATGCAGGGGCACTGAACTCCGGAACCCGACATGTAGAAGGTGGGGGAACCGCCAAGAAGACCGAAAGGGTGGGTTCCAGACCCACAAGCCAGAGCCTCGGAACCACAGCCCCAGCCAGTATATCCTGAATCTGGAGCCTTTCTCACAGCACCCTTGCCCAAGAGATGGTTCCTCTCCACCAGGGCTTTGTCCAGACCCCAATCACACTCCTGCACCGGCAACATATACGGCAGGCAGCCGCTGTTCCACCTCCGCTCCCTAGTCAACCAAGCAACTCTCCCCACTCCCAACACCTCCTCCACTGACTCCACAGATGGGCCGATGCCCATCGATGCCCATCCACTAGCCCTACTCACCTGTGTTGTTGAGGGGGGAACCCCGAAGAACACCATCACCCATTTGTACCTGGACACAGTTACCCAGGTGTGGGCCCAGAGGTGGAGGCAGGGGTTCCTGGGGGCTTGGCTGCTTGAGAAGTTCTGTCAGTGTCCTGTGGAGAAGGAAAGATGCTGAGGGGGCTTGCCAACCCCCTGCCTCCCCATCAGCCAGATAAAGCTGGCAGTAGCCACCACTGTCTCCTTTGTTTTGTTTTGTTTTTTTTCCGGAGCTGAGGACCGAACCCAGGGCCTTGTGCTTGCTAGGCAAGCGCTCTACCACTGAGCTAAATCCCCAACCCCTTATTTTATTATTTTATGCATATGGTGTTTTGCCTGTAGCACATGCTTGCTTGGTGCCCTCAGAGGCCAGAAGAGGACATCCGATTCTTGGAACTGGGGTCACAGGTGGGCATAAACCAGTGGTTCTCAACCTTCCTCATGCTGCGACCCTTGAATACACTTCCCCATGTTGTGGTGACCCCCCAACCATAAAGTAATTTTTGTTGCTACGGGTCCTCTGAAAGAGTAGCCAGTGCTCTTCACCACTGAGCCATCTCACCAGTCCCCCGTGGTCTCACTTGGTATCTGTGGGCAGTTCCTTGAACCTCTCTGGACCCTCCCTTCTGTTCTTTCTAGTAACTAACCTCAGATATCTCATTTCCCCTACAAGGCATGACCCGTCAGCCTCACTTGTGGTCCCAAGATGGCCATCTCCCAAAGCAGGTCAGGCAAGTAGTGAGGTCATATGGAACGCGGGCCACCTTGTCTTCCTGAGGTTCCTTCCCGTAGTTCACTCCCCGAGACCCTCCCTGTTGAGGTCCCAGCAAAGCTCTCTGCGTCCAGTACCCTTCTCTTCACCTCCTCCCATAGGTTTTTGTTTGTTTGTTTGTTTGTTTGTTGTTGTTGTTTTCGAGACAGGGTTCCTCTGTGTAGTTTTGGAGCCTGTCCTGGATCTCGCTCTGTAGACCAGGCTGGCCTCGAACTCACAGAGATCCCCTGGCTCTGCCTCCTGCATGCTGGGATTAAAGGTGTGCGCCACCACCGCCCGGCTCCTCCCATACTCTTATTCATTCAAATGCTGCCAGAGCCCCTCCTCCAAGATCTCCCTTACCTGCACCCTGCAGTGCAAGGCTTCTGCTGGGCCTGGGACCTAGCTGTCACACAGGCAAGGAAGGCAGACAATGAAGAAAAGAGGGGAGCCACAGAGATTCCCTCCGTGACAGCCCTGCACCCAAAGGCTGTGTGACCTTGGCCGGCTGCCTCCCTGGGTACCCAGCACACCCAGCCCCCACCCAGCTGTGACAGTGTCTGGCTGAGCCTTCCCCATAGGCAGCCCGGCCTTCAGCCCAGCTGCCTGCAGTACCCAGAACCCATGATTTCCTCCTCCTCTGTCTGACCCTCCTTCTGGGACTGGGTTATGACTGATTAATGAAGAGGCATGATGGAAGACACCTGAAGTGGCCAAGGATTAGCTGCAGGGTGGCAGGGTCTAAAAGGGTCTGCAGCCTGCCGGAGTGGGCACATACCAGGATGAGCACTGATAATCCAGTTCTCCCGGGTAAAGGCAGAATCATCGTGCCTCTGGGCCTTTGCACATACATACTCCAAAGCCTACTTCAATCCCCTCCATGCCCTCTGAGAAGCCTCCCCTAACCATCTGTATCAGCATGGCAGAATTAAAGAGAAATTTGGGCAGGGGTTCAGAACACACCCACCTAGGAGCCCAAAGAAGAGAGTCAAGGCACATTCTTATGGGCACATAACCAGATCGGAATTTGCAGACAGGTGTTGAAAATGAAGAAGCTGGCTATGGACTAGTCCAACCACCCCCTACCCCAATGGGTCTCAGCTCCCATTGCTTCTCTGACCCACTGCTACCTCTGTTCTGCACCAGAGACCCCAAATTCAGAGGCTGAGCCTCTGCCTCTGCAGCATTCAGAACACACACACACACACACACACACACACACACACACACACACACACACACACACACACACACACCAAACACTCATGCTGGCAATTCAGTAGCTAGGGGAGAAATGCAGGATCCCATCCAGCTGTCTGGAAGGGATGGGCTAAGTGGTCTGGTGGCAACAAGTCTCATGCTCTGCCCCTGAGACATCCACATCTGGTCCACCAGGTTGGGGGAGGGGGACTTCTCTCTGCTGTCACTCCCGATGGCAGCCTGTTGCATGTAGTGTCAACAGTCTGACCAGGCTGGGACGTGGGTGGATAGGGAGAGCATACAAGCAGGACACGAGATTTGCTGGGGACATAAGTGGCGGAGGTGGGGTGAGAGCTCCAGGGTCAGGACAGAATCTCAGCATTCCCATCCGGCTGAAAATTCAAAATAAGCTCAAAACTTGAGCCAGCACCTGGCCGATCTCCGAAACACACAGGTCTCTATTTCCTCCACACTTGAGTCCCATCTGAGCAACCGGAGAGACAGACCTTTGCCTGGGGGCTATTGAGGGGACGCGTCTGAAACTCCAAGGAATGAAGGTCAGGTTTGAGTCACACGGGGTTGGGGAAATGGATGGAGGTGGGAGGGAGGGAGAGGAAAGTGGGAGACGCAGCAGGGGAACCCGCCAAGCACCACCCTCTCCCTTCTCTCCGCTCAAGACCACCCTCGACACTGCCCCAGTCCGTGTCCTGCCTGGCCATCGTCCATGCATGCCCCCTCCCCTGGACGCCGAATTTCTGTCTTCTGTAGAGGAGGTTTAGAGCTACAAGGAGAACGACCCAGAGCCCAGGATAGGCAGGGAAGGTCAAGGGGAGGGGATATCAGGTGGCTCCTGCGGGGGCAGGAGAGAGAGACCCAGAAGAAACAAAAACAAAAAGCGAGAAGGGGGGCTGCCAAGAAGCCTAGACTTACAGGGGGGTCGAGAAGGGTGCAGTTGCAGGGGAATTTGGACCCAGTCGGGGACGGTGAGGACGCGGCGGACTGGAGGGCGCGCTCACCTGGTCACCGTGCGCCGAGCGCGCGGGCTGTGCGCTCTCTCCAGGCCCAGGCGTGCCCCGATGCCAATCAGCACGAGTAGCGCGGCGACACCGCACACCGCGTAGACCGCAGTGTGGCTGCGCTCGCGGCCCGGATCGCGCGGGGCGGCAGTGTCACGGGTGCGGGCGGGCGGCCGGCCAGTCTGCACCCAGGCCGGCGTGTCGTAGTTGGAGCAGCGGCTCTGGTCCAGGCGGCGCGGGCCGTCGTGGCAGCAGAAGCGGTAGCCGCACGTGCCGCAGCAGAAGCTGTAGACACCCGAGCTGCAGTTGAAGGGCGGGTCCCACTGGCCCATCACGTCGTAGTAGCCGCGGCAGCGGTCGCCTCCCTCCGGGGCCGCGGTGCTGGAGGCTGCGGGCTCCTGCGCCTCGGGAGCCCCCGCGCGGCCCGACGGCGACCCAGCCAGCAGCAGCGCCAGCCGGAATGCGAGCGGGAGCCCATGCGGGCGCCGGCCACCGCGCTGTCCCCGCGCCCCAGCGCGCTCCATGCAGCCCGCGCCTCCTGCTATTGCGCCCCGCGCATGGCTCGGCGCGCGGCCGCTCTGCCCGGCTCCCCCGCGCCCTCCGGGACCGGTCGCCCCGCTGTCCGCGCTGGCTCCCGGCCGACGCCTCCTGGTACGTCCGCGGCTCCGGACACAAGTGAGCTCCGTGCGGAGTGCGCGGGGCTGGACCTCCGGTGGGCGCGCCCTCCTCCCGGGCTCACCTCGGACTGCTCACGGTGGAGCCCGGCGGCGGGTGCTCGCCTGCACCGTCCCCGGCTCCCTCTGGCCCCGGCGGGCGGGCGGGCGGGCGGGGCCCGGGTCTTTCGGGGACTGAGCCGGGCGGCGGGTCGCCGGACACCGCTACCTTCCCGCCGCCCGCTCCGCGCTGCCCGCGCTCTGGCTCCGGCTCTGGCGCGGGCTCGGCGCGGGCTCGGAAGGGCGGGAGAGGGAGCGAGGGGAGGAGGGCGGGAGGGAGGCAGAACCGGGGGAGGAGCGCGGCCGCCGCGCCGGGAGGGAGGGCTTCTGTAGGGCCAGTGCTGCGGGCGCGCCCCACCAGGGACCCTCTCCAAGGCCTCCCTCAAATTGAATTGGACCCTCGAGGGGGCTCATCTTAAGAGCTCTGGGGACTCGGATCTGGCCTTGGATGAGAGGTTCCCTTCTTTTTAAGTGAGGGGATAGAGGCATAGAGATCAAAGCAGCCGGGAACAGGCCAGGAAGGGTCGGCACCCCCCCCACACACACACACGCCCCAACGTTCCTTCTTTTTATCCTGATCGTGACATGAGTGAAGTCCTTCTACAATAAGGACCCACAGCACAAAAATGGCGAAGAGGCAAACTTGGATCAACCCCTCTCTGGTCTGCCCCAGAGCATGCGCCCTGCTACCAAAACCTAGAGACGTTTGACTGGGGTCCTGGGATGTCCCAGTTCTGGGCACAGCCTGGCCAGAGCCCGCAAGTGGTCTGCTCCCCTCCCCAGCCTCTGCCTTGGAAGGTTGACCAAGTCCTGGGGACCAGGCCAGTCGCACTCTCCTGTACATCCTTGGTCTCTCACTCCTGGCCACTCCCTTTCACAAGCTGAGGGAAAGAATGGCAGGGCAGGACCCAATCGTCGCCCACCCCCTCCAACCCCCCGTTGAGTTTTTAAGGGGAATGTGACCCCGATGCTGGGCCTTGCTTCTCCCTGCTTCAGTAGTTACTGGTAAAATCAAAAGGTTTTCCTGGTACCTGCAATGATGAAGCAGTACTGTATGTAGACTTGGGAGGCTGAAGTGGGTAGACCACTTGGACCCACAACTTTGAACATCCTGGGCTACCCTGTCTCAAATTGCAAACAGAACAAAATGGTGTCACACCCCTCAGGATGGAGCAGGAGGGTTGCTTGAGGCTGAATTGGTCTACATGGTGAGTTCCAGTCTTTATTGGAAAACCCTGCCTCAAGAAAAAGGAAGAGGGAAAGGAAGCTAGCAATTTGGGTTTGGTGGCTCATACCTGTAGGATTAGGAGTTCAAGACCGAGTTGGGCACTGGTGGCACACACCTTTAATCTCAGCACTCGGCAGGCCAGAGGCCTAGGCAGGCAGATCTCCGAGTTTCAGGACAGCCTGGTCTACAGAGTGAGTTCCAGGACAGCCAAGACTACACAGAGAAACCCTGTCTTGAAAAACCAAACCAAGGCAAAACAAAGGAGCCTGGACCATAGGAGACCTTATCTCAAAACCAAAACCAACCAACTAATCAACAAAAAAACAGTGAAATAAATCAAGGCCTTTTCCTGAAGGGCAGGATTCATAATCCATTCCTTCCGGGAGGTAGAGATTAACAGGCCACTTCTCGATGTCCAGATGGGGACACCAGGAGGACAAGGACTAGGTTTCCAATTCACCCCAGTGTCCCTCTGTCCCAGCACAGCCGGGTGCCTGTCAATATCTGCTGAAAGAGTGAAAGACACTTGCTTCTAACTCCTGTATGACGAAGAATTTACCCACCCTAGGGGCTTTTCTCCTCCCTTCTCTCCCTCCCTCCTTTGGAGCCTGGAATCAGCTTATGAAATTGGAGGGTATAGCGGGAGGAAGAGGAAGGATTTACATCTTAAGGAGGATCGCGTCCTTGTGCTGTGTGAGATGAGGACTGACAGGCTATTAGTGGGTTAAAGCTGGAGCGGGGGCAAGCACCCGCCTCGAGCCCGTCAGACCATCTCCAGTTACCCTAGCTAAAACTGACCAGTCCCCCCCCATACACATGCACGCATACCCATGTGATTTCCAGCCAGACCCCCTCCCCCCATCCCCATAAAGACTTTCTACATTGTCATTTAGAAGGGGGGGGGGGGGAACAAGATGGACAGGGACATGACGTGCTTTAATCCCATCACCCGAGACAACCTGCCACAAGCCAAGCGGATCGCACATTACCGCCTCTGTTGGGACTGGTTTTTAGTTCGGGGGTTTTTGTTGCTCTGTTCAGAACTTAGGAGCTGTGCTTTCTGAGGCAACCTTTTTCCTGCTTCCTTCCCTGGCTTTGCTAAAGATGGGGCAAGCGCCACCAACTGTGCTGTGTACGTTAGGTTCCTGTCACCCTGCCGAGCTGACCTTGGGGCTGCGGGGGCTCTGAGGGTGCTCTCTCTCCAACCCCACTTCTGAGCAGCGCTCTGGAACTGTGTTGTCTTCCTGTGTGCCCTTGTTGCTCCTCTTCTGGGGCCCTCTCTTACCCTGTTGTGTTGGTGTCTGCTCAGCACTTGACCTCATATTGACTCCTCAGGACCAGCAGATACCTGTAGTGTAGAGCGATTCTGTCAGGCTGACAAAGGACCTGATTCCAGTTCCCCATCCTACACAGGGACCGATGTCCAAACCTCACCCTATCCCCAGCTTTCTCCCTGTCTTAGCCCGACTCTGTGGATTCTATGGTCAGTCAGCAACCGCAAATGCCATCAACTACAAGGTCTGTGCCAAACATTCAATGCCTGTCTGTATGGACACGTGCTCTTGGGGTGAGGGGCAGCAGGAAAGAGATACCAGACACAGCTGGCCTGTGTTCTGGGGTCTGACTTTCCATGCAGCTGATACCCCACTTCAGGAACACGGCGACGAGCAGGGCTACCAGTTCTAAAGATAATGCAGTTCAGTGAAGGACAGACAGACCTCTTTATCCCGGACCCCAGGGTCTCTGATCACAGCAAGGCTCTGAGGCACCCGCCCCCTGTCTTTCCCCTCCCAAGCCTGTGTCACCAAAAAATCGCCCATTGATCCAGGCTTAAAATAACCCCTGGCATCTGCAGTGAGCCCCACGGGGCGGGCAAGAAGAGCGAGTGTCTGCCTGAAGGGCACCCGCCCCGCCCCCCCCAGCTCCCAGGGCTGGCGGCTGAGTGTAAGTGTGCAGGCGGAGTGTGCTCCTGGATGTGTGTGTGTGTGTGTGTGAGAGAGAGGGCATGTCGGGGGCAAGGGTGACTCTCAGGGACTTCCCTGCACTGTGGGTTTACATGGGTATTTCACTGCCTGACTGGCTGTGAGGGCCTGAAATTCTATGAGCATTAGCAAAAGCTTGTGTTGGGCCCCAGTGTCCCCATCTGAGATGTTAGGTGACCCGTCTTCCACTCTGTGCAGTTGTGGACAGGAAGGGTTGGAATTTACTAGACAGAAACCTAAGAACAGGAGAGGGGAAGTGGCTTGCTGTGACCGGCACAAAGCCCAGGAGGAGCCCTGGGCTGACCTGGAGCCGTCCTGCAAGCCCGGAGCCTGCCCTGGGCCAGCTCAGTATCCAGCGGCTAGAAGCCCTCACTGTCCCAGGGAAGCATTTCCTCCCCCTGACCGGCACATCATGGCCAGCCAGTGCAGAAGGTCTCCCCGGAATGGCTGTTCTTTCAGTCACCTCTCCCTGGAATGCCTCCTTCTGCCCTTATGATGGTGTTTCTGTTCATTGTGGAGCGACACTTGACTAGGTTACAGTTCCCGCTCTAGGTGGACCCATCCATCCCTCTGAATCTTAGTTTTCTCATCAGCAGGATGGGCAGCCAGCAGTCCTTTCACAGAGCTACAAGGAGATGCTAAAGGCCGTGACTGGAAACACCTAATATGGGCAGCCACCTGGGGGTGCCCCTGCAGAAGGTAGTGATGTGACATCAGCTGCCACTCAAGTCAGAAGGCAGCACCTAAGTTCTTCCATTTCCTCCAGAGGTTCTAGGGATGTTAGACTCCCTGCTAGCACAGATGCTGACTCCAGGAGGGGGTCTGGAGGGAGGGCCCTGGGCTGCCTTTGTCTCCTGAGAGGCAGCTCGTGACTCAGGCTCCAGCTGCCTGTGGGAGGGAGGGGGCGATCGGGCTCCTGAGGTCTCAAGGGAGCAGCAGGATTGGGGGGGTGGGGGAGCTGCGCTCCGAAACTCAGCCTGCCTGTCCCAATATTTATGCACTATATCCTGGCCTCTGCCTTCTCCTGCCTGGGAGGTTCAGGTAACCTCGCTGTGCTTGCACCCACCGGATTAGTGTCCTTCAGGAGCCTCCGGAGACCAGAGCTGGTGAGGACAGGGCTGGAAGGCCATTAGACAGTGGGGCCACCGGTTCAGGAAAGTCCTTCCAGCCCAGGAAGCCCATGCCTGGGGGCAACTCTACCGAGTCAGCTCAGAAAGTGGGATGTGGGGGTGTCCTGATTCCTGTCACTTGTGCAACATCCTAGTGTGTGTGATGGCCCACATCCAGACCCCTCTTACTCCGGCCGCAGTTCTCTTGGAAGCACGGGAAGCCAGGGACCCCTCGTGAAGAGAGCTGGAGAGGAGTAGGGGCTTGTACTCAGCGGCAGAGAGCTAGCCTGGTGAGCACAAGGGATTCCATCTTCAGCAGCACGAAAAGAAAAAAAACCAAAAAGCTTAGCGTGGCAGCGAACATCATCATTTGTAAGGGGTTGACCAGATCAGGAGTTCAGGGCCATTCTCCACCACACCGCGAGTTTGAGCCCAGCCTGGACTACTGGAGACCGCTTTTTTTTTTTTTTTTTTTCGTTTTTCGAGACAGGGTTTCTCTGTGTAGCTTTGCGCCTTTCCTGGGACTCACTTGGTAGCCCAGGCTGGCCTCGAACTCACAGAGATCCACCTGGCTCTGCCTCCCGAGTGCTGGGATTAAAGGCGTGCGCCACCACCGCCCGGCGTTGGAGACCGCTTCTTAAAACAAGACGAGAAGGTACCGTTGCCTCAGACCCGACCTGCCCTTTATCAGTCTCCGCCCTTGACCCCACCCCTTGGATTGGCCTCTGGTCACACCCCTTTTCTGCAACCCCGCCGCCTCCTCAGCTCCGCCTTTCCTTGACCCCGCCCCAGGCCCCGCCCCGCCCCTCTAGTCCGACCCCCGAGGCTGCGGCTGGTGGTCTGTTGCTGACTTCCTGAGCTGCGCGGATAGAGGTTCTCCCATCGCGGAGGCAGGGATGACAGGCAGACCAACTTCTAAGGACGGTCCTGTCTGTTCATCTCGGCTGACAAAGAGGAGGTTGGGGGTGGGGGGTGGTCAGCAGGCCTTCTGATCTGGCTTCGCTAGTGGGTCCCCACCTCCACTTGGAACACTCAGGCCCGGAGCTGCCAGGCAGGAAGTGAAAACAGCCTGCAGGAAACACCAAGGGGAACTGAGACTTCTGCCCTCTGCCCCCACCTGTTAGTCCCTGGGGACCTTGGGGAAACCAGACCCTCCAAAGGAAACCCCAGACAGAAGCAGGCTAGGGGGTGTCGGGCTGTCTCCCTCTGTCCCCACTTCATCCAATGTGTCTTCCAGAACCTACCTTGGGCCAAAACTAACGCCAAAAACAAGTCTTGGAGTGGTGATGAAAACGACGTGGGGTCCAGCCGCTCCCAAGAACCTAGCTTGTCTAGGTGACCCCCTGTTGGGTAGGCAGACCAGGTAGGGGCAGGAACCCCAATAAAAATCAGCCACATCGCTGGTTGTGATTTGTGTCTCGGAGTCACATAACCACGCTTGCAGATATGAAATCGTCCTGGCCATCAGGAAAGGGGCGACACCCACAGAGGTCATTAGAAAGGTCAAGCCTCCGGTGGTGGCGCACGCCTTTGATCCCAGCACTCAGGAGGCAGAGCCAGGTGGATCTCTGTGAGTTCGAGGCCAGCCTGGTCTACAGAGCGAGATCCAGGACAGGCACCAAAAACTACACAGAGAAACCCTGTCTCGAAAAACCAAAAAAAGAAAAAGAAAGAAAAAAGAAAGGTCAAGGCCATTGTCACTGCGGTCCTTCTGGAAACAGAGACCACGCAGAGGTTTTGGCAGAAGGAGGCGCTTGCTCTGTGCCCGTGACGCCAGCAGAGCCTGCAAAGGACCAGATGCTTCATGGAAAACTTGACAACTGTTGAAAAGCCCAACTGGGAGTATTTAAAGACAGAACCTACTGTGTGCGAAGATCGAGATGGAACTTCAGGGAAAAGGTATGAGGGGGACAGTACACACTTGCAGAGGTCAGGGGGCAACTCGTGGGAGTCAGCCCGCCCCTTCCGCCACGTGGGTTCCAGGATCAAACTCGGGTTGCTGGGCTTGGCAGCAAGCACCCTGACCGGGTGAGCCATCTTGACCCGAGATGGGAAACTTTTAAGACTGCAATGATTATGGCGGTGAGCCACGCACACGGCGCACACAGAAGCCAGCTCTTTGGGCCATGGTCAGCTCCCCTCAGCAGCCTCCACTCTGCATTATCACAATGTACTTTCCAACTCATATGCGAAGAGAGTATCTCGATTCCCCCCCCCCCCCCCCCCCCCCCCCCCCGCCCAGGGTTTCTCTGTGTAACAGCCCTGGCTGTCTTAGGATTTTCTCTGTAGACCAGGCGGGCTTCGAACACACACAGAGATCTGCCTGCCGCTGCTTCCCCAAGTGCCTGGCTTATTTTTAATACTTTTAAAAGCCAAACATGAATCCCTTCCCCCTTCCAGGTGTTGTTATGAAAACGAAGTGCAGAATGGAAGGGTTAGGGTTAGGGTTTCTTTCCCCAGAAAGCAACACCCATGGCCAACGGCCAACGGGAAGGTGCTGATTTCACCTGCCTGCCCTTGGGGGAGGGGACAGTGTCCCTACTCCTTGTCCCCTCCACTTGCTTTTCCTGGCTTTCCCAAAGAGTTTCCTTTTTGTTTGATTATGATGATGAGGGCGGGTTCTCTTCCTATATAGGTAGGCCTCACTTTCCTCATCTGTAAAATGGGGATGTGTGAGACTTCTCTCAGGTTCCTTCAGCCCTTCTCCTTTAGGGGCCAGAGACCAGGAAGAGAACTTTGTATCCATCCCCCCATTTTCTTCAAAAGAAACAGGTTGAGGGGAAACCGTGTGCCAGCCAGAGGCTTAGCTGGGATGAAGAGGGGCCAAAGGTTTGCATGCCATGGCCCCTCAGGGGTTTCATAGTCCCTTTTTACCTCCAGAGCCTAGATCCCTGCTATAGCTGATACAGGTGGCCAGGGACAGCACAGACTTCTCCAGCCCCAGGCTAGAGTGGACAGCAAGGGTTTGACTGATACCTGTCACTCACTGTTCGCCATCTGACCTCATCCTACTCACCTAGCCCCCTGGAGAGAGGAGGGGCATCTTGGAAATAGATGTCCAGGTCCTGGAGGCTCTAAATGCTACTAGCTACTGTTTTCTAAACTAGAAAGGGAGTGGGTGGGAGGGGCAAGTGTTGCCAGGAACAGAGCTCAGCCAACACAGAGGGATTCCATTTCTGACTCCCGGGCCAGTGCTCCCTCCCAGCAGAGGCTAAGCGGGTGACAAGTTCCAACAAGCTTCACCATGAGGAGGGCAGGCAGGAGACATGATGGCTGCCCGTGAGTGCAGGGTGCCCCAGAACTGGATAGAGAGGATGTGCAGCTTCAGAGCGAAGAGCACACTGTCGGGGAACAGCTTCCACGGGGTGATGTCGAGCCTGGGGTTAGCACAAGCTTGGCCAAGAAAGCCCAGTTCAAGGGGCGAACAGTCCACAGAGGGAACACAAAGGACCTCAGCCCAGCCTTCTTCGGAGCCAAAGGCCTGCCCTGGCCTCTCTATGAAGGAGTCCCATAGGCCACGGCCCTATGTGCAGCCAAGCGGGCTGTGCCCAGGGGACACTGGGCCCCAGGTGCTCTCTGGGGGAGAGTACCACCGTGGTGTTCCTTCAGCTTGAGTATAGACTCCAGCCTGAGACTACAGATTTCTTCCTAAGGCTCTAGAAATTGCCATTGGGGTGGAGATGGCATCTTCTGTCCCAGCAGACTGAGCCAAAGCAATCCATGGTTATTCCTGGGTTACTGACACCTGAGACTCAGGACAGCACAGCCCAATCATTTCCCCCAACTCCCAGGTTATTTCTAAAAATTGACCTTATGGTTGAGATGTAGCTCAGTGGAGACCACTTGTTTAGCGTGGGCCTGGTCCCCAATGCTATGAAAATTCCAGAGAATCTTGCACTAAATACCCATCAAATCAAACCATCAGCTCGTTGCCCGTCACGTCACCTGCATCAGCGTCACCTCACCTGCATCAGCAAGAAGCAGAGAAACACGACACCCCAGATACAGGCTGAGCATCTTCCCGCCGGCCGGCCTTTATTCAGATTAATTCTGTTCATAATGGCACCTTCCCTGCTACCAGGAAAGGCTCTTGCTCACAGTGCCTGCATCAGTCTGTTTTATAGTACTGTAACAAAACGCTAAGGCTAAATAACTTTACAAAGAAATAAGGTTGACTTAGCTCACAGTCCTGAAGGCTCACATCTGATGATAGCCCCTCTTGCTGGCAGAGCCCAGAGTGGGCACAGTAATCACAGGGCCAGAGAGAAGGCGTGCTCGTTGCTACTTACTGCTTCGTCCTGGTGACTTTCCCTGACCTTCCAAGCATACCACTTCTAAACACCAGAATGAGATTAATTATCTAAAAATAACAATAATTAGAGGAAAAATATCAAAATTTAAAAAAGATTTTATTACTATTATTTTGAGACTTGGTCTCACTATATAGCTCTGGCTAGCCTGGAACTTCCTCTGTAGACCAGGCTGGTCTCCAACTCACAGAGATCCGCCTGCTTCTGCCTCCTCAGTGCTAGGATTAAAGGCATGGGCCAGCACACCCAGCCTGTATTTTGTAATTTGTAAGTGTGTGTGGGGGTCTGTACATGGGAATGAAGATGCCCATGGAGTCCAGAGGCATCTGATCCCCGGAAGCAAGAGTTAAAGTCGGTAATGAGTCACCTGAAGTGCATGCTGGGAATTAAACTCTGGTCCTCTGGAACAGCAGTAAGCACTCTTAACCACTGAGGCATCTTTCTAGCCCCTATTTTTAACATTTTAAATTGTGTGTGTGTGTGTGTGTGTGTGTGTGTGTGTGTGTGTGTGTGTGTGTGTGTATGTGTGTGTGTGTGTGTGTGTGTGTGTGTACGTACATGTGCAAGCAAATGAGGTTGGTACCTTTGGAGGCAAGAGGCTTTGGATCTCTCGAAGACAGAAGTTACAGATGGTTGTGAGCTGCCAGACATTTCCACAAGAACAGTTCATGAACGTAACTGCTGACCCATTTCTCCAGTCCACCACCCAGATTTTGTAGAAAGAGATCAAATGTCCAGTCTCTACCTCTTCAAAGAGATTAACATCCAACACTCAAGCCTACCCAACCACTGAAGGCATAAGAGCTTAAAAAACAACCTCAAAAATGGAATGTTCTCGAGCCAAAGGCTAGCACAGAAACAGTCTCATGCTGGTGGGAGCCCGTGGCTTGTAGTGTCTGTGGTTCCGCTGGGTTCCCTCTAGGCAATGGGCTCCGTCCCTGAAGAGCTGAACTCCTTTTCCAAGCCCTTGGGTGAGAGTCCAAAAACTCCACAGGGCTCCCTCGGTTCCCTCCACGGCTGCTATTCCTCAGGGCCGGCTGTCTTGGTGGTCACCAGCTCAGTGGAGCCCAGTTCCGTGGCTGGCACTGGGATGCTATGGCCTGGCAGGGTGGTGTCTGCATCTTCTTTGGGAGTAGGCCAGATGGGAGCGGAGGCGTGAAGGGTTTCTGAGAAGGACACGAAGACATTGTCCAGGGACTCTAGGGTAGGTGAGGGACCAGGTAAGGCAGGTCAGGATTGAATCATAGCCTCCCTGCCTGTTCTAGAAGCCTCCTCTGGAACAGCCCTCAGTGGAGGAAGTGGAACAGCACATGACAAGTCTTCAGGACAGGAAGTGCTGAGTCCAGAGACTTGAAAAGATGAGGAGGTGGGGGGCTGCTGACAGGGAGAGGGGTGTCTGGCCAGTCTACTGGACATAACATAGGACCAGGCCCCTCGGGCTCCCAAAGGGCAGGGCAGACACTTTCATCCCCAAACATCTGTCCTGGGCTCTGAGTCCTTGCTTGGATTAAGGTCTGAGCGGAGCTGTCCTCCTTGCGCACTTGACAGCCTCAGAGCTGACTCTTCAAGACCCCCTCAGGCCTGGGTCCTGGTTCTGGACCTCCCCTAATCACCCAGAGTTGTGCCCCCCACCCCCCAGCCGCCATTGCGCTCCCCCAGACACGGTTCTCACCTTCCTGGACTCCGTCTGGGATGTCCGGGGAGGCCATCCTGCGCTGCTGCCACCACCTCCAGGTCACCAGGGCCACCAGCAACACCAGCAGCACCAGTCCCAGGAGCGCGGGGGCGCCGAAGAGGAGCCCGGGCAGCGGCAGCGTCGCGTCAGACCCCGGCCCCATGCCCACCGACTCCTGCGGCTGCAGCGCTGTCCCGGGCGCTGATGGCGAAGGGGATGCAGATGGAGGGCGGGGGACCGAGGGACCGAAGGCTGGGCGGGGGAGGGACAGAGAGAGACGGGCGGTGAGGGCCATGGGGGGGCGCTGGCCCCAGGATCAGCAGAGGGGGCACGTGGCGCTGCCGGGCTGGGGGACCTTGGGCCGGGTCCCGCCTGTCACCGTGGCCTTGCTTACCGTGCCGAGGAGGAGGGTCCGGCGTGCGGAGGAGCTCACAGGCCACGCAGTGTCGCACCAGAGGGTCGAAGCACAGTGTCTGAACGCATGGCGTGGGCACCGGGCTGTCCCGGCTTCTCCGGCTTCTGGTCCCGCGCTTCCTGGCGTCCATGTCGCCACCGCATGCAGGTGGGACAGAGTTGAGTCTGGGCTCTGTGCCCCTCTAGTCTAGAATGAAACCCGGACGCGGCATCCTCGGCCCCGCCCTTGCCTGCTGGGGTGGGACCACTGGGGTGGAGCCGCAACCTCGCCTGGAACCTCAGACCTCTTTCACCTGTGGTTCCTGTATTAAACCACTCAACTGTCACCGCAGACGACAGCTGAGCATTGCCAGCGCTGGGGGCTGGAGGGGGTGGGGAATGTCAAACTAGAGCCTGCCTGCTCTTGGACAGCAGAGGGGATGGACCCAGCCGTCACCTACCTCCCTCAGCCCCCTGTGGCCTCTGCTGTGCCTCACCAAGTCCAGTTGCTCCACTAGCCATCTACCCCCAGTTCCTTCCTCTTCTGCCCTTCCTAGGGTCAAGACATTGAATGCCCACAGTGGTGACGGAGGGCACGGATATCCTAAAAGACTTCCTAGTCTCGCTACCCTCTTGTCTTCCATATTCTTGTCCTCTGCCCAGCCCTGCCTGCCTCCCCATTACCTTTGAGAGTAGTGGGAACAGGCAACCAGTTACTCTGAACTCCGTGGGAGTGGGTAGATACCAGGCCTGGCCTGGAGGCCACCAGCACAGGTCACCACCAAAAATGAGGGGAGAATGTAAGAAAAATGACATGGCGTTGATAGAGAGGTGCCGTCTAGGGGCCCGTGGTGGGGTGGAGTATTAGTAAAAGCCTGGCGGCACAAATGGGAAGACTTGGGGGAGGGGGGCAGGCTAGGACGGCAGGAAGCTTGGACTCTGACAGCAGGGTGCTGGGGAGCTAAACCGGCTGGAAGCAAGCAGAGAGCCTAGGTAGGATCTGCAGATTATCCAGGGACCTGTTTCCCTCCAGTTCCTTTCTGGGAGCTGTGACCCTGCTTGTGACTCTCCTGCTTGTGACCGTGCTTGGCCGCGCCTTGTCCATGGCCCTGCTGTATCAGGCTCTGGTCCTCAGTATTAGTCTCCCACCAGCATCACTCAAACCCTGTCAACCACACAAACCAGCTCTCTGGGTCTTGTGACATATGCAGCCCCCTCTCCAGGGGTCATGGGCTGAAGAGCACCCGAGGGGGCTCCCAGCTCGGAGCTCAGGCCTGGAGTTCCCTGGTGGGCCTCATGGTGGGCCCCTCTTAGGCTAGGGGCTAAGGGATGTCTTTAGCATCTTCAAGGGGCAGGGAAACAAGCCCTGCAGGAAATGGCAGGGGAACGGCCTATGATGGCGAAGGGCTGGACAGACTGGGGGACATACTGGCCAATGCTGCGGGGTGCTGGGTCATGTGCACCATTGCAACAGATGGACAGGGTCCAGCTGGAGACAAGGCCCGGCAATGAGGAGACATGGGTGTTTGAGTGTGCATGTCACTGCCTTGGCTCAGAAGGGCCCTTTGGCTACATCCAGAGACTGGATGGAGAGGCAAGGAGGCTGGTGTTCTAGTCCAGGGCAGGGGATGGCGCAGAGCTGATCATGGAGTAAGGGAATCAAAGCTGGCCACAGGAGATCCTGAGGACCCACACAGAACCCTAACCAGTCAGCCTCTCTCTTGGGGTTCTGGCCCATTGCCTCTCCATCCCCTTGCCTATGGGCCAGCAACTCCACAGCAGGAAGGTGTAGGCGGCTTCAGGGTAGCTGCAAAGGAGAAGTGGGTCTGGGGAGGTGGGTGTGGGTGTGAGTGTGGGTGTGTGGGGAGGTGGGGGGAGGGAAGGAGCATGGAGAGGAGCCTGGGCAGGGACAGCACTTCTTTTTTTTTTTTTGGAGCTGAGGATCGAACCCAGGGCCTTGCGCTTGCTAGGCAAGCGCTCTACCATTGAGCTAAATCCCCAACCCGGGACAGCACTTCTTATAGGAGAGCGGCATGAAGGTTAAGACCAGAGGCTTGGCTGCAACCCTCTGCCCACACCCCCTCTATCACTACTGGGCTGCTGTTACTCATTGTTAGGGCCACGGAGCCCTGCCCATGCATTTTAGCTATTGTCAGACACTGGAGCTGAAGAGCCCGGAGCTCATGGGAGCCCAGGGACAGGAATCTCACCCTGGGAGAGGGCAGCCCAGAAGGGCCGGGATTGGGAAAATTCCCATGGGCCACACCAAGGAAGTCGGTGGGCAAGGAGATGCTATTTTACAACACAGTAGGATCACTCTTGCTCAGGCTCCAGCAGCAGACAGAGGTCACCTCAGGGTATGAAGGGAGAGGGCTGTAACTCACAGTCACAATGACAAAGCCCTTCACTTCAGCCAGAGAGGGACGTCTGAAGTCTGGAAGGACAGAAGCAAAATTACTCATTTGACACCAATGTTTATTGGGCATTTCCTATGGGCCCCATTGAGACAGGCGCCAGACTGCCAGTGAGAGCAAGAGGCCTGTGGGCTTCTCGACTGGGGCGTGTACAGGTGCTCGATCTCAGATGTTTTCACTTGTGCCTCGGTGGGGGTGGGGGTGGGGGTGGAGGCTGCGGCAGTCCTTGAATCTCTGCCCGGATGATTTCATGGTTAAGAGGAGAGATTTGGGGACTAATGATGGAACTCAGCTGTAGAATGTTCACCCAGCACGCACGAAGCAGCTCTGGGTTCCATATAGAACGGTATAAATTGGGCCTGATGGAATACACTTGGAAACTCAGCAGAGCACTAGGGAGGCAGAGACAGAAGAGGCCCGGAAGTTCAAGGCTACCCTTGGGCTACATTGTAGGTTTGAAGAGTCCATCCTGGGCTACAGGAGACCCAGAGAGTAAGAGGAAGACCAAGAGGAAGAAGGAGAGAGAGGGGGAGGAGGGAGAGAGGGGGGGGAGGGAGAGAGAGGAGAGAGAGAGAGAGAGAGAGAGAGAGAGAGAGAGAGAGAGAGAGAGAGAGAGAGAGAGAGAGAAAGAGAGAGAGAGAGAGAGAGAGAGCTCATCAATGCAGGAAATGTTAGGCTACATTTCAACTTCTTGCTTTTTTCATAGATGTTAAACCAAGTTGTTTATTATTTGAGACAGGGTTTCTCTGTGTAGCCCTGGCTGTACTGGAACTCCCTATATAGACCAGACTGGCCTTGAACTCAAGAGATCTGCCTACCTCTGCCTCCCAAGCAATGAGACAAAAGATGTGCGCCACCACACCTGGCTAGTTTATTACTTTTTAATGCTTATTTTATGTGTGTGTGTTTTAAGTGTATGTCTGTGCACCATGTGTGTGCAAGAACCCTCAGAGGCCATAAAAGGGTGAAAGCTGAAAGATCAGAGAAGCAGAACAGCCAGCCACTAGTTCTTACCTCTACGAAATCCTCAGCCTAAGGAGAGTGAGTTCTTGCTTCCTCACGCCTTATATACCTTTCTCTGCCCTGCCCTATTACTTCCTGGGAAGATGTGTGTGCTTCCGAAACAAAGGCACGAGATCTCAAGTGCTGGGATTAAGGGTGTACCATCACTGCCTGGCCTCTATGTCTAATCTAGTGGCTGGTTCTGTCCTCTGATCCTCAGGCAAGTTTATTAGGGTACACAATATATCACCACAGGGTGGCATAGTTTCAGAGGTTCAGTCCATTATCGTCATGGTGGGACATGGCAGCATACAGGCAGACATGATGCTGGAGAAGGAGCTGAGAGTGGAAAAGGCGCTACATGTTGATCCCACAGGCTACAGGACACAGTTTGAGACACTGGGCATGGCTTGAGCATATATGAGACCTCAAAGCCCACCCACACAGGAACACACTTCTTCCGACAAGGCCACACCTCCTAATAGTGTCACTCCCTCTGGAGGCCATTTTCTTTCAAACCACCACCATGTGTGAGTGGAGGCAAATGTGCCACAGTGCACATGATGTCAGAGGACAACTCTCAGGAGTTCTGGGAGACACATTCAGGTGCTAGGCTCAGGAAGCAAGCTTCTCTTGTCAGCCTGTACATCTATATATTCTTGACTATAAAATGAGGGGCTTTGTCGCTGAAAACGCCTTCTAATCAAATTTTTGTCTTACTGATTTCAACTATTTCTTTCTTTCTTTTTAAGATTTATTTATTTATTATGTATACAGTGTTCTGCCTGCACGCATCCCTGCAGAGGACACCAGATCTCATTACAGATGGTTGTGAGCCACCATGTGGTTGCTGAGAATTGAACTCAGGTCCTCTGGAAGAGCAGCCAGTGCTCTTAACCGCTGAGCCATCTCTCCAGCCCTGATCTCAACTATTTCATTGGCTAAATGCTGGCTTCAATCTCACTACATAGTTGAGGATGACCTTGAACTCCTGATCTTTCCATCACGTGCTAGGGTTGTGGGCATACCAATAGGCCCAGGTCAGACGCCTCTAACTCAGAGATCTGCCTGCTTCTCTGCCTCCTGAGTGCTGGGATTAAAGTCCCTAACACCATGCCCAGCTGCTCCTATTTAAAAAAAAAAAAAAATAAAGAAAAAAAGGTGATTCATTTGGGGGTTGGGGTGGGGAATTCTTGCTCTGAAAAATTTCCCCAAAGAACATCAGATGAAGAAACAGGTTTTCAGGGGCAGAGGGCTTTCAGAGCATGAGGCGGCAGGAATGAAGGCCTGGATGGGGTCTGCACCCACCTAACTGTGAAGCGTGGCCCATGTTCTTCATGCTTCAGAGACCTTCAGGGAAGTAAGGCCACTCTGCCATCTATGGGACAAGCCCGGTGTGACGGGGGTGCGGGAGGCAGCCCCTGGGGACAGAGGCCCAGCCCCCCATATCTAGATGTGAAATTGCTCTGAGACCTGGATGTTCTCAGACAGCAATGTTAGTTTAGTTATAATCAGGCCAGGGGACCCACACTATCTCATTAAAAGTCCTTCAAGACCGTAGTTTCTGAGTTGGAAGTGGTGGCCGGGCAGTCTCCGTCCCCTTGCCCTGGAGACTGCTCACACACAGCCTCAGGTCCACACATGCAAAGGCTTTTTGTTTTGAGAAACATGAGTCATAGCATGGAGTGCCCTGGGGCCTTCCCAGTCACCCTGAATTGGTTCGGGAACTTCATGTCCACCCTCTTAGCTCCACCCCATTTTTTTCAGTGCCCAGTTCTCAAAGCAGAGGTGCCTTTCCCCCCCTCCCCCTTGTATCTCGTTCTGAGAAACAAGGACACTGTTGGAAAGTCCCCTTCAGTGGGGACAGAGGGAAGGACACTGTCAGGCTTTCTCTTTACTGAAGAGGGGTGGGTATGGTGGGGAATCAGCAGTGTCCGCCCGCAGGCCTGAGCAGCAGGAGCCCCAGGCAGAACGGTGGTGACGGTGGGCCCTGTCCTCTCTCCTCCCAGTCAACGGCAGGCCACGCCCTTCCATGAAGCAGTACTCCACTCCCTCTGCCTAGCCCAGGCTACCCCCTCTCCGTACATCCCCCCTGTGCACTGTCACGACAGGGTTCCTGCTCTGTCACTCTTTAAGTGTGGCCTTGGAGTCAGGACAAGAGACCACAGAACTTCAGCTTCTGTGCACGGGACGGTGAGACTGTGAGAGGAACGGGAACGTTCCAGCTTCATTCAGGGCACCGTAACAGAACAAACTATGGCTGGGCTCTGGGCCTCCTGCGGACCCCACACAGGGCTATTTCAGCAACCAGCGAGTGCTGACTCCGCACCAGGCTCCCCCTAGTCCCGGAGCAGAGCGGCAGCCGGCAGCCTGAGCTGAACTCCATCGAGGAAGCCATCTAGTAGGCAAAGGCTGAGGGGGGCTAGGAGAAAAACCCAAGGAGAGTATCAGGGAATGAGGGGTGTGCTTCTTCTGTCTTTAAGATTTACTTGGGGTTCCGTGAGAGACGCTGACTCAAAAATAACACGGAGAACAGGAGAGGAAGACACTGGATGCAGACCTCCACACTCATAAGCGTAGCCTGTGCGGGTGCACCTGCACACACATACCGCATGGAGGAAACAGGGCGGTGAAGGATCAGGCTTTTGTTTTCAGCCATGAGAACCCCAAGAGGCAGAGCAGTGGGGATCAAAGCAGGAAAGCGGGCTAACCCACATCACAGGGCCTGGTGGTGAGACTCACGGGCATGGTCCTTTCCTCTGTGGCCAAGCAGCCCAGGCCTCTGTTCTAGGGGGTGATAAGCTTCTATCTATCTATCTATCTATCTATCTATCTATCTATCTATCTATCTATCTATCTATCTGAGACAGGGTTTCTCTGTGTAGTTTTGGTGCCTTTCCTGGAACTCACTCTGCAGAGCAGGCTGGCCTCGAACTCACAAGAGATCCGCCTGGCTCTGCCTCCCGAGTGCTGGGATTAAAGGTGTGCGCCACCACCGCCGGCTTGATTTTATTCTTATAAATGACATTGGGGAGGCACGTTCACACATGGAGGTCAAAGGACAACCTGCAGGAGTGAGTTCTGAGATGAAATTCAGGTCATCAGGGTTGGCAGCAAACACTCTTAACAGCTGAGCCATCCTGCCTTGTTGGCCCTGGTTTGTTCAGATGGTCTCATGTAGCCCAGACGGGCTTTAAATGCACCGTGTAGCTGAAGATGACCTTGAACTTCCACCCCTGAGTGCTGGGATTACTGATTTGAGCCATTATGCCTGCACGTGTTGCCATGGATTGAACTAGGGTTTCACGCATGCTAGGCAAGGGCTCTACCAACCGAACTGCACCCCAGCTCCTTGTAGAAGGTATTAATATTGCAGGCTGTGTGTGAGGCCAGGGGACAAGTTTCAGCGTGTACTCTCCCATCTTCACAGGGCAGTCAAGCTCACACAGCAAATGCTTTTACCCCACAGACCACCTCAGCCGCTTCCCTACTTGCATGAACTGGTCTTACACTGTAGCCCAGGCTGGCCTGAAAAATCACTGTTCTTCCCATCTCTGCTGGCTACAGACATGAGCCACACCCAGCTGGGGAGAGGATCCTTGGTGATTCTGCAGCTTCCTTTCCTCTAGAGGAATGGCCCACCACCACCCCTTAGGCAGGGACAAGAAGGACCCCCGGATTACTGCCCACAACACTTGGGACAGCATCCTCCTGAAGAGACCTGAGCTTCCAGGAGGGGTATAAGAACTGCCCATAGCAGGTAGCCTAGGGGACAAATGAACCTGTGATGTAAAGCAAGCACTCTCACAGGATCTTAGCCCTAATTCAGGCCGCAGGCATCTATCTGATAACATCCCGAGTCTTTGAATCACCCAACTACGCCACCTCAGCATCAAGCCCAGTCCTCATGTCCTCAGCCAGACATCCTGCCAGGAACAACCGCTCCCTGCTGTCTTTGCTAAGGTCTGAGGGCACCTGACTGGCATTTAAGTGTCGCTCAGCCCTCAGGGGCAGGCCAGCCCAAACCCAGAGAGGCGCCTCTAGTTCCAGGGTCCCTGCCAAGCTTGGCAGGGAGCTGGCAGTAGTGACAGCCTCAAGCTCCCCCAGCTCTTGGAAGGCTCCCAGGCCCTCGCTGGAGAATGTGATGCCACTTCTCTTGTTAAATGGCACCAGGTGGCAAAGAAAACGTGGTACAGGGACCTGAGGGAGAGATGTGCACATCACGCTAGCTAGGCGAGGGGAAAGGAAGGGGTGAAGCTTCCTATTTTCAGCAAAAGGTGACAGAAACAGGAGAGGTGTGGCCATGCTGCCTTCCTCTCTAGCTTAGGTACCGCTCCATCAGCCCTCCCGAAACACTTTAGAGCCCAGGGTACTGAGGGGTCTGGAGACATTGCCCCAAGACTGCTGCTTTCTCAGACACAAAACCTGTGTTCCCCTCTCAGGCCCTCCCAGGGGGGATGACACCCCTTTGTGGAGCCACACAGAACTGGGGGACAACACAGGCCTTCCACCCACTGGCTATGACTCTGGACACACCTTCAGTGAAGTCTGTCTCAGGGACTCTGAAACAGGGAATCAGCAACCCTGCAGGCATGCTGGGAGGTCGGCAGGAGCTGCTGCTGCTGCTGCTGCTGCGTGAGCAGAACTCTGTGAAGCGTGAAGTGCTCTCTCTGCATGTGTCAGGTGACATGTGTGGCCTCACGGGGACCTCAAAGCTAAGGTCCCTCCTGGGACCCAAGGGGCTGCCAGAAAGCCAGGAAGGTAGTCTAGTCGGCTGTGGTACCGGCTTCAACCCCAGCCCTCGGGAGGCAGAGGCAGGTGGATCTCTGAGTTCAGGGCCAGCCTGGTCTACAGAGTGAGTTCACCATACACACAGAAATCCTGTTTCAAAAACAAACAAAAACCCCCCAAACACAAAAAAAAACCCTGCAACAACAAAAATCCAGAGAGGTACGTCTAACTCTTCATACTAGGGGCAGGGCACTGGGCTGTTCTGGAAGGCAGCTACAGCCCCTGGGACATCCAAGTTGGCTGTCCCTGCCAACCACTGATGGAAGCCTTCTGTACTCTCAACAGACCCCCATCCCCCAGGCCCCCATGTGCTAAGCCCACCTCCTGCAGCACTGGGAACCTTGACTGGGCTAACAGAACTTCCCCAGTCCAGCCTGGCCCGTCTACAAACTTCTCTTTGGATCTGAGGGGAAGTGTGCAACGGCCCCCAGCCGGCTGCTCACTTCTCACACTCTGACCTTGCTGGTGCCATTCCTGAGGTGAGATGTTAAGAATCAGCTCGGTCTGGTTTGACCTGGTTGTTACTGTTTGTGGAGTGCCTTGTTGCTGCTGTGCAGGGCATGACAGCATGTCACCTGCCGGTTCATTCAATCCTGTCAACGTGACTTGAGAACCATCTCCATTTACACCAGAAAGACGGCTTCCCAGGAGCAACAGCCAGGCTGGGCCAGCACGTGACATTTCCCTGGGCTCCTGGAAGCCACGCTCTGCCCCCTTAATTGTACTGAGTCAGTTTCCTCATTTACAAAGTCAAATGGTGGGTGAGATAGACTTTTAGGGTTTTTTTTAGCCATGGCTCTTTGTTCCAAAGAAACCTTAGGTGGATGTACCCCGCCAGACAGGTGAAGATACGGACCTCTGTGGGGTGGGGCCTCTGTGGTGAGCCGGGAAGCATGGGGGTTCAACCGCTGGGCTGCCCTCCCCACTCCTGCCCAGCACTCCTCGGTGGAGCAGAGCTCAGCCCTGCAGTCAGCAGGCTGCCTCCCTCCAGGGCCTGTCAGGCCCTGACTGGTCTTCACCCACAGTGACTGCTTCTGGAGCTGGAGCCAAATGCGGGGAGGGCAGCGGCGCTCACAGCTCCTTGGGCGCGCTCACAGCTCCTTGGGCGCGCTCACAGCTCCTTGGGCGCGGGGCTGGTGGAGCTCCTCAACAAGGACAGCAGATTCAGCGCTGAGATCCCTGGCACGTGGCCAGCGCAGATCTGCAGCATGCGGACCAGGCGCTGAGCCACGGGGGCTCGAAAGCTTTCCACCTTCAGGGAGAGCAAAGAAGAGCTGTGAGGGGGGGGGGGGGCTGGCTCTGTGGACATACTCCGTGCAGAGGCCAAGGCAAAGCTGGGGGCCGAGGTGCACGGGTACCCTAGGACTGTGCCACACCTTACCAGGCAACTTCCTACCTTGTTTTTCAAACCCAGAGACACCCCCAAGACTGAGCCCTGATCAAGATAAGGGATTTGACAAGACTGGTAGGGTCTGGTCAGGCCATGGTGGCGCAAGCCTTTAATCCCAGCATGCGGGAGGCAGAGGCAGGCGGATCTCTGAGTTCGAGGCCAGTCTGGTCTACAGAGTCAGTTCCAGGAACTGACAGGAGGCTGCACAGAGAAACCCTATTTCGACAAACCAAACAACCAACCAACCAAAACAACTGGTAAGGTCAACTACACAGTCCAGGGTCACAGAGGGGTGACCGCAGAGCTGGGATCTCAACCATGGCTAGTCCCAGCCACTGACAGGCACCCCAGGAGGACACAGGCAGAAGGGAGGATGGACAGAGTGGCCCTCAACACAGATAAGGATGTGTGACCCACACCCACGTGTCCTTTATTGGGATGGAGGGCTCAGGGGAGCTGGGGGTTATGAAGATGTCCTGGCCCTGGACCAGTGAGTTCTAGGCAAGTAAGAGACACTGATAAACGTTTGCCTTGCCGAAGAGCCAATGATACTCCAGCAAGCGGCCTCAGGGCACTGTCAGCCCGTCACTGACTTGGCTCCTGCAACTCTGCCTCATCTCTAGAGGCAGCGCCACCCTCCCAGCTGTCATGCCGGAAGCCTCAGTTGTCCCTGACTTGTCTTCCTGTCACCTCCCATCTGGCCACCAGCACATTCTGTTGACTGTCCAGGAAACAGCAAAGACTATGGACCATCCCATGTCGCTCTTTGCTGGACACCACTGAATCCAGACCACTCGACCCTTCCAGAAAAATCTCTAAACCTTGTCCTCACTTCTGCCTTCCTCTCTCTTCATCTACTCACAGCCAGAGCGAAGCCCCGTGCCTGCTGGGCCCCAAACCTCCAGCGGTTCCAGCTTTATTTGGAGGAAAAGCACAGCCTTTACTGACTCTACAACCTCACGCCATCACTGCTGACATTTCCCGTTACTCTGCCCTCCCAGGGCTCAGCTATCCACCCAGGCCCCCCTGAAGGACCCTCACCACACCAGGCCACACCAGGCAGCTCTGGTCCTCTACACTCTGCACTTTCTTGACGAGCACTCTCTGCCAGATAGCACGAGGCTGTTGCTCACACATGAGCTCTCCCCTTCGGGATCCATTCTACCCACAAAGCTACACCCCAGACTCTCATCCCTTCTACCTCATTCATATTCTCTCTCTCTGTCTCTGTCTCTCTCTCTCTCTCTCTGTTTTTGGTTTTTCCAGACAGGGTTTCTCTGTATAACCTTGGCTGTCTTAGAACTTGCTTTGTCGACCAGGCTGGCCTCGACCTCACAGAGATTAGCCTATCTGAGCCTCTAGAGTCCTGGGATTAAAGGCGTAGGTCACCACGGCCTGACTCCAGTCACTTTTTTACATTGCAAACAAACAGACAAACAAACAAGCCCACGTGACTAGTTGTGTTCCTGACTAGAGCACAGCCAGGGCATATATAAATCTTACCATTTTGCTCTCTGCTGTGTCTCTGATGCCTACAATGGTGCCGGGTACACTGTGTCTGTGTGACAGGTATCGTGAATCCTCAAAGGTCTATATCTCCAATCTACTGCTGCTGGAGTCTGAATGCCACAGCTGTCTGCTGTCACTCATGACCCATACCGAGACACACCCTCCACACTGTCCAAGAGTTTCCCAGTCTATAAAAGAGAGCTAGGCACTCTTGTCACAAAAAGGCCTCCAAATATGTTGAGGTTCCAAGGATAAGACAAAAAGTATGCTCTGAAAATGCCAGCTCAGACACATGCAGGGACCGACGGTCCACAGATGGGGCTCTTCATCTGAGGGACCTAGGCGTGTGTTCTGGGCAGGTATTTGTAGCCCTCCGCCAGCTGGGAACAGACTGCGGCCTCTGCTTTCCTCTACACAGATGGCTCCGTGACTTTCCTTTCTTTTTAAAACTACTTTTAGAGAGAGACTATGTTGCGTGTACATGGTGTGTGTGTGGTGTGTGTGTACGCCCATGCATGACGGCCAGAGGTCAATTTACAAGGAATCCATTCTCTCCTTCTTACCTGTGGGGCCCAGGGACAGAACTCAGGGTGACAGCAAGTGCCTTTACATGCTGAGCCTATCACTCCCTAGTCTAGGCCTCAAGCGCCATGAAAACTGAAAAACTGGTGTGGCCTGCCACCTCATGGCCACATGTGGAACTGCAACAGCACCTGTTCCATGGTTAACAGGCTCCACAACCACCACCTGCACCTGAGTTGGGACGCAAAGATGATTCCTCAGTAAGAGATCACAAACCTACCGAGAAGTGGGTATAAGGAGACTTGCTCAAAGCCACACAGTCAGCAGGCCACAATGGGGAAATCGCTGACCACCAACCGGCTGGCCCTAACTTTGCGTGACTGAGCAAGGTGACTGACTCTTTTTGGAGTGTTTTCTCAGAGGTTTGCTATGAGGAAACCCTGCAGGGTGAGACACTTCAGGTGTGCCGGGGGTACAGAGTGTCGTCACCTATGAGAGCAGAGCCTGGATCTAGTCAAGGATTCTGATAACACTGTTAATAACAAAAGACAGATGTACAATGCTGTGGTCTAGGGGTGGTCTAGGGGGCAGTTTAGCAATCAGAACAAAGTAGCGACGAGGTCTGCCCTAACATGTAAATGAAAGCATCAGCAGCTCTGTGTGTATGGGTGTTCTGCCTGCATATAAATCTGTGCACTATGTGTGTGCCTGGCGCCCCAGAAGGCCAAGCGTATCAGAACTGGAGTTACAGACAGGTGTGAGCTATTATGCAGATGCTGAGAACCAAACTCAGGTCCTCTGCAAGAACAGCAAATGCTCTTAGCCAACAGCCAGCACTCCAGGCCCAGCATGCTGTGTCTGTTGGTAACTGTTAACTTAGCTATTCCCACTGACACTCTTGGCTAATTCATGAGCTCAGCTCCAGCTAGAGGTTAGTACGGTGCTGGGGGGGAGGGGGTAAACACTACTTCTCATGCAAGTTTATAGGTCACCTGGATTCTGCCATCACAGGCACAGTCCACAGACCACATAACAGGAAACCCTGGGCCACAGGATGTGTGGGATTTTGTCCTGACCTGATTCTTACGGAGTTACTTCATCTTAGGGAAAAGGTGCCAGACCCAGGACACAACTGTTCAAAACAAACCTCAAAACTAACAAAAAGATCCCCAGAGCAACTGAGCAGGCCAGGTATGTGGGTGGGGCAGTTCAGGCCCAGAGGACCTTCAGTAATTCTCCCAGGGAGCGTACATCAACTCCTGCTGAACAACAACACATGTCTGGGGCTCCAGAGCTGGCCGGGTGGGAAGTGTGCTTGCTGTACAAGCATGCATCGTGACCCTAGCACCCATGTCAAAATGTGTACGTCTGTGTATGTCTGTGAGTGCCAGTGACTCTAGTGCTGTGGGGGGAAGGGAAGGGCAGAGGCAGGAGGATTGCTGGGACTGGATAGCCACCAGTCTAGCTCCAGATTCGGTGAAGACCCTGCTGCTGTGGAATAATCCTCCTGTACACTGTGTGGATATATGTCGCTATGGTTGGTTTAATAAACAAGCTGACTAGCCAATAGCTGAACAGGATAAGGTTAGACAGGAGAGCCAAACTGAGAATGATGGGATGAGGAAGGGTAGAGTTTAAGGCTTAAAAGCTAAGCCTTAAACCAGAATTACATGCCTCCCTCCACACCGGGCCACCTCCCCTGGACACTTGGTGACCCTTCAGTAAGCATTCCTGATATGCTTACCGTGTTCTCACTGGCCCCAATGACCAGAGTTCTTACCTCTAAGTCACAGAAGAGCAAGGGGCTTCGGTAGGTGTGGGCCAGTTTTATAACTGTGTTCCGGTGAATGGTACAGTGGCTCTCCTGTCCAGCTGCAAAGAAGCCAGGCACATTTCAGGCTACATCCGCCAGAGATCCACCTGCCTCTGCCTCCGCCTCCCAAGTGCTCGATGGATAATTGAGTTTCTTCACTTTTGAAATAAGAACAAGAACACCCACTACATAGAGCTGCTCAGAGTCAGTGAGCTGATACTGAGGAATCCCAGGCATTCACCGGTTTATCAGTATTCACCGAGAATCATCACCACCATCACTACCACCACCACCATCACAGGCATCAGTGCGAGCCTCTAGGACCTCAGTGTCATAGGGAATGCTGGCAGATCAGATAGATCGCTGACCCTGAGCAGAGTGTTTGGGTATTCCCACAGGAGTAAGCCAGACAAAGAGGAGAAACAGGACCTGATAAGAGTCCCAGTAATCGCCGGGCGGTGGTGGCGCACGCCTTTAATCCCAGCACTCGGGAGGCAGAGCCAGGCGGGAGTTCGAGGCCAGCCTGGTCTCCAAAGTGAGTTCCAGGAAAGGTGCAAAGCTACACAGAGAAACCCTGTCTCGAAAAACCAAAAAAAAAAAAAGAGTCCCAGTAATCATTCAGAGGACAGTCCTGATGCCAGGCATGGTGACACAGAGTTTGAGGATAGCCTGAGCTATATATTGAGTCTCTGTCTCAAAATGTAAAAAAACTAATGAAACAGCAAAAACCCAAACGAAAGAAGGTGATGGATGGCCCAGCAGCAGGACTATGAAGCTCGGCTCCCCACTAATGAGCTATCGGGCCCTGGGCAAGGCACGTATGCTCGTTCTCCTCAGCTGTAAATCTGAGGTAATGCCTACTGTAATAAAAGACCTCAAAGACCATTGTGAAAAAAAAAAAAAAGAGTGTTTGAGCAAACGGATTACCAGTAATCCTGCCTCCCGCTCAGGACCAGCAGGACCTTTTCCAGAGAACTGTGGCTGCCCCAAAGAATGAGAGGAAAAGGAGTGGGGACTAGACACAAAGGGAGAGGCTAATAGCAAAATCCTTGAGACATGATCTCACCATGTTGTCGAGTTGGCCTTGAACTTTGAGTAATCCCCCTGCATGCTGCTCTCAAGTTCCTGTTTCTCCTGCCTTAGTGTTGAGATTAGAGGTGTGTGTAAACTTCCAGGTTAACTTTGCCTCTTTAGAGGATTTGAATTTCTCTCTGGAAGCCACAGGAGTCAGTGAAGAACTCCAAGCAAGAGCACAATCAGCTACCGGGATCAAGTTAGAAAGCCAGTAGTGTGGTGGCACACGTGTGCCTTTAATCCCAGCACTCAGGAGGCAAAGGCAAGTGGACCTCTGTGTGTTTGAGGCCAGCCTCATCTACATAATGAATTCCAGGACAGCCAGGAGTACATAGTGAGACCCTGTCTCAAAACAAAAACCAAAGGACATTCTTAAATGGGGGCTGGAGAGATGGCTCAGCAGTTAAGAGCACTGACTGCTCTTCCAGAGGACCCAGGTTCGATTCCCAGCACCCATGGTGGCTCACAACCATATGTAACTGTAACTCCAGTTCTAGATCTCATGCCCGCTTTTGATCTCCTTAGGCAAAAGAAAAAAATTCAGTAGCCGGGTAAGGAGAACAGCTCTGCAAACCTCCTCAGCAAGGGGTCACAACTGCTATTGCTCTAGCTGGGGTAGGAGCGCAGCAGGAAGAGGCCACACTTACCCCCTGTGACCAGGAAGCATACTTTCCCCAGGAAGAAGCTGCTGTCCACATGGTTCAGACACTCTTCCACATTCCGGAGACTGGGACACAAGGCCAAGCAAGAAAAGACACCATAAGAATTTTACAGCATAGCCCTGCGTGATGGCGCACACCTTTAATCTGAGGGCTCAGGAGGCAAGGGCAGGCAGATCTCTAACTTTGAAGCTAGGCTGGCCTACAGATTGAGCTCCAGGACATTCGGGGCTACACAAAGAAACCCTATCGCAACAACAACAACAACCACTACCACAACAACCCCCCATATTGAGTCCTGGGGTTGAACTCAGGTGATAAAGCTAAGCCATCTTGTTGCCTACCTCCGCCCCCAACCCCCCACTTTTGAGTCAAGATCTCATGTAGTTCAGGCTGCCCTGAAGATCTTGAACTTCTCATCTTCCTGTCTCCATATCCCAAATGCTGGGATTCCCGTCTGTTTTATTTTTATTTATTTATTTTTTTTTCCAATACAGGGTTTCTCTGTGTAGCTTTGCGCCTTTCCTGGGACTCACTTGGTAGCCCAGGCTGGCCTCGAACTCACAGAGATCCGCCTGGCTCTGCCTCCCAAGTGCTGGGATTAAAGGCGTGCGCCACCACCGCCCGGCCTGTTTTATTTTTTAAAAGGTTTTATTATTATTATTTTAAACTATGTGTTGACCGGTGCAAGCATGAGTTTAGGTGTATATGAAGTGCTGGTGTCTGTGGGATCCCCCAGAGCTGGAGTTACAGTAGGTTGTGAACCTCCTGCTGTGGGTGCTGGGAACCACATTTTCGGCACCACTGAGCCACCTGCCTAGCCACATGTACCCTGTTTTAAAATTTACTTTTACTTACAGAGAAGGCCACGAATGCTTATAAAACAATCAAGCAATAAATATGAATACACACACACACATATAAAGAATCCTCCTCTTTGAATCATCCTTCACTGCCAACAGTTTGGGGTGTGAATTCTTCTAGGACTCTTCTTTCATGTGCAAATACAGCGGTCCGTTTAAACACCTACTGTTTTTCTCAACTACTGTCCCACATACTACCCAACTCCTGATTGCTGTAGTTTTGATATGGTTTAGGGCTAAGAGGTCATGTGCTGAAATTTAATGCCCAGTGCTACAAACAAGATAAATAAACCAAGGGCAGGAGTTTGGGCCGGAGAGAGAGCTCAAAGGTTAAGCACACTGACTGCATCCCAGAACCCACCAGGCAGCTCACAACTGTCTGTAACTGCAGCTGCAGGGGGCACAGTGCTCTCTTTTGGCCCCGCTGGGCAGTAGGCATACACGTGCTAAATGAACAGGTGACGTCATGATTTATCTTTCAAACCACCCCCACAGCCCTCCCTCCGCAGCCCTCCTCACCCCTCCTCACCCCTGGCAGCCTCTGGCTGCCTCCTGCCTTCCCATCTAAGGGTTACTGGTCCAGCACAGGCCCTGGCTAGGTCCTCCAGCGCCCTGTCCCGGCTCTCACCTGTGTTTGCTATGCAGGTTAATCACAAACACAATCAGGTCAATTCGGGGCCGGTTCACATTGGAGGGCAGAGGGAGGGAGTTGGCCAAGTGGCTGAAAAACAGAAAGTGCAGGACTAGACATACTCACCTCACAGTGACTGTTGTTCACACAGTGTCCTTTACAGGGAAAGGAGCTGCTTCAGAGGGAGTCCAGCACTGAGGCAGGGCACAGCCAGTTCTACCCAGACCTCTCTGGTCTGGGTCCCTCAGCCAGAGGGGGGCTGTTGGTAACCGCTGTGATAAGAGGACCTCAGACCCCCCACCTGGGGGGGGGGAGACCAAGCTGGGGGGGGGGCTTGGCTGAGACAAGAGGATTTAGAAACCCTGCCTGCTGGGGTAAGTCCAGGCTCAGGGGAGGTACTGGGCTGAGATGGTTAGGGATAAGACTGAATCCCTTTGGTATGAGGTAGAAACAGGCTCGATCCAGTTTTGTCATTTCCTAGCTATAATTGCCAAACACACCCACCTGAAGGCCTTTCATGAATTCTTCCACCCATTCTTTGTATATATTGCACTCTTTCCTTTTCTTTCTTTCTTTCTTTTTTTTTTTTTGACTGGGTCTCTCTATGTAGTTCTGGCTGTCCTGGAGCTTGTTATGTAGACCAGGTTAGCCTTGAACTCACAGAGATCCTCTTGCCTTTGCCTTCCAAGCTCTGAGATCAAAGGGGGTCCGTCACCATGCCTGGTCCATCACTCTCTTTCTTAGATTATAATTCAAGGAATACCAAGCGTATAAAACTTTTTACTTTTTTTTTTTTGAGACAGGGTTTCTCTGTGAAACAGTCCTGGCTATCCTGGAACTCAATTTGTAGACCAGGCTGGCCTTGAACTCACAGAGATCTTGAACTCACAGAGATCCGCCTGCCTCTGCCTCCCAGTGCTGGGATTAAAGGCGTGTCCAACCACCGCCCGGCCCAAACTTATTTTTAAAATTATTGTAATTTCTTTCCTAAGACATGGGTCTTCTGCAGCCCAGATGCAGCCTCTCACTTCCTGTGTAGTTGGAGCTGACCTTTGAACCCCTGATCTTTTTTTTCTTTTTTCTTTTCTTTTTTTTTTTTGGTTTTTTGAGACAGGGTTTCTCTGTGTAGCTTTGGAGCCTTTCCTGAAACTCACTCTGTAGACCAGGCTGGCCTCGAACTCACAGAGATCCGCCTGCCTCTGCCTCCCGAGTGCTGGGATTAAAGGCGTGTGCCACCACCGCCCGGCCACCCCTGATCTTTTTTGACTCTACCTCCAGGTGTTGGGATTAGTCTTGTGCCATCACGCCTAGCTAAAACTACATAAAACATACATCTCCCTTTTCCGGCTTCTTTGGTAGCTGGGATTACAAGATCACTGTTCAAGGGCAAATGCATTTTTAAAAATCCTTTTCTGTCTCTGAGTTATGAGATTGGTCTGGTGTTAATGTGTTTCATATTCTCAAGCTTGGAAGCCTGGTGAGGTTAGAAAAATGAAAGGAAAACACGCAGTAATTACTGTTCCTCCAAATCTGGGGCACTAAAGAATTCTCAGAATTTCGTTGCAGGCATAACCATGCCAGAACCTTTTCACAACCACTGAAGCTTTCAGGGTTTTTTTTTTTTGCTATTTTCTAGTTCATCTCACTGGACTAGTTCATCTTCACGTCACTATGCTTTCCTCAGAAATCCCCGCCTTACACTTCTACTAGCCTGAGACATTTTTATCATTTCTTGGATCATGAATTAACCAGATTAACTCAACAGTTATTAACTGAGCTACTGTGTGCTAGTTACTGTTTAAGGCTCTGGGGGCTCACCAGTGAACGGGAGTCAAAGTCTGTCCTTAGGGACTGATTTGTGTGTGTGTGTGGTTAGGGGAAGGACCAGACACAAGCAGACAGGTGGGGAGGTGACTTCTTTGTATTTTGGTTTGAGACAGGGTCTTACAAAATCCAGGCTGGCCTGGAACTGGATTGTAACAGAGAATGACGTAGAGCCTCCTGTTTCTACCTTACAAATGCTGTGCCCCCTCATGTTGTGCTCTAAACGGTGTTCATTTTCCCCAGGGGCTTTGGTTAGTCTCTCTTTTCAATCTAGAGTCACCTGGGGGGTGGTATGTCTCAGTGAGAAACTGTCTAGATTAGGTTTGCCTGTGGGCATGCCTTGTGAGGGATTTCCTTTCTTTTTAATTTCTTAATTGGGTTGAGGAAGGCAGATGGATCCACTGCAGGTGGCACCATTTTCTGGGAGAGGATTCTGGATTGCTGTAACTGCTTCAACTTCCTACAGCACGGACTTCTCCAGCAACGACAGGCTACAAGTAACCTGGCACTGCGAGCCGGAGAACGTCTTTTCTCCCTAAAGTTGGTTTGGTCAGGGTATTTTATCGCAGCAAAAGGAAACGAAACCAAGATCTGCTTTGCTTTTAGGCACTGACGACCAAACCCAGATAGATCTTCAATGAGTAAGTGGGTTTTCGGCGTATGTATGAGTCATGAACATTTGCAGAGACCTACCTGTAAAGGAGTCAGCTCCGCAAGGGTGGGCAGGGCAGTAAGGACGGAAAGGTGGCAACTGGGAGGAGTTGGGGCCCTCCCTCTCCCGCGGGCTCCCTTCCCTTCCCCTCAGGTCAGCCTAGAGTTCAGGCTACACCTCAGCAACTTACACCCTCAGCTCGGATGCACAGTGGTCTTTGAGCATCGACTCCGCCAGCCGCTGCAGAAGCGCATCCTCCCGGCCCACCAGCTGCGAAGGGAGAGAACCAGACAGGTGGAGACCGGAGCAGGGCGGGCGGCTCCTCTCGAGGGCCCCATTTCCCGAGGAGGGGACCCCGAGGAGCTACACTTCCTGAGAACGCGGGAAACCCAAGTTCGAACTGGAACGCCCACTCAAGCCGGTTGCAGAGCCAGCCGCGCGCCTATTGGTGGAGGCGGCACTCAGCTTCCCGAGCCGCCGCTCCGATTGGTCCGGAGCAGTGCGCCCGCCCACCCCGCCGCCGTCCGAGCGCTCTGTGGCTGAGGCCGCGCCCAGGCCTGGGCTTGCGGGGAGCCGGCCCAGGGGCGCCGCCCGCACCTACCAAGACGGTGGCCCCGTTCAGGTCGGGGAGCTTGTCCATCGGCCTCAGCACCGACATCTCAGCGGCAGCCGGGCCACCCCGCTCAGCGCGCGGATCTTTCAAACCGCCCCGAGTCCCGCCTCCAGGGGGCGGGGCGGGGCTTACAAGTCTGGGCGGGGCTTCCTGCCAGCTCCTACTCTTAAAGAAACCACTACCTCGTTGCCTGCCCGACCCTCCAAGATGTCTTTTATTTTTAATTATGTGCATATTGTGTGTGCATCCGCGCTCATGTGAGGAGAGGTGGCTGCGGAATCCAGAAGAGGGGAGTTGGAGTCCCTGGAATTGGATTTCCAAGCCAAGTTCTGAGCCACCTGAAAAGGGTTATGGGAACCTAACGCAGGTCCCCTTCATGAGCAGTATGTGCTCTTAACTGCTGAGCCATCTCTCCAGCCCCTACCCTCCTCCTCTTTTAAAAAGGATTTATTTCATTATATTTTTATTTTTGTTTTTGTTTTTGTTTTGTTTTGTTTTTCGAGACAGGGTTTCTCTGTGTAGCTTTGCGCCTGTCCTGGAACTCACTTGGTAGCCCAGGCTGGCCTCGAACTCACAGAGATCCGCCTGGCTCTGCCTCCCGAGTGCTGGGATTAAAGGCGTGCGCCACCACCGCCCGGCTCATTATATTTTTAAAGTTTTCTTTTTAAATTTATTTTCTTTTATGGGTATGGGTGTTCTGCCTACATGTGTATCTGTGTACCACATGCACCGGGCCCCAAAGAGGGCATCAGATACCATGAAACGTGTTTACAGATCTCTGTGAGCTGCCATGTGGGTGTTCTGAATCCAACCTGGGTCCCCTGGAAGAACAGCCAGTGCTCTTAATGGTTGAGCCATCTCTCCAGATAAGTACAGCCTAAGTTTCCCCATCTAACTATTCCTGATGGTGTGATTTCTCTCCCAGCTGGTCTTGGGACTCCTCCGCCTCCCCCAACTAATAGGACTATGGACCTGAAAGTTCCAAATGTATGGTTTTTTCTTTAAGTTCCTCAACTTTAACTTCTCTCCCTAGTCTATATCTGTCTCAGCGGATTTCTTCTTGACTGACAGACACCATCCAGGAATCAGCTGTGGAGCACAAACTGTTCCAACTGGCTTCACGCCCTGGACTTGCTGAAAGGTGATGTGAACTACTCCGGCCTATGTGATTGCTCCCATTCTCTACTGCTGGGTCGGTGAACCAGATGCTTCTGATGGATGCCCTTTTGCCTGAATCCTCTCCTGGCCTCTGACTAACATTCCAGCCCTCCTGGTCCCTGACAATGATGTCCTAATTTAGCAGGAAATAGTTACAGAAGAGAATACATCACCCCTTGTCCTCTCCAAAAGGCTGGAATGTTAGGTCAAAAGGAAAACCCCCTGGTATATATGCCTATTGGAATACAAAGGAAGGTACCTACTAAAACCAAATAGAACCAAATCTATCAACAGACAAATTCATTAGCTAACATAGTTCTATAACATGATAGGGCACTCAACCTGCTTTATACAGGACAAGGAGGTTATTGTATGGCTTAAGAAAAATTCTTGTTTCTGTGCAAACTACTTGAAAACCATTAAAGAAAATTGGCAAGGATTCAGCCTACTAACACTGGAGAAAGGTGGCCTTTGCCTATTCCTCAAGGAGGAATGTTGCTTCTATGTCAACCAGTCAGGTATAATAAAAGATAAAGCCAGGCGGCGGCGGGCGGCGGCGGCGGCGGCGGCGGCAGCTCACATCTAGTGAGTTAGCAAACCTGTGTGTTTGTTTTATCTCCGCCCCCCCCCCCGCCCCCGCCCCCCCCCCACAGGGTTTCTCTGTACAGCCTTGGCTGTCCTGGAACTCACTCTGTAGACTAGGCTGGCCTAGAACTCACAGAGATCTGCCTGCCTCTGCCTCCCGAGTGCTGGGATTAAAGGTGTGTACCACCACGCCTGGCTCTGTTCTATTTTAAAGATACGTATCCCACCACTTCAGTATCAGCTAGGACGGCTGTTGTCATCCTGGACCTTCTCACCGGCTCCCGCTCTCACTAAGGTTCCCAGGACAGCCAGCCATTCCCCACATAGCATCTGGGTCCTTTTGAGACGGAAAATCAGAACACGCAACTTCCTTGATCCAAACCAGCCCACGAATCCCATCTCAGCGTGCTGCAAACATCTGGCATGATCCCCAGGTGTCCTGGCTCCCGACGACAGCTTCCCTGACCTCCTCTTCTGCTCTTCACCCCTCATTGATAGTTGCACCAGCGTGCTAGACGCTGGCCATCCTTGCTCAGGACTTGGTTCCTCCTGTTCCCTCTGGATGAAATATCCCAGATAGTCAGAGCTCGCCTCCTCACTCCATTCATGCCTCGGCTCCAATTTTAACCTGTCACAGGGGCTTGCTCTTTCCTGTGGCTTTTCTTTTGTTTTTGAGACAGGGTTTTACTCCGAGACTCCAGCTAACCTCCAACTCTGGGCAATCCTCCTGCCTCAGCCTCTCCAAGTGCTGGGGGATTAGAGGCAGGAGCCACCATGACCAGTTAGAGGATATGGGGGGGGGGCACCAAAACATGTATACACATTTTATGATGAAACCCATTATTGCATATAACTAATACACGCTAATAAAAAACATTTTTAAAAAATGGGCCAGTGAGACGGTGTTTGCTGCCGACTTTGACAATCATACACGGTGGGGCGAAAGCGCCGGATGCCAAATGTTATCCTCTGGTCTCCACTCACACACCATGGCACTCATGCCCATACATACAGATTGGTGGCCCCCCAATCCCAGCTATATCCTTCTCTTCCTAAGTATTTCCTAGAGAGGACTTTTCTTTTTTCCTTTTTCTTTCCTTTTCTTTCTTTCTTTCTTTCTTTTTTTTTTTTTTTTTCTGAGACAGGGTTTCTCTGTGTAGTCCTGGCTGTCCTGGATCTTGCTCTGTAGACCAGGCTGGTCTCAAACACAGAGATCCACCTTCCTCTGCCTCCTTAGTGTTGAGATTAAAGGCATGTGCCACCACCATCCGGCTTAGGAGCCTTTCTTACTGACCCTACCTGAAATCACAACCCTCTCCCTGCCTCCTGGTGTCCTTTTCTGTCTCTGGTCTCCATTCTCCATTGCACTCATCTCCACGTCATTGTCACGAACTTCCCAGCCCCGCAGAGTCTGTTCTACTTACAAACTAATGATCTAGCTCATTCCTGTTTCCTGGATGCTTCCAGAAGACAAGCCCTTCCAGGAAGAGATGAAGGACACATAGCTTTATTTACTTTATGGGAACAGTATGAGCTGGAGATGTTGCTCAGTTGGCAGAGTGCTTGCCTCAGAGATACAAAACTCTGGGTCTAGTCCCCAGAATTACAAAAACAGGGTGTGGGGCCACACACCTATGATCCCAGCACTGGGGAGGTGGAGGCGGGAAGATCAGAAGATCAAAATCCATATGATTTTGAGGCCAGCCTGGCCTACATGAGGCCCTGTCTCTAAAGAAAAACAAACTAAAAGCACCAGCTAGTGTTACTTTCCCGTGATTCTTGGACTCCACAGTGGGCGCACTGTGGATCTTGCGAAGCTAGTGGGCAGTTTTGTTTTGTTTTGTTTCTTTCTGAGACAGCCCTGGGGTTGGGGATTTAGCTCAGTGGTAGAGCACTTGCCTAGCAAACACAAGGCCCTGGGTTCAATCCTCAGTTCAAAAAACAAAAACAAAAACAAAACAAAACAAAAAAACCAAAACAAAACAGGAGACACTCTCTGTAGCCCAGGCTGACCTTGAACTCACAGCGATCCTCCTGCCTCTGCCTCCTGAGTGCTGGGATTAAAGGCGTGCGCCACCACTGCCTGGCCTAGTGGGTAGCTTTATAGTGGCTGGTAAACATGTCTGTTCTTTGCTCAGGAGGGGATAGGACCCTACCCTTCCAATTCTTTTCTACAAATACAACTCTGAGCAAAGGCTTGAGTACAAAGCTGTTGGGGTCTTGCCTTCTTGGCCTTTCTAGAAAGAAACACCCTGAAATGTTCAGGGCACATAGCAGATTGCTTTCTTTTAAAAATGTTTTTATTTCTTTTTTATGTGTATGAGTGTTTGGCGGATAAGTGCACCACATATATGCAGTACCTGAGGAGGCCAGAAGAGGGCATCAGATTCCCTTGGAACTGGAACTTGAGTGGTGGTGCCATTATGGTCCAGCTAACATTTTCCTTAAGACTGGCTTCTATGAGACCCTCGTGGGACACCTATGAAAGATGGGGGAATCTGAGTGTTGAGGTCTAGAGATCTTATCCTTTAACAGAAGCCACCCCAGCTTTACCTCTGTCACAGGTTTCCATGAAGCTTTTTCTATGACTAAAAGAATCACTGGCTGTAGTGGTTTGAATAGGCATAACCCCAAGACTCATGTGTTTGAATGCTTGGCCCATAGGGAGTAGCACTATTAGGAGGTGTGGCCTTGTTGGAGTAGGTGTGGCCTTGAGGCCTCATTTGCTCAAGCTATGCCCAGTGTGGTACACAGTCTCTCCTGCTACCTGTGGATCAAGATGTAATAACTCTCGGCTCCTTCTCCAGCACCATGACTGCCTGCAGGCTGCCATCCATGCTTATCACCATGATGATAATGGACTAAATCTCTAAAACTGTACCCAGCCCCAATTAAATGCTTTCCTTTATAAGAGTTACTGTGGTCATGGTGTCTCTTCACAGCAGCTAAAACCCTGACTAAGAAAGTGGCTAAAACAATACCTACAGACCATTTATCACACACTTTACATATTTGCTGAGACATAATTGACACTTCGGAAGTTACTGTACATGCTGAGAATGGGTGGTTCAAGTAATCCCAGCACTTGAGAGGCAGAGTCAGGTAGTCAGGTAGATCAAGGCCAGATGGTCTACGTAGTGAGTTCCAAGACAGGCAGAGCTACATAGTTCTAAAAAAAAAAAAAAAAGAAGCAGCAGCAGCTATTATACAAGCCAGATTTGGTGATGCAGAGCGTCATACTTAACACATGAGAGGTTATGAATTTTATATCTAGCACTGAAGGAAGAAAAAATTGGGCTAGTGAGATGGCTCAGCAGGTAAGAGTGCTTGCTGCCTCAAACCTAATGACCTGAGTTCGATTCCTGGAGTCCACATGGTAGAAGAGAACTGATTCATGCAAGTTGTCCTCTGACCTCCATACACAGACTGCAGTAGGACACAAAAATTAAATAAAAGCATAACACACAATTTTTTTTTATCGTTTTTAAAATTTTTATCTATCTATTATTTATTTATTTATTCCGAATGCTGTTTATTGAAGGAGGGAAGAGGTCTTAAATACAGGCTTATAGCACAATGGGAGAACCCTGGAGGGCAGAAGTTCGCTACAGATGTTTTACAATCTTGCATCTAAACTGTTAACGTCCATTATGCAGGATACACAGACAAGGAACTTCCCTTAAGCATTCAGGAGGATAGAACCTGGCAGGGAATTAGCATAGGGAGGATATCAAGATCAAGGTCAGCAAGCAAGGCAACAGTTATTCAAAACAGGGGCCAGGGCCCTACAGGTCCCTACAGGTCCCTCTTTTACTAGAAAATGAGCTTCTGACTTAGGTTGCGTGGGACATCAGGAGGTCACCTTACCCGTCATGGAGACGCCTGCCCAGGCCACACAGGCGCTCTGTCTTCGGTTGGTGAGCGCCCCCCAGACATTACCCATCTCTGAATACTCATTATCATACAGGCTCAATTGTGTGTGAGCTGCAGAGTTAACTGCTGCCAAAGATCTCAAAGTGGCACTGGGCTTGCAATCTGTGTGCATAACACAAAATTAATGCAATAATTTAAAAAAGATCTATGGGCCGGGTGGTGGTGGTGCACGTCTTTAATCCCAGCACTTGGGAGGCAGAGGCAGGTTGATCTCTGTGAGTTTGAGGCCAGCCTGAGATATAGAGTGAGTTCCAGGAAAGGCACAAAGCTACACAGAAAACCCTGTCTAGAAAAAACAAACAAACAAAAACAAAAACAAAAAAAACCATGGGTATAACAGGTGTACTTCACCTGATAGTACACTTTCCCTGGTATACTTGAAGTTTAAAATCCCCTGGAACCTCACTTCACTCCTCCTTAACTCACATGCATCGGAATGGACCCACTACACCTGCAGAGCTCCCAGGTGGCATAGCAGCATGCCAGGGTACTGAGGGCCCCAAAGCCACCTCACCCAGAGCCACCTTCTACCTCTATGTGTCCCTCAGGTTTTCTGGGAACAGACTCTGGGGGACTGGGTCCCTCCAAGCATCTTCTGGGTCCTTGGTGGGGGGGGGGGGGAGCTGTTCTATCCTTTTGAGACAACAGCCATTGCTGTCCAAAGAATGTGCACTGGATGAGACAGCTCACAGACTACAGACTCCATCTAGAGCCCCCCAGGGGAGAATCCAGGCTTAGAGCTTGGGTCTCATGACCCCAACCCTCACCGGTGATTTTGAATCCAGCAGCTTCACTTCTCTGAGCCTGGGCTGACCCTTGGCCAAGTAGGCCAACACCCAGCCAGCAGGAGGGCTGAGTGGGGATGCTAGTGCCTGGTGAGCTGTAGAGATGATAAGGTGTGTGTGGGGGGGAGCGTGGAGAGGTGTGTGTTGAAGGCTGTCAGAGGGGCCCTGAAATCAGGCTAGCGTGCCTACCTTGGCACGCTCTTGTCCAGCCTGGTGACCTTAGAAGAATAACAAGTGGGTTCACAGAAATGAAGGACTGAAAAGTGTCTAGTCAGGAGCTGGACACTGAACCAGCCCACCCCTGGCCCTCAGTCTCAGTTCTGGGTCATCCCTTTATAACACGGAACACTCATCAGCTCTGCCTGGTACTGTTGGTGTGTCCCTGTTCACCTGACAAAGACTCTAATCTGTCCTGGGTTCCCTCCTCCCTGCCTTCCATCCTTGGGACCTAGTCCCTGCTAGGTGACTCTCATCCCTCCCTGAATTCCGCTCTCCCTGTCATCTGCTGAACCACGTGTACAGTAGAGGGAGCCAGAAAAGAAAGCTGGTTGCCAGGGCAACAGAGGATAAAGCCCTTGCACTGTCTGGCTGCTGATTGGCTGAGACAGGTCCCACCTCCTGCCATCCTGAATGTGGGGGTGCAGAGGGAAAGGGTCTTTCATGGCAAAGAGAAGTACCAGGATGCCAAGCCGGTTCAGGAATATTGTCTTTTGGCCGACTTAGAGGCCTGCAGGTTAGAGAAGCTCCATCTCCCGTGGGAGTCTTGGCCTGTCACTCTCTGCCTCTAGCTCCCACAGTGGCCACAGATGGCAGTGTCTCTGGGGACAGCAGCTGCGACTGAGTCTACTGGCCAACACTGAGCCGCCACTCAGGCTGAGGCAGCGTGCTTTGTGCAGAGACCGCAGACCAGGCATCTACGGGTATGAGGTGAGTCTGCAGGCATGCTGGGGCCATGAGTATTGCCAGTGGCTTGGGAGATAGGGAGTGGGGCTCTGCAACCTCTACACCAGCCCAGGCAGAACCTGGGCTCAAACCGGCTTGGCAATTTTCTTAGAGATCGTCTGGCAACCCTCAACCCCACCCTGCCATTGTGCACAGGGAACCCTGCAGCCTGTAGAGGGTGAGGAGTGGTCCAAGGTCACAGAGAGAGCCTGTGAATGTTTTCCTCTTCACTTAGGTCAGATTCCCTGAGAAATCGGGAAGAGGTCTAGGAGTCCTCTGTTGCACCAGAATGCATGGATTTTTGTCTAGAGTATTGGGAAGGTAGGGGCCCCCATCTCTGTAAGTGAACTAGATAGATACTGCTTTGTCCCAGACTCTCGTTCTCACACTTAGGTTTCGGTCCTGGGGCCCCTTTCTCCGCCTCCCACCACAGCATCAGCACCTAGCCATTCTGAACTCTTTATTTGGCTCTCCAGAAAGGACAATGTGTGGGAGGGTGCTGGGCCCTGCCCACTGTGCCCACCTCAGCTGCTCTAGTCCTGACTCAAGACAATAAACCACCCTTTAATATGTCCCTCCAGAAATAGGGCATCTTTAGCTGTTGGCTGCATTTCAGGACAGCAAATGGGAAGCCTGGGGAAGGGAGATCCAGATAGACACGGGACCGGAAAGCAGCATCTCTCCCTATCCCAAGACTACAGGCCCCCTGGGAATAGAGGGGACAGGAGGAGCTGGAGTTGGGAGGTCAGAATAACGGCGTTTCTCTTCAACCCGCTCTGGGGGTGATCCTGTCCACTCCCCTGCCCCACTCACCACCAGAAGCCAAGGCGGCTCGTTTCCTCATGCTTGGGAAGTTTTTTCCCTGTCGCAGAGGACTCAAGCCTCAGGCCATCACTGGGAGTCAGCTCTGCTACATCTCAGTTGGGTAATCCTTTGCACAGTAGCTTGTCCAGGTGTCTGTGCTGTCCTTGGTCTACGGACAGCAGTGGTACCCAGCCAGTATGCCCTGGTTAAGCCTGTGAAAATGCTGTCCCTGCCAGCTATGCAGAAGGGGGCTCCTCAGACCATGCTTTCCTAGACCTAAGGGAGGTGTAGGGGTGGGTAAGCAGACCCTGCCTCTTTCCATCCTTGGAGAAGGCGATTGGTGATTGGACTTTTGAAGTTTGCCCAATAATTGGGAATGCAAGAAACTAAGGCCGATCAAGGCAGACGTAAGGCTGGGGACTGCATGGCAGCAGGTGACTGGCACTCGGTTCCATGATAGCACACAGCGTGGGACATGAGGTAGGAAGGCTGGCAGAGAGCAGATAGCGGCTGTATTTGTTACTTTTCTATTGCCGTGACAAAATGCAAGGAAACTCGGAGAGTGAGTTGGGCTTATGGTTTCAGATGATGGTGGAACTAAGGCATGATGGTGGAAACAGCTGATGGCTCACATTTTTATCCACAAGAGGAGGCAGAGAGAGAGAGAGGAGAGAGAGACAGAGAGACAGAGAGACAGAGAGAGAGAGAGAGACCGAGAGAGAGGGGGGGAGAGCTAGCTAACTGGGATTAGTGTGGGCTTTTGAAGACTAAAGCCTGTCCTTAATGACACACCTACTCCAACAAGGCCACACCTCCCAGTCCTTCCCAGACAGTTCCACCAACTGGGGACCAAGTGTTCAGACATCACGAGCTTGTGGGGACCATTCTCACCCAAGGCACCACCAGGACGGAGTCTTGGGAGTCTGGGTTCACATGACTTTTGTGAAGCACTTTACAGGCTCCTCTCCAAGTTTCTGCTTTTTCCTTTTGTGGCTCAAAGTAACAGTCGCTAACACTTGTTGTGTCTGGCTTGGCCTGAGATGACATTGTTCCAAACCCACAGAATAGGGCTGGGGTATATTTAGTAGAGTGCTTGCTTAGCTGCATGAAGCCCTGGGTTTGATCCTCAGTACTTCGTAAACCAGGCAGAGAGTCACACTCTTGTAATCCCAGCACCAGGGAGGTCAAGACAGGAGGATCAGAAGTTCAGAAGTTCAAGGTTATTGTCAGCTACAGAGTGAATTTGAGGCCAGCCGGGACTATATGAGATCCTGTCTCAAAACCGTTTTTTTCCTTTTTTTCAGGACAAGGTTTCTCTGTGGGTTTTTTGGTGCCTGTCCTGGATCTCGTTCTGTAGACCAGGCTGGCCTCGAACTCACAGAGATCCTCCTGGCTCTGCCTCCTGAGTGCTAGGATTAAAGGTGTGTGCCACCACCGCCTGGGTTTTTTTTTTTTGAGACAGGGTTTTCTATGTAGCCCTGGCTGTCCTGAAACTCCCTCTGTAGACCAGGCTGCCCTCAAACTCAGAGATCTGCCTGCCTCTGCTTCTGGAGTGCTGGGATTATAGGCATGCGCCACCATTTCTGGCTAAAACCATTTCTTTTCTTTCTTTCTTTTTTTTTTCTTTCCCGGAGCTGAGGACCGAACCCAGGACCTTGTGCTTGCCAGGCAAGTGCTCTACCACTGAGCTAAATCCCCAACCCTTGTTTTCTTTTTTTTTTTTTTTTTTTTTAATGGGCTGGTGAGATGGCTCAGCAGTTGGAGTCCCTTCCTGCCTTGCCTGGCAACCTGAGTTTAATCTCCCGGACCCCGGATGATTCAACAACTGGGCATTACCTTCCTACCGCCACACTCATGCTCTGAGACTCGAGCACGCGCATGTGCACGTGCTCGAATGCAGGTTTCCGTTTCATTTACAGTGTGCTTAGGAAGTGATCCCTAGTTGCATTTCTTTCTGCAGATAGGGCAGCTGAAGGTCAGAGCATAAGATCGACATTATAGCACCTCTCATAGGGCAGGCCTTGGTATGGGAAATCTTCCGCGCACCAACCCACTCAACAGCCCCAGAGCCCTACACCACTCAGGAGCTGTTATTTCCCTTTGCAGCCAAAGAAGCTCTGATCTTACCCAAGTTATATGGAGCCAGCGTCGGGGGCCTCATAATTCCAAAACTGGGCTATGTAGTGTAGATGCTATGGATACCAGGCCGAGTGCTCTGGGGACCGGCGTTTGAATGCTATATTTTCACCAGGCCATACCTTGCCTGATGTAGCTGTGGCCTCGGTCATCCTTGCGTGTGTGAGTGGGTGGGTGGGTGGGGGGTGTTGGCAAGCCGCAGAAGACAGGGTTCAGCCAGGCCTCAGGGTGCGGGGAGACCAGAGGAGGCTCCTCCCCACTTTGTCCTCTTACAGTGAGTGATTTGTGCCCCCGCGAAGATCAGTCACTCAGTGAATGCTCACCATGACCTGTGCTAGGGTTGGACTAGTTTCCCTTTCCATCCGAGGAAGCTGAGACCCGGAAGCAACTTGTCCGAGGGCACAGACTCGGGAGCACAGCACAGCTCCGGGCTGTAAATCTCTTTCTTGACGGATGAGTAGGAGCTGAGTGTCCTCGAGTGCAGGGGACAGCATGGTGCATGGGGGAAGGCTGCTGAGTCACCCTGACGTCTTGGTCAGGCACTGTCCCCCACTCCCCTAGGCGGTCCCCCCCATCTGTAACATGATGCTGGAAGGCACTCGGGTCTCTCTCTCTGGGTGGGTGCTACCAAGGAGCCCTCTCGTGTCCTCATGACTGTGTCTTGGCAGCCAAAGCCTCCGCGATGCCGCACTTTCTGGACTGGTTCGTGCCTGTCTACCTGGTCATCTCCGTCCTCATCCTGGTGGGCTTTGGAGCTTGCATCTACTACTTCGAGCCTGGCCTGCAGGAGGCGCACAAGTGGCGCATGCAGCGCCCCCTGGTGGACCGTGATCTCCGCAAGACGCTGATGGTGCGGGACAACCTGGCTTTCGGAGGCCCTGAAGTCTGAGACGAAGGACAATCCCTTGGTCTTTCCATCCGTGCATCTGTAGCCCAGTAGAGGCCCTTGTTGTTCAGGGAGGCCCCTGCGTAGAAACCAGGCACTTGAATATCTATCTTATTTGCTACTCCAGGCTCAAAACCTGGGCATCAAGCCTGCTCACCCCATGCCTTCCCTTCCTAGCTCTGGGGACATCCTCCACTGGCCCTCAGTGCCTTTAAGTGCTGTCCAAGCTCCTGCACCTCCATCTGGAGTCAGTTATGACTGTCCCACGGAATTGCCAGTTGCTTCCAGCTCCCATCTCTGCCTCGCAGCTGCGCCGCCGGGCTGCTCTCAAAGCTGACCCAGGAAAAGCATTTCATCAGAAGGATGCCAGCTTGCTTCAGACCAGCCCCACCCACCTCGGTGGGTTCAGGCTTAGAATGAGTGATAGTGTATGGTGGAAGTGTGCAGAAGGGCAAGACTTTGAGAAGGGTGTGTGTGTGTGTGTGTGTGTGTGTGTGTGTGTGTGTGTGTGTGTGTGTGCCGGCGGGCACTAGTAGGTGAGAAGTTATGTGTGTATGAGAAAGAGAATGGGGGTCCCCGGGCAGAGCAGGCAGTGGTGGGGGTGGAGCGGGCTCTGTGAGGGGAGGGCTGTGTGAGGACTATCCACAGCAGGTTCCAGCCCCTTCCTTCTGCTGCACCCTTCCACTTTCCCCCTAGGCTGAGGTGGCCCACAGGAGCCCCTGCCCATGCTCCCTCTCTGTCCCATGCTGCACTTCCAGAGCCGAGCCTAGCCCTGCCTGCCCACTCTGGAAGCTCCTCCCGTGTGGAGACGTCATTACTTGACTTTGTGGTACGAATGGGCAGCCTTCATCTCTCTCTTCAGGTGGGGCCTCCATCTACATTTATTCAAATCTAATAAAGTTTTCATGGCTACGTGGGCAGGATTGTTCTTTCTCAAAAGCTGGATCGTGCCTATCTGGGGCTGTGTGAAAAACACAACAGCTTGGTGGTGATGGGAACAGCAAATCTCAACAAAGGTGAGCAGAGATGCTCAACTGACAGCATGGACCATTGGGGGTTGGGGCAGGGGAGCGTTCTGGGGCTGCAGGGAGATAGCCAGCAGCTGGAATTCTACCCACAAGAAGCCAGCAGCATTAGCTGCTTCTCCTCCAGGACAATCAAAATGTTTTATTTTACATCCTCAAATTTTCTTGCTTTGTTTTGTTTTAGACAGGGTCTCATGTAGCCCAGGTTGGCCGCAAACTGTACAAGCATCAGTCTGGATCCTCAGCATCCGCCTAAAATCTGGGTGCAGTGGCATGCATCTGTATCCCTAGCATGGGTGAGGGGCTGGGGGAACAAGTGACTCCTGGGGGCCTGCTGGCCAGCCAACATCACTGAAATGGTTAGCTCTAGACTCAGTGAAAGGCTCTCTCTCAAAAACATTAAGGTTGAGAGAGATGTTGACCTCTGGTCCCTACATGTGCCTTCATGGGTGTGTACATCTGTGCAAGTGTGCGCGCGCGCGCACACACGCGCACACACACACCCCAAAACAAATAAGGTGGATGGTTTCTGAGTAATGGTCCATGAGAGTGACCACTGGGTCCACATGTACACGTGCACACACATCCACACCTACATAATAAGTGTGCACACAAACAAACACAAAGTATCTGGATGATCAAACACTGTTTGAAAGATTTATTTTTATTTATATGTGTGTTTGTATGTGTATGTCACGTGTATACGGTACCCTGGGAGGCCGGAAGAGGACACTGGATCTCCTGGAGCTAGAGTTAGAGGTGGTTGTGGGCCACCTGACATGGTTGTTGGGAGCCAAACTTGAGTCCTCTGGAAGAGCTTGAGCCATCTCTTCAGCTCCTGGGGACAATCAAACATGTTACCTGGAACCCCTGGAGTTGAGGACAGGTTAGAAGATAAACATCAGTCACCGAGATGAAGACAACAGGGTCCTAAGGCAAGGAGGCTGTCCAGAGCTGGTTTGGTGGCCATTTCCATTCAGGGTTCCTCATGTCGCTTGGCCTGGGATGCTGCCTGCTCAGAGTGTACTGGTTCCCATGCATCCTGAGCAGCTGAGCCACAGAGAGATGGGGTGTGTGGGAGTGGGGTGGGGAGGGGCATGGGGAGGTGGGGTTGATGCTCCCTGGAGGGACTCTCTGACAATAGTATCCATGCATCTCCTCTGCTTGATAGTTAATGACATGGCTATCTTAGCTGCAAGAGAGTCTGGGAGCGTAGCCTTGAGTTGGGTGGCTGTATGTCTAATTAAAAAGCCTATCTAGGGCTGGGAGTGGTAATGCACGCCTTTAATGCCAGCACTCAGGAGGCAGAGGCACATGGATCTCTGTGAGTTTCAGGGCAGACAAGGCTACACAGGGAGACCCTGTCTTAAGAACAACAACAACAAAACAAACAAACAAAAAATCCTTAAGGAAATATGGGGCTGGAGAGATAGCTCATTAAGAGCATGCTGGCAGAGGACCTGAGTTCAGTTACCAGCACCTACACGGTGTGGCTCATAACATCTGTAACACCAGTTTCAGGGAATCTGACACTCTCTTTTGCACTCTGAGGACACCAGGCATACACATGATACATATACATACATTTAGGCAAAACACACATAAAAATAAAAATAACTCTTTTTTTTGTTTTGCTTTGTTTTGTTTTGTTTTCCAAGACAGGGTTTCTCTGTGTTGCTTTTGGTGCCTATCCTGGATCTTGCTCTGTAGACCAGGCTAGCCTCAAACTCACAGAGATCTGCCTGGCTCTGCCTCCCGAGTGCTGGGATTAAAGGCATGTGCCATCACCGCCCAGCTAAAATAAATAACTCTTAAAAAAAAAAAAGCCTACACCCAAGCCTGACAAGTTGAGTTTGATCTCCATGGTGGAAAGCTGGCTCCTGCATGTTATTCTTTGGCCCATCTGTACGTCACCCCTACCCCAACCTCTTGACTCCAGATCAGGCCTTGTGCTCTGTCTTAAAGGCAGGGAGAGAAAAAGAAGTCATTTCTTTTTTTTTCTTTTTTTTTTTTTTTTTTTTTTTTTGGTTTTTTGAGACAGGGTTTCTCTGTGTAGCTTTGCGCCTCTCCTGGAACTCACTTGGTAGCCCAGGCTGGCCTCGAACTCACAGAGATCCGCCTGGCTCTGCCTCCCAAGTGCTGGGATTAAAGGCGTGCGCCACCACCGCCCGGCCTAAAAGAAGTCATTTCTAGGTTGAGAGATTGGCCTGTTATTTGTCCACAGGCCTGACCCAGGACCGGCATGAGCTCCTCAAGGGCACCTCAAGGTCACATTCTAGCAAAGCTCGTGTCCTCTCCTCATCTCTCTCTAACGATGGCCCTCACTACCTTAGGTCTTACTCAGCAGCTCTGAGAGACTTCCCACCTTCCTTTGCACATCAGATGAGTGGCCACACCTGTCTCCTCACTACTGAAGTAGGAGTAGGTGATGGAGACCAAACAGGACAGCTGAAAGAGAGGGACTCAGTTCTAGACTCAGGCTGCCTGGGGTAAGAACTTCAGGGCGTTACCAGAACACTCTCTCTCCATCCCTGAATTTATCTTTTTTTTTCTCCCCATAGATTTCATGTCTCTATGTGGCTGCCAGGTGTTCTTTTCCAGTTCCCAATTACACAGCTTTCAGTACCTTCATGTCTTAAAAAAAAAATTTCACCAAGCCTAGTAGTGGTGGTGCATGCCTTTAATCCTAGCACTGGGGAGGCAGAGGCAGGTGGATGTCTGAATTCAAGGCCAGCCTGGTCTACAGAGCAAGATCCAGGACAGGCTCCAAAACTACACAGAGAAACCCTGTCTTGAAAAACCAAAAAAAAAAAAAAAAAAAAACCCACAAAAAACAAAAAACCCCCTGATTGGCCAGATAGCTCTGAGCTGATCTTATAATTGGAAGGTGACCATGACTGGGGAAGGGGGAAGGATGTTGGATGAGTGAAGGAGAGGAAGGAGGTTATTATTTTACAGAGAGGAAACAAGCTTGCAGAATGGAAGGGTCATTAGGGTCGCTCCTGGTTATTGCCACTTGGGTTAGGGTCTGGAAGTCTGAGGGCAGGGTATGTGGCTAGCAGTCCCTAGAGCTTGGTGAACCTGAGAGTTAGGGGTCTGAGCACGTGCTGTTGGCAAGCAGAATGTGGCAGAGAGGTCAGCAAAGGGAGTGGGTCCTATGAGGACCTCCCCAGAGGGTAGAGCTCTTCCTGTGTTTTTTCAGATCACCCCACAAAATCATGGGGGCCAACCCACTCACTAGGTACACAGCCCCGGGTTGCCTCAGGTTAGGCCCTGATGTATTCGGAGACTCCTCTACAGGTTAAACTTCTGACACTCCGAGGTGGCAGGTGGCAGGTTTCACAAGTCACTTGTGACATTTTTCTTGTCGTGCTAATCTAAATGGCAAGAGGTGTGAAGCCAAGACCAGAAGCTCAGTGTTGTCATTATCGGAAGATAGCCATGTCCTGAGGCAGGGCTGCAGAGGGCCCAAGCAGAAGCCGTGGGCACGAGTTAGGAGTGATGGCTTCTGGGGGCAGAAACCTGACTCCCCCAGCTTGAGCAGGAAAGGGAAGGGATCAGAGGGCACTGTGAGCTCTGGACCTTTACAAGAAAGCTCAGGAGGGCTCAGGATCTCTAGAACCAGGCAGACCCTGTAGGATTCTTTTACCTGCCTCAGAGATAGAACCTAGAGTCGTGGGCATGCTAGGAAAGGTCTAGACCCCGGAACCACACCTCTGTTCCTCTCCAGCCACCTTCTAATCTTGCTTCTGTGTACCTTTAGTTAGTTAGTTTGTTTGTTTCAAGACAGGGTTTCTCTGTGTTACCAGTCCTGGCTGTACTGGCACTCACTCTGTAGACCAGGCTGGCCTCGAACTCACAGAGATCAGCCTGCCTCTGCCTCCCAAGTGCTGGGATTAAAGGCGAGCGCCACCACGCCCAGCTTTCTGTGTACCTTTTAATCAGCCATTGACTTCATCCTTCCACCATGGGAGCTGCTGGCAGCTTTTCTATTCCTTTCTTCCTTCCCTCCATCAAGATACCAGGGTCTCAGACAGCCCAGGCTTGTCTTAGACTCACTATGTAGCTGACACTGGGCTTGAACTCCTAACCCTCCTCCTGCCCCCACTTCTCAGGTGCTGGGATCTCAGGCATATGGCCCTCACCTGGTATTCAGGCCAGCACTTTTTCTGTCCTGTATCTCCAACCATCTTGGACAGGCTCACCTGTTCCAGGCTCTTGCTGAAGTACCAGTAGCTCAGGAGAGGGACTCATCCCTTACCCTAGGCCAAGTGCCCACTTTGAAATGATCTCCTTAATATGGCGCAGGGCCCTACACATGGTCCAGCTTGGGTGGGGGCCCAATGGACTGACAACATGCCCTGGGCCTAAGTTATCTCAGAACAAGGCAGCTCTCTCAGACTGTCTTGAGGGGAAGGTAGGTTCCAGAAAGAATACTACAACTCACCCCCTGTCCACCAAGCCATACCAAACAGGCCCTTTGGGAGGAGCCTGGGCTTGACCAGCTGAGCTGGGGAGGGCCTTGGGCTCCCATGTGGCCTGCAGCCAAGTCTGATTTATTCCCCAGCATTTTGAGAAGCTGCAGTTGGCTGCTAGCATTTGCAAGTCAGGGCTTCACATTAAAACCTCATTTCTGACTCCTTTAAAAATAGAATTCGAGCCGGGCGGTGGTGGCGCACGCCTTTAATCCCAGCACTCGGGAGGCAGAGCCAGGCGGATCTCTGTGAGTTCAAGGCCAGCCTGGGCTACCAAGTGAGTCCCAGGAAAGGCGCAAAGCTACACAGAGAAACCCTGTCTCGAAAAACCAAAAAAAAAAAAAAAAAAAAAAAAAAAAAAATAGAATTCGAGCCACTCTGGGTCTGAAGTGTGAAATTCATGACTCTGAGCAAGACTATGGCAAAGAGTGTGTTGACTGGACTCCAACCAGAGCCTCTGAAGTCCCCAGAACAGCTGCCTCTGTCCAACATCCACCATCAAGTGTTCTGTAGCTGGGGATGGTTGGGGTGTGGGGTGTGGGGTGTGGGGTGGCGGTGCGTGCTAGGGATTCATCAAGTCCTCTGGTCTCAGACTGGGATCTCTTTCCATTTTCATCGTGGGCCTTGTTACATAAATATTCACTTACATTTGTTCTTTCCAGAAAGAGCCACAAAGGTTTCAGCGGATCCCTCTCATGTCTCCAAGGAGGAAATGCAAGTGGTCCTCAACTCACTGTGGTTTGACCAGTTTCCAGTGTTGTGACCATTCACAGAACATAGCACATGGGCTGGGGGGTGGGGTGGGGAGTAGCTCTGTTGCTGGAGTGCTGGCCTCGTGTGCTTGGCTTTCAATCGCTATGCTATCAACTGGGCATAACATCTTACTCCTGTTAATCTCAGCACTTGAGGAGGTAGAGGCAGGAGGGTCGAGAGTTCAAGGCCAGACTGGGCTACGTGGGAGAGACCCTGTCTCAAGAACAACAGCAAAACAAACAGCAGAACCCCAGGAGACAGTCAGTGGAAAGCGTACTTTCAGTTTTCCTTGCTGTTGTTATTGCTTTGGTTTTTTTTAGAGACAAGGTCTCATTGTGTAGACTTGGCTGTCCTAGAACTCACTTTACAGACCAGGTTGGCCTTGAACTCACTGAGATCCGCCTGCCTCTGCCTCCCGAGTGCTGGGATTAAAGGCGTGCACCACCACCGCCAGGCATCCTCTCCGGGTTTTAAATGGATGAAGCCCCTCTCCCTTTAAGGCTCGACGTGCTGTCTGCCTCCACGCACTGTCCCTCTTAATGTTCTCCTACTTCATCTGGCCGCCATGGTGATGAGGCTCCCTCCCGACGAAGCTCATTCTGGAGGACAAGCGCTCTCTGCTCCTTTCTCAGCCGACCCGCATTTCTTTTGTTATCACAAGGTGATGTATGACATCACTTATATCCTATGACAGACTCATTGTGATGTCACCCTGTCATGCATCATGAAGTGTTTGTCCTCTTGAAAAGCTTATCCCTACCATAATACTGTTATTGTCCTCGAGTTTCCTGATGGCCGGAGGGAAAAGAGAAACTCGAGGAAGTCTGACGATGATTATTTTACATGAGAGAGGAAGTGACTCTTCGCGGAAGGTGTGTGTGTTTTCTGCCTCTCAATGGTGGAAGGACGTGTTCCTGACGGGATAGAAAGAGCAACAGAGCCAACTGTATCCTCAGCATTTCTTTCTTTCTTTTCTTCTTCTTTTTTTTTTTTTTTTTTTTGGTTTTTCAAGACAGGGTTTCTCTGCACCTTTCCTGGAACTCACTCTGTAGACCAGGCTGGCCTCGAACTCACAGAGCTCCACCTGCCTCTGCCTCCCGAGTGCTGGGATTAAAGGTGAGCGCCACCACTGCCCGGCTTTCCTCAGCGTTTCTTATGGTATAAGGAGGCGTGGCGACCTAGAGTCAAAGCCAGTACTGGTGGAGACATATGTCCCCTGCCAACACCTGGCCCTGGACTCAGCTCTGTCACATTCTCTGTGGACACCTATTTCTTTTTTTGGTTGTTTTTCAAGACAGGGTTTCTCTGTGTAGCCCTGGCTATCCTGGAACTCGATCTGTAAACCAGGCTGGCCTTGAACTCAGAGCTCTGCCTGCCTCTATCTCCGGAGTGCTGGGATTAAAGGTATTCACCACCACCACCACCACCACCACCAGGTCAGAGGTTATCTTTTCAAGACCAGCTTAGACCCAGGAGAAAACCTGCTGCCACCTCCTTGTCACCCCACCAGTAACTTATTTCTGCCCTAGTTTATATGTGATTTATTGACATCATGGAGAAGTGTCTGGTTACGGTGACCAGTAGGCCTGGTGTTCAAGCAGGGACCCCGGAGGCTTACCAGGGGCTGCCATCTGCTTAGAGACCAAGATGGCAGGGGATTTTTTTTTTTTTCAATTGCTTTAGGAGGTTTTGCAGAGTCCCAGGAGCTGGCAGGGCACGGCGGGGTGGGTGTGTATGGGCTCAGCCCAGAGTGAGAGGAGGGGATGAGAATGTGCAGAGTCCTGAGCGGGAATGAATACAATGTTCAGCTTGCAGCCGAGAGGGCAGGACAGGCTTCTCTTTGTCCCTCCCCCACTCTTCTCCACGGTGCCTGAGCTCGAGGGCTGCAAGAGGCCGAAAGACCAGTTTAGAGAGCAGAGCGGAGGCTGTCAGCATCCTCTAAAAGGTGGCCACGGGAGCTGGATGCGGTGGCGCACGCCTTAAGCCCGGCACTCAAGAAACAGGCAGGTGGATCTCTGTGAGTTCGAGGTTAGTCTGGTCTACTAACCTTGAGCAAGTCCCAGGACAACCATGGCTACACAGAGGAACCCCGTCTTGAAAAGCAAGACCAACCAACTCCCTCCCCTAAAAAAAAAAAAAAAACCACAGCCAGGGGGCTGGGAAAATACTCCATAGGTAGAAATGCTTATTGTGTAAACATGAGTTGGTTTCCCAACACCCACATCCAAGTCAGGTGCACCTGTAAGGGAAACCGAGACGGAAAGTTCCTGGGAGCTCACAGGGCAGGCAACCCAGCTAAATTGGTGAGCTCCACGTTCATTGAGAGACTCTGTCTCAGAAAAATGAGATGGAGAGTGATTGAGGAAGACATCCAACATTGACCTCTGACCTCTACATGCAGGCACACACCCATGCAAGCACAACCTATCCATACCTACACACACGTGAACAGGGCCGCACCTACGGTGGCCACAGTGTCAGTTTAACAATCTTTCCAGAGGACCTAAGTAGGCAGATCTTCTCCCTCTCACCCCATAAAGTGAGAGCCTCAGAACTTGAAGTATGGAGATCTGAGTGTGTGTCTGTACCAAGTCCATTTCCCCTTTTGGTTCTGTGGCTTTGAACAGCTTCCCACAGCTTCGTGGAAGCCAAAAGAAATTATAGGGGTGAATAGACAAGAAAATAGGAATTCCAAGGCCACAGCTGTGTGTGTGTATGTATGGCTGAATTCAGGGTTTTATGCACGCTACATACACAATCTATTACCAACCTATCCCTAGCTCCAGAGATCCCAATTTTCATGGCTTACACCGAGTGAGTGCAACATATCCTAACAGGGTCACGAGAGTCTTCGAAGCTCCCTGAGGTCATTCTTACAGCAGCCTGCGTCTACATCACTGATTACCAAATATCCCTGGCTCCCCAGCTCTCAGTAGGCAGTAGGACTTTACTTTCCTACCTTCGTGTGATAGGTGGGTCATCCTGCTAGTTCTGGCCAAAGCCGTTAGTAGCTGGCAAGGGGTTCACTAACCTTCAGTTTGTCACAATCACTGGCAATGCTCTGGAAGGCTCTTTCAGGTCCTGGAGTGGAGATGACACCGAATTTAGTTGGTCCACGGTGTTGTGGACAGGAGGCATGAGTGAGAAACCAGCTTTCGGCGTTACAAGCCCTGAGGGTTTTGAAACGATTTGTTACCCATGCTGTCTAATCCAACCCCTATTACAGGACAAAGCGGAGCTCAGAGAGACGAAGGGATCCTCAAAACCACATGGCTGCAGAATCACATGTTTGAGAAATCTCATAGCCTGGGCCTCTTGTCAGGCAGTGGAGGTCTCGGTCCTTGGAGGACACTTGTCAATTTCTCAGTCTTTGATGGGAAAGTGCACGGATGCAAAGGAGGGCATTGTCACCTTCGGCCACTAGAGGGCAGGTAGACCCAAGTTTGCAATGGCTGGACAGGCCGTGAACTCTCCTAAGCCCCAGACTGTAAAAACTGTGGGTGGCCACCAGTAACTGAATGTGGAGGTGGTAAAAATTGGGCAACAGTAAAAGGTTTCCGAATGCACAACAGCCACAAATTAATTCAGAATCAAACTCGGAACGAATCTGTGGTGTTTCTGGCCAATTCCTGTGTGTTGGCTGGATGTACTCTCACTGTCCATCCTTGGTATTGAACATTCAGTGTGCACACGCTGACCTGCACATGCCAGCACTCCATATACCACCAGTGAATGCCACCTAAAGCCTCACAGAGACTATGGTATATTATATATTGCAGTGCTTTTAGTGCTATCGTAGACAGTAGCTCCTACTGTCGCTTCTCATCGCCTAAGGATAAAATTCGCCCCATCCACAGCAGTGCGTAAACCAGGTGCTGGAGTGCTCATCCACAATGGCATCCTTCAGCAGTGGAGGCCCGAGGAGCAGAAGCTCAAGGTCATTCTTGGAAGTTTAAGGCCAACTTGCTATACGTGAGAAACTGTCTAAAACAAAACACTGCTGTTTCTGTTGCTGTCTGGAGTTTCAAAGAGTCATTAAGGAGAATTTGACTTGGGAGTAGAGAAGAATTTCTAATAATTTCTGAACACATTCCTGCCATTATTATACTTTTGATTTATGCAAAGTGGCATTCTCAGCATTGTGAATTATAAAATCAAAATATAGGACAGGCATGGTGGTGAACACCTTTAATTCCAGGACTCGAGAGGCAGAGGCAGGCAGATCTCTGTGAGTTTGAGACCAACTTGGTCTACAAAGAGAGTTCCAGGACAGCCAGGGCTGTTATACAGAGAAACCCCATCTTGAAAAAAAAAATCAAAATATCCATCAAGTCTAAAAAATACTGAAGATGCTTTACATTCTACAGCATTGAGTAAACAGCTAAGATTTAGTTCTTTATGTAAAAATAGTCATATCCATCTCATTAGTATGCAAATTTGCTGTCTTTAACAAATGGTAAAATTTTATGTGTACCAAAGAATTGTATTGTTTTTTATTTATTTTCTATATGTGAGGGCTCTGTCTAGAAGTACATGTGCATGCCAGAAGGGGGCGCCAGCTTTCATTACAGATGGTTGTGAGCCACCATATGGTTGCTGGGAATTGAACTCAGGACCTCTGGAAGAGCAGCCAGTGCCCTTAACCACTGAGCCATCTCATCAGCTCCCTCCCCACCAAAGAGTTGCTTTAAAATTTCTTTTTCTTTTTTCTTTTCTTTCTTTTTTTTTTTCAGAGCTGAGGACCGAACTCAGGGCCTTGTGCTTGCTAGGCAAACACTCTACCACTGAGCTAAATCCCCAACCCTAAAATTTCTTTTTCAAATTAATGTTATTTATTTTTTGTGGTTCTGGGGATTGAACTCGTGGCCTTAATACATGCTTGTTGAGTGCTCTGCCACTGCACTAGACCCCCAGGTAAAATGAATCTCTCTGAATTATTTATCAGTAGTAAGTACTGGGTTTATATACTTACATCATATACCTGTACACATGAGGTTGAATACACGTTTCCTGCCTACAGGGGCTGCAGATGACAAAATCCTAAACAGCTTGCTCGGAGCCAGCCAACACTGGAGGGGAAGGAGAGAGGCAGCCCGGCATGTGGAAAGCAGAGATGGACGAGACTCAGGTCCTGCTCTGAAAGGAGGGAGGAGGGAGGATTCTAGATCTTTAGGCTGGAAGAAATCGCATGAGGGCATCTAATCTCCAACTGAAAAGACAGCTGAGACCTAGGAGTCTTCCTCCTCCTCCTCCTCCTCTTCCTCCTCCTCCTCCTCCTCTTCCTCCTCCTCCTCCTCCTCTTCCTCCTCTTCCTCCTTCTCCTCCTCTTCCTCCTCCTCCTCCTCCTCCTTCTTCTTCTTCTCCTTCTTTTTCTCCTCGAGACAGGATTTGTGTTGCCCTGGCTCTCCTGGAACTCGCTTTGTAGCCCAGGCTGGCCTCAAACTCACAGAGATCCACCTACCTCTGCCTCCCGAGTGCTGGGATTAAAAACGTGTACCAGAACCGCCCGGCCTAGCAGACAGGGGTCCTCTAGTGAGTGGTCAGGTAAGGAGACCGCAGGGCCCCTGACTCCAGCTCAGGCTGCTTGATCCCCAGGAGGTAATGGAGCAGAGGTGGGCTCTGCAGAGCTTGCTCCCCAGGCTGTCCAGGCAGATTTTGTGTCTTCCCCAGCCACTTCTTTCTTTCCTCGGGGCCTCAAAACGTGTAGGGAGGGGGGAGAACTCAGACAGTGCCCCTCCCCCCTTCCACTGTGATTTCTTGCAGGTTGCCCTGGTAACCAGAGCATAGCCAGCTTTGGAAACCTAAAGCTTGAAGGGGAGAGAACGGATGACAGGGGAGGATCCCAGGCCCACATAGTCATCGTTTAGTCACTGTACAGAAACATACTCAATGATTCTTGCCAGGTCCTTGGGCTCAGAGAAGAGTAAGAGCCAGCTCCTTCAGGACTGTGCTGTCCAGTACAGTAGACGCACATTCAAATGAAATCAAATGAAATCGCCAGGTCCTTGGTCATCAGAGGATAATGATGAGTGCTCAGGAGCCACCTGTGGCTAGTGGCCATTTTATTGGGTACTGGAGATATAGAACATTTCCATTATCACAGAAAGTTCTATTGGCCAAGCCAGAAGGTCACTCGCCAAGGAGAGTAGTACATAGGACCCCATAGTGTTGTGGGGTACAGTGTCCTCATTGGCAAAAAGCAAGCGACAAGGTCGATGATTAGGAGACATGCCAGGAGAATGTTTAGCTTAGCTCCTGGGTCAGAGTGAGTGTCTGGGGGATGTCCCTGTCACGTACTCTGTGGCTAATACTGTGAGGATCTGCTTACATATCTGTCTTCCTGAGCAGACTCTGAGTTCCCCAAGCCTGGCTCAGTGCCTGGCACAAAGTAAGTACCCAGCCAATGGTGGCTCTTCCCACCACGGTCCTTATTACACCATTGTGTGACAGAAGCAGCCTGGTGCTGGGGCATACAGGAAGGGGTACCTATTCCAGTCCAGTGGCCAGGGGCTGCTGAGAATCTGCCTCACCAGAGCCAGCTCGGATGGCTTTGTGGATTTCTTTGAGGTCAGGGCCAGGGCCAGCTACCTTCATACCCTGAGTCTTAGTCTAGGATCTGTCTGGAGCAAATTGGATCTCAGAGAATGGTTTCGAAGGGTACAGATGCACACTCAAAAATTGCAACTTGAGGCAAGAACTCAGGAGCATGGGCACAGGTGGCTCCAGGGTCACCAGACTTATAGGGTGCTGCAGAGGGAAGGCGGGAGGGAAGTTGGCATGGGGCAAACAATGGCATCATCGTTGGAGTAACCCTGTTCTCTCTTGCGGGCGATACCTCTCAAGGGGCCAGTCAAGGGTTAGGCGGAGCATCAGGGCATCCCCTCCCTGCACGGCCCTGTGTTCAGGGCAGCTCAGCTGGCTGACTCCCATAACTCTGTAGGATTCCAGAGACTCAGAGCAGCCCATTCACTGCCACCCACTCTCCAGCCAGAGCTTTCCTGCCCAGAGCCCAGCCCAGCCACTGGGGATGTAGCTAGAGGGACAAGTCAGGAGGGAGGTGGGCCCCTCAGCTTGTGGACTGTGACTGGGAGGTTGAATGAAAGCCCCCCTCCCTCCCCAGAGGACCCAGGGAAAAGAGGTCTCTGAGCCAGGCCACATGGCTGGCCTCTGGGTGCAGAGGAGGGGGCAGGATCTGCAATTGGTCTAGCTTCTCTGACTGAAAACTACCGACCACTTTTCTGCTGCCCCTTTTCTGTCTTCCGATCAAGGTAGGTGTAGTTTGTGTGTGTGTGTGTGTGTGTGTGTGTGTGTGTGTGTGTGTGTGTGTGTGTGTGAGAGAGAGAGAGAGAGAGAGAGAGAGAGAGAGAGAGAGAGAGAGAGAGAGAGCATGTGTGCACCTGCACATTGGCAAGGATAGGACCAAGGTGTTCATGGCACATGGGGCTCAGTGAGGAGGTAGGGATCTGGTGGCATAAGAACAAGGCGATCTCAGAAGTTCCTGTCCTTGGGCTTGTGGCTAAGTGCAGTGTGAACATGGTGTTCCCAAGTGCGTGTGGTGTGAACAATGGGCAAGAGGTCAGAGCTGCAAGGATGTGCCAAATGGAGACGGAGCAAAGGCTGGACAGTCTTGATACAAATGCATGGCTAGAGATGAGGGCTGAGGATGTCCCTTAAGGCGCAGTGAGGATGCCTGGGCTTCCTGCCTTTCCTGTCTCCTGTTCCAAACCTCAGAGAGATGGCTATGACATCATTCTCTTCTGCCAGCCCCTTACACTCAGATAATTCTTCCCACCAGCATTGGCCTGGTTCCCCAAGCAGCCTGTCTAGCCTGTGGTGTTAAAAGTAACGGAAATAACTTTGCCCCAGAGGCTGAGTTATGTGCAGCTCAGAGAGGCCACCAGCCAGCCCCTGGGGGACCCTGGAGACCTCCTTGGGGAATGTGGTTCATCTATCCAGACTACCTGGCAGCATTGGAGCATCAACCTGGGTACCCTCTTCTCTCTCATCTCCTTGCCCCCAGGCAGCCTTCTCCAATCCCATCCCTGGCCCATCTCACAGCCACAGAGCCCTTCAGTCACACCCCACAGATCGCCTACTCTCAATCCCATTTCCAACAATCCCTCTTTCAGTCTGCCTTCGCATGGCTGTTCCTAACAACAGATGGGCCCAGGTTAACTTGCAGGACCTAAACAACTTTGCAGCCTGGTCTGGCCCCTGCTAACTTTCAGCCTTATCTCCACCCTGTCAGGCACAGCCTGGGAGCCTCGTGTTGGATTTTCAAAAGGAAGCTTTATTTTCTCACTTTTGGGCTATACTTAGGAGTTTCCCAACGTACCCAAACTGACTCAGGCTTCCTCCAGATAGCGCCCCACCACGAGCCCAGCTCAGAGGTTCTTTCCTGGTTGGAGCAGAATTCCCTGATTCAGACTCTGCTCTGAGGCCATTTGGCCATTCCAAGGCCTCTGACCCAGACACCTGGATTCTTGTTTTGGCCGCTGTGGGTGGTTTCTGGAAGAGAGACCGACTGTCCTCCTCCAGAGTCCCTGCACAGGTATGCAGCCCCCACAGAGCTGTCCAGGGAGAGCAGCCACACTCAGACCCAAGAAAAGAAAGAGCTGAACCCCATCTTGGGTTCTTTCATGTCAGGGGCAAGTTGCTCATCAGCAGTGCCTATATGGGGCTGCTGCAGGGGCAGGTGTGTGAGGTGTGTGTCAGTCTCTAGCAGGTGGAAGCTGTTGGGCTATAGGAAAACACACTCTACTAAGGACTCAACAAGTCTCCAAATAAGGTCCCTTCAGGCTGGCAGTGCCATCTGCTGGTTGGGAGGAGGAGAGTTGAGACCTCATCCTTGTCTGCCCTCCTTTCTTGTGATTGCCTCAGGGAAAGCCGAACAGCCTGGATGGACCACGATTTTGCCCCACCTCCTCCAGAGATGCAGCCGCACAGGGCTCCAGGCTCCAGAACTTCTTTCTCTCGAAGCCACATGCTGGGGCGCCATACCCACCAAAAGCTCACTGGAGATGTGTCCCCTCTCATCCCTGCCATCAAGAAGACTGTCCATTTGGATGCCTTCCCCCAAAGCAGTGTCCTACAGACTTCCAGCCAACCAAGCTTTAGATCCAGGGCCTGGAGTATGTCCCAACGGGGCACCCTAGGGCCCCTAAGCTCCCTGCCTCCCAATAGTTTTATGCCCAGGAAACTCAGCTCTATTTCTTTAACAATTCGCCAGAACGTCCCCACACGGCCCCTGGATGCCCCACTTTCTCATTGGGAAGAGTTGCCCAATTTGGGCAAGGAAGCTGTCACCCATGGAGAAGGGAGGCTGTTCACTTCAAGATCACCACCCATGGCCCAAGTGCCAGAGGTCAGGACCTCCTCTGAAGGCCATGGGAACCCAGATCTTACCAAATCCAATAGAACACCCTCAGGGGATAAGCCACTGGTGTCTTCATGTCTGGCTTTACCTTTCCAATCTCAGTTTACTCAGAGTTCAGGCCTTGTGGGTCAAGTCCAAACCAGAACCTCTCCAGGAAGAGGCAAATCCAAGCCCAGGAGTATTCCCAGATCCCGAGCGTACCTCCAAAGGGTTGCTACGCCTACAAATTTGTCTGCCGTGGGCACAAAACTAGATATAGCCAGAAATTTGGGCACAATGGCCATCAACAGACCTGAGCTGAGTGTCAGTATGCCCACACCAAACCCGTCTAGAATGATCAGAGGCACTGAGCTTCCTATTCTGGGTGCCAAGACGGGCATGACCATTGACTTACCTATAGCATCCAAGGCAGGAAAGGCCACGGATTCGGTGATAACAGGCCCAACCAAACTAGGCACAGCCATGAATTTAGCTGGAGCAGAGACAACCAAGTCAAGCCAAGTTCTGAAGCTGGTAACTGCAGACTCAGACAAGCTGGAAAATGTCATGGTTGGGACGACAGTGGGCACAACCATGGCTTTGGAAAAAGCAGATCAGGTTGATTTGGGCATGACCAGGTTGGACACAGCCACGGCTTTGGCTGGAGCCGATCTAGCCGAGCTGGATACAACTACAGATTCTTCTGTGTTGGACACAAGCGGGCTGGGTACCGCCATGGATTCAGTTGTGCTGGTCTATCCACTCCCAGCCACTGGTGAGACCAATCACCTGACCATCTCAGACGCTGCAAGCTGTTTCCTGATGCCAAGCAGAAGCACAGACCCAGGCCAGGACCATGCCACTGTGGATGCTGCCACAGACAGTGCCACCAAACCTACCTCGCTGAACCTGGCCAGAGAACCCAAAGGTAAGAACTTGGTTGGGGAAGTACCGTGGCTGGGGGAGCAGGGATCCAACAGTCTCGATAGGTTGAGAAAGAGAGCGGGGACTCTCGGGTCAGAATCGAATGGGTGGCAGAAAAGGAGACAAGGGTTGAGGGTCTGAAGAGGATTGTATCCCCTGAGCTAAGCTCCTGGAAGTCAGGCTGAGGGAAGCTACCAGGAGGAAGGTTTACAGCTTAAGCTGTGGAGAAGCAGGTACACTGAGCCCTCTCTTGACCATGAGCTATGCTTGTTTCTTAGTTCTCTGAAAAGGCAGAATAATTGGGTGAGTCCAGCTTTAAGGGAAGTCTGAGTTCGAGGCCAGCCTGGGCCACAGAGCGAGCTCCAGGACAGCCAGGGCTACACAGAGAAACCCTGTCTCGAAAAACCAAAGACAAAACCGAACGAACACCAAGTCTAATGTTGCCAAACACAGACAAGCTCTTCAGTCTGACATCCCAGAGCTTCTGTGGGTGGGAGATAATGACCTCAGGGAGACCTCAATCAATTCACAAATAGCTTTGTAGGAGATCTGCGATTTAAAAGGTCCATCGTTGATTGGGAGATAAAGGCAGGGGGATAAGTAGTTCAAGGCCAGCCTTACCTGGAAGTCTTTCTTGACTACAGTTCTTTAAAGTTGAAGGTGTGTGTGTGTGTGTGTGTGTGTGTGTGTGTGTGTGTGTGTGTGTGTATGTGTGTGTGTGTGTGTGTACATCCTACACACAGATCTATAAACAGGTCAGCACAAGGGCTAGAAATACTATGGATGTCTCTGAGAGGTTTGTGGCATACCGAAGTCACACCAGAGTTAAGTGGTGGCAGTACATCGATTGGAAACCAGACCTGGCCAACTTGGAGCAATCTCATTCTCAACATTCCCAAAGCTCAGGTTCTGGGTTAGGAAGAAGGCTTGGAAAGTACCCAGTCCAGCGCTTGAACTGGGTCCTGGGCTTGTCAAAGCCTTTCTCATCCCACTAGGCACACAGCCTAGTCCTCAGGCTTTGCTGTCCGACCCTGGCTCTCCATCTTCAGCTCAGCTCTCTTCTGAAATACAGACAGCTACGTCTGCTGGACTCCTCCATCTGGGTATCTCCGGGGCGTGTCTAGAGGCAGGGAGACCCTTTCTTCTAGAACAGTGGTTCTCAACCCCTTTGGGGGTTGCATATCAGATATCCTGCATATCAGATTCATAACAGTAGTAAAATTACAGTTATGAAGTAGCAACAAAATAATTTTATGGTTGAGGGTCATCATGACATGAGGAACTGTATTAAAGGGTTGCAGCATTAGGAAGGTTGAGAACCACTGTTCTAGAAACAGCCGCTGCCCTCCCCCACATCTCCCTCTCTCAGCTGCAGGCACCACCCACCTTTGATCCAGTGATTAGATCCCCAGGTAACCTGCCTTCCTCCTTTTCTGTCTCCATCCTGTTCTGTCTTTTCTCAGTCTGATTTATGTGCCTCCTCTGTACTTGACCATGTGGCTGTCAACACTTTTTTTTTTTCCTTTTGAGACAATGTATCTATGTAGCCCTGGCTGTCCTGGAACTAACTACGTAGACCAGGCTGACCTCAAACATACAGAGATCCAGCCGGCTCTGCCTCTGCCTCCTGAGTGCGGGCATTAAAGACGTGTGCCACCACCACCCCGCAGCTGTCACAGCTTTGTACCCTTCTGCTTCTCCCGTCCTCACAAAGCTGCCACAGAGACTTAGCCATTTGGTGGCAGAGTTTTAAAGTCTCACTATTACCACCTCTAAAGCTTGCTGCTCAGCCTGCCTCTCCACCCTCTTAGCTGGGGGCAGTCTTTGTCCGTTATCTTTCCTGCCTCAGCCCAGGCCAGCGTTCGGAGTTATCCACTGCACTGCTCTGCCTCCGCTGGGCTTCGCAGGCCCCGTTGCCCTTCCCTGGAGAACGCCCTTTTATTCCTTTTTCTCATCACCATTTGCTTTTTCACGTTGGCGCTCGCCTGCTCCAAACCTTCCATTATCTCCGTGGTGCCTGTTTGCTTGCACCCCACAGCACTTGTGTGAACCAGCTTTCGGATTTCTGTTAGACCCCAAACCTTTAAGGTCAAGAAGGTTTGGTCATCCTCAGCCCTGTGCTCCCAGGGTCGACCAACAAGCCATCGTCAACGCATCCAAGACTTTTCGGGTGGGTAAAGGAGGCTCAGGGAAGTTCAAGGTTATAGGGTTCAGGATCCAGGCTAGGAGCTGGGCCTGGAACCCGGTTCTCTGATTCGGAGCTCCATCTGTCAGCAACCGCGCCTGGGCAGAACCGCGGTGAGCCAGCGCAATATTCCAATCACCGCGTGACTCACGCACGCGCACGGTCACCGGCAGCTGCCACCGATCTCCTGCGCCCCAGACCTGGTAGGGAGCTGGGGACAGATTCTAGGGAGAGAGACAGGTATTGCGATGCAGGCACCTTTCCCGGCGGGGCAACGCGAGCTCCCGTACCTGCTCCTGCGTGCTGGCGCGGGAGCCGCGGGAAGGGGAGGGGCCCTCGGCGGGGCCGGCCAGCGCGCGGGTCACGTGGTGCCGGTGGCAGCGGCAGCATCGGTGCGCGCGGGCAGGGGCGGCTCGGCGCCGAGCGAGCGGAGGCGAGGTCCCGGGCGGGCGCGGGGCGCAGGGGCGGCGCGGCCGGGTGGCGGGTCGGGCGGGTAGGCGGACGGCGCCGTGGGGCGAGGCCCGGCTGCAGGGGCCGCTTGGCCCAGAGGGAGCCCGCGCCCGGCTCAGCCTTGCAGCCCCGCGCCCTGAGCATCTCCCGGAGGACCCGAGACAAAGGAGGATTCATGTCCAAAGGTAGGGCTGTCGCTTGGGCGCCTGGCACCGGCCGGGAGGAGGCTACGGCTCCAAGCGCTACCAAAGGGAGGGGTTGCTGTGCTGAAGACCCCACGTGCAGTGACATATGCATGGACACACGCACACCAGGTGGCACACACTTGGAAGCATAGTCTCGGGAAAAGGCACACACAGGAGCTTGGGGAGGTATGGAGACCCAGATGCTTAGGGAAAGCCCCCGCTGGAGCACACCAGGACACGCACACACATGCACAGCATGTACTCCAAGCATGGGTACCAGACCACCTACAACCAGTCAGAGACCTGTACGCTGTCAGTCCCCTTCCCCCACATAGAGACCAAGCGCAGAGACAGGCACCAGCTGGTGGTCTCCAAGGGAACTCATTGGCTTCCTGACTAGAATGGGGGGAGGGGGGTGTCCCAGGGCCCTTTGCTTCTTTTAATGGGGAAGGACTTGTTTCCTTTTTTTTTTGAGCTGCCCGAGGCTGGAGCTGGGATGAACTAGAATTGGCTCTGTCTGCGGTGGGGGTGGGGTTTTAAAAGCTGCTGGTTACCAAGGGGCCGGAGAAGACCCCTCAGCTTGGGAAGGAAGAGATAGCCTAGCATTAAGCTAAGCAGGCAGGTATTATTCTAGAGAGGTCCCCTTCTCCTATTGCTACCTTTCTGACAGAGGGGTGGGGTCTCTGGACCAGACAAAGACAAAGCCATTCATTTTCCTGTAGGAGAAAGCACGACATCCTTGCTTGCTTTAGGGATGGAGTGTGCTGTCCTGTGGGGCCAGAGCTGAGTCAGGTGGATTGTCTCTCTTCCTGGAGCACTGATGTGGCAGGTGGTACCTAGCAGGGGGTGCTGCAGACAGATGCAACCCTCTCTAGGAGAGCTGGGAGCTTAGGAGGGGCCCTCAAGGGCCATCTAGCTGCATTCTGCTGTGAGCAGTTATGAACTCTTTCCCCACTCTTGGGAAGCCCCCAGGCCAATCTCGGATGCAGGGGATGGAGGAGGTCTCTATAGGTGTACCTATCTACCTTGACCATGGCTCACACAACAGCTATTTGTTGGTGGGGGGTGGGGTCCCAGTGCTCTGGACAGGAAGCAGCGTTGTCTGCAGGGACTCCTGCCTTGTGGGGCTTTCATTCATTCACCATCCGTTCATTCATTGCTGAGTATCTATGATATGCTAGGGTGCACTGAGCACAGAGAACAATAAGGCATGACTCCGACCTCCAAGAGGCCTGGAAAGCAGCACCCATCCAGTGACAGGTCATTTACATTCATGTTTTTGTGTGACTTAATAACCCAGGAACGCAGGGACATTCCCCTCTCTTAGGAGTCACCTAGCCAGGACTCATGCCTGTATCAGTTGCCCATCCAAGGATGGCCTGGTGGGACCTGGCGGGAGAAGAGCGTGGAGTCACAGAGGCCAACTCCAGAGCAGCATTTGCTCTGGACCCTGGAGGTCCTGGTGTACTTGTTAGGCACCTTCAGAGACAGTGGGTCCTCAGGGGGGCAGTGACCTTGTCTTAGATACAAATATATCCTTGGCATGTAAGGTAGCCCTTGGTTTAGTTAGGCTTCCGTTGGCAGCATCTAGAATGACCTGGAGTGAATGGATATGCTAAGTACTGTAGAACCTGCAGGGGACTGAGGCAGCACACGGGAGGGGGGGGGCTCTGGCGGGGGGGCATCCATATAAGATGGGAAGTGACTTAGCTGGGGTCTTGAGGAGGGGGTACAAAGTGTTCCAGCAAAGCTTGTGGCTCAGTGATGTCTACGGTATTTGTGGTACTTGATCAGTGGCGGCTGTTAGCCTGTGACTGGCATGTGATTGGCATGTGGTCGGGAGGAGGCTGACTTGCTAGTAGGTGCTCCGTACCTTCCTCATCATGGATGCTAACACGGCTCCTCGGAAGAATGAAAGTGAGAGCCACTCATTCCCTGGGCTTACATCAGGCCAGCCAGAGAGCCTAGGAGTTGTTTGGGCATCCGGTCAGCTCCCTCCTTCAATCAGGGTCTGACAGACAGAGCTGAGTGGGCCATGGTGAGGACACATGCTTTATAAGTATTTACAACCTCCACATATACAAGTCCCTTCGCCTGCCGCCCAGGTGGCTTATGTCACAACACAGGCTGTGGGTACCGAATGTGCCTGGCAGGGCACGTAGGAAACCAAAAGGGCCAGGCTGTGAGAACAGCAGGAAGGAGAAACGGGGCACTGACTCCCAGGGCAGATGTGCTAAAGGGGGACATGGACCATGTGTGGAGTGGAGGAGCGGACTCGGCCTGTTCAGAGTCAGCTGTCACAGGGCTGAGCCAATCCTGCTGCCCTCTGGAGCCACTTGGGTTGGCAACAGCTTCCTGGGAAGCAAGAGGGAGCAGAGCCAGGCTCTGGGGAGGTGCTGAGGCTTTGTTGGGTTTAGCTGTGTCTGAGGGGGAACACGGGAAAGTTTTCCATCAGGAAAGAACATCTTGCCAGGACCAGGGGAAGGACCAGGTGGTGGGGGTACAGGAGCAGACTCCTGGCTGGGCTTGGAAATGGGGAGGGAGACATGTTCCCACTTCCTCCTGCCCATCTGCTGTTCCATCAACCCTCCTCACAAGGCTGAGACTCAGGGTGGTAATCATGAACCGTAGGGTTTTAAAAACGGCACGGCTCCTGGAGAGCATGGCGGCAAAGAATATGCTTGTGAAATTAGGAACCAGGGCACCTCTGCTTCAGAAATACTTTCATGTGCTCAGGTTCAATCACCCTCCAGAAAGCTGAACTTGAAAAGGTGAAGGGTAGCTGGGCAGTGGTGGACACGCCTTTAATCCCAGCATTTGGGAGGCAGAGGCAGGCTGATCTTTGTGAGTTTGAGGCCAGCCTGGTCTACTGAGTTCCAGGACAGCCAGGGCTATGCAGTGAAACCCTGTCTGGGTCGGAGGAGTGGGGGACACAATGGCAAGGGCAAGAGAGCATGGGTCTGTGAGGCTGGACTCTGGGCTTATAAGCATCATAGCTCATGTGATGCTCACCACAGCCTTAGTCATGACCCTACCATTCTACAGAGGAAGAAGCAGGCTCAGAGAAGGGAAGTGGCCTGCGCAAGGACCAGCTGACAAATAGCAGAGCCGAGATCTTTTTTTTTTTTTTCCAAGACAGGGTTTCTCTGTGTAGTTTTGGTGCCTGTCCTGGATCTCACTCTGTAGACCAGGCTGGCCCCAAACTCACAGAGATCCGCCTGCCTCTGCCTCCGGAGTGCTGGGATTAAAGGCGCGCACCACCGCCGCCCGGCCAAGCCGAGATCTTTTTCACTTCACCCCCACACCCATTTTCCAGACAGGGAAATGGAGTTGATCTCCCCTAGAACGTACCCTGCTGGACAGTGACCTGCCACATATCTCCTGTGTGTGAACATGCCCCTGGTCTGCCAAGGGGACCTTTGACCTTCTTTGGGGAGGGCTATTTCCTCAGCCTCCCCCTTCTGCTGCTCACTAGGATGAAAGTGCCGTCTTAGGCAAGTAAGAGTCCTTGACCGGGTATCAGTCCTTCCTTGCTGGCTCCGCAGCCTCAAAACTTTGCATGGGAGGTGTTGGGAGACCCTCTGCGGCACACCAGCTTTGAAACTCCCGGCACAGAGGGGAGGCTGGGGCTGAGGGTGGAGTCATGCTTGCTCTGCAAAGGAAGGCAGCTGTGATTGCTTCTAAAAGACCAAGTAACCGAGCCCATTGACAGTTGATAGATAGTAGACCTAGAACCCCGAAGCTTCCTTGTTCCTTACTTGGCAAGGCAAGATGCAGGTCTGAATAACTGAGACATTTTATAGACCAGTGCTCTTTTGGGGTGGAGTTGCCCCCACCCCCCCACCTTCCCACCCCCCCGCCAAGAAACATTTGGTACTCTGTAGAGATACTTTTGGTGCTTGCCTCTGAGAGGTCCTTCTGGAAACTAGCAGAGACGGTGGATGCTATCAACCGTGCTGCAGACACAAGACAGCCCCGCTGCAATAGTTATCCAGATAGCAGTAGAGCTAAGGCGAAGGAGCCCCTGGATTGCATGCGCAGATGCAGTACTTTGGAGCAGCGATGTGTTTGAAAGTGTCCGGCAACTGGAGAACCCGGTTGGGGCTAGAGAGATGGATGGCTCAGGGGTTAAGAATGATTACTGCTCTAGTAGAGGACCTGGGTTTGATTCCCAGTACTTGCGTGGCGGCTCACAACCGTTTGTAAACCCAGTTCTGGGATGATCCAGTGTCCTCTCCTGGCTTCTGTGGACACTGAATGCACATGGTGCATGTACTTACATTCAGGCAAACACTTATACACATAAGATAAAAATAAGTAGATCTTTACGTAATAAATAATCTGGAGAACCTGGTACTGGTATAGATTTTGCAACTGACCTAAACAGTGTTCTTGGGCGAGTCCCTCACCCACCCCCAGGGCATCAGTAGGCTTTTCATCTACACAATTCGGGACCCAGACTGGATGATATGATGGTCTCTTCCAGTCCCAACTCCATGACTCCATATCAAATACTATTGTGCCTTTCACGAAACCCGTTTTCCTGCCACTCACCCTGCCTATTCCTCCCACCTTGGCTTTTCAGGGCTCCCAGAGGCCAGGACGGACGCAGCTATGTCAGAGCTGGTACCTGAGCCCAGGCCTAAGCCGGCAGTGCCCATGAAGCCGGTCAGCATCAACTCTAACCTGCTAGGCTACATCGGCATTGACACCATCATCGAACAGATGCGCAAGAAAACCATGAAGACTGGTTTTGACTTCAACATCATGGTCGTTGGTATGGAAAGCCATGGGGTCACTGAAGGCCTAGTGGTGGGCAGCGCCAAGGATCCCATTTCTTTCCCCCGAATGACCTGGCTTCTCTAGGGTGAGCTCTTTCTAGGAGGGAGGATTTCATCATGCTGATCATGAAGGTCTGGTTCCTTCCTCCTAACCGGCTGATTCAAGGATGGGAGATTTGGGTGGATGGCCAGCCTGGCTTCGCCGCTAGCTGAATGTAGACAGGCGGCCATGCCATCACTCTGAGCTGGCTTTAGGTTTGTGGAATGGGCATCGTCAGCCCTTTCCCATCTCCAAGAGCTGTGAGAGGACTGGGTGAAAGATGGTCTAATTGTTCACACCTTAAAGCTTCAAGATTTTCCAGGGTCTTAGTCACTGAGTAGCGTCTGTGAGTCACAGTGTGTAGCAGGAAGGGACATTTGCTTCATCTGAGTTGTTCACTGGGTGTGAGGCAGCCTCCTCCCTCCTCCTTCCCCCATCTAATCAACAAGCTCTGTCCCTTTAACCTTGTAAAGATCTCCTAGGCCTGTCAGCTTCTGCCCATCCCCCACTGCTACCCTAGGCCAGCCCACCTGGGTAGCAGCAGCTGCCTGACTCAGTGCTGATCTGCAGAAGGGGAAGACCCTTGGCCAGGGTAGACTCATTCAGATGTTTTGCTACAAATACACAAGCTGAGCTGACAGTGTACTCAGTGACATGGCTGTTTTAACTTTCTGGTATCAAAGTCTTAGCTTAAGAACTGGAAGTTCTTAAGCTGGGTGATGGCGGCACACAACTTTAGTCCTGGTACTTGGGAGGCAGAGGCAGGTGGATCTCAGTGAGTTTGTGGCTAGCCTGGTCTACAGAGCGAGTTCTAGGACAGCCAAGACTGTTGCACAGAGAAACCCTGTCTTGAAAAAAACAAAAACCAAGCCACCAACAACAAAAAACCCTCAAACAAAACAAAACAAAAAACAGAAGTAGATGGTAGATGGTTCATGGACACTTACAGCTGTGCCAGTTGGGGTGACATTGACCCTCCTGGCCCTCCATCTCCTTTCCTCTCCAATTCATTGTCCACTAGCTACCCAATGGCTTCCCCAACATGCCGAACTCATTGGGCCGTCCATTCTAATTCCACAACTCTTTTAACCTCGGGATAAATTTAGACCTCTATCCTGGCTGGGAACTGCTCCAACGCAACTCTTAGCAGTCCCCATCTACATTCTACTCATGCACACAGAGAGGCTCTTGACTTGTGCGTGTTCTTTCCTGTAGAGCCTTTTTAACATAATGATCTAAGTGGCTTCTGCCAGCTCCTCAGGTGGGATGAGAAAAATGCTTCTCTTCACCATTCCTGGTCTCTGCCAGTTCCATCCTTCCTTACCCATCTGTAAAGAGACGATGGCCTAAGGGGATAGCATGACAAGCCTAAAGCAGTGAAAACACCACATATACGTACATCCCACATAATACACACATCACATATATACAGATACACACATAACATATACCACACACACACACACATGCACACACAGACAACATGAGCATATGACATACATACATACACAGAATGAATAAATGTAAAAAAAAGCATGGTTCTTGGGATGTGAGCCCTGATCTGTGTTCCCTCACGCGTGTTACATCTCATCTAGGGGAGGGAGAGAGCCCTGCTATGAGATGCACGGGGGTGATATGAAGAGTGATTTTGGGTGGGGTGGGGATTTTATTTCTGGGTTAAAGAGCCTGACAGTCAAGCACAAGGCCCTGGTTTTCAGTCCCCAGCACCAGGGGGTAAAAAGACCAGTTTTACTAACAGATGGGGAAGTGCTCAGGCACTGTGAGGCAGGATCTGCATGCAAAGTAATTCTGTTCTCACTTTAAGTGTTATTAAAGATGGAAAAGCTAAGCTGAACAAAAACACAAGCCAGACCAAACCAGAAAACTACATCTCACACACACCACAAATGCACAAGTTGTGCCTTCTCCCAATGGTCCTGGGGTCCACGAAGGAACATGGAATCCAACCGCCATTTCTCAAGGGTCCTTTCCATTGGACATTCCTACCTAATGCTCATCCCCAAGGGGTGTTCAAATAGGGCTTGGATCACAGCTCCGGAGCCCTGTAAGCTCACAGGAGGGCTCTGCGGCTCAGGAGGTAGATGTGCGGCCTGTCTCCCTTTCTCCGTCTCCTCCTCCCTTGCTACAGGCCAGAGTGGACTGGGCAAGTCAACGCTGGTCAACACACTCTTCAAGTCCCAAGTGAGCCGAAAGGCCTCCAGCTGGAATCGGGAGGAGAAGATCCCTAAAACTGTAGAGATCAAAGCGATTGGGCATGGTGAGGACTAGGCCAGCATCCTCTGTGGGCATCATTTGGAGGGGGGCTGATGCCAAGTAAGAGAAAGGGGGCCAATTGGGGAATAAGATGTGAAAGGGAACCACAGAGTGGAAGTAAGCCCCAAATTTGTTAGTGCAAACTCCGTAGGCTGCTAGGCCTAGATAGTGAGGTGGGAGCGGGAGGGGGGGGGGAGTATGCGTGTAGAACTGAGAGGTGGGTCTTGAACTAGGTGATAAAACTCAGGATTCAGACAGAAGTAGACACAGAAGAAGTAGGACACTGTCTTCTAGGTGTAGGGAGGAGCCTTCGTAAAAGTGCTGAGTGGGAGACGTCTGTGGCTTGGCCAATATATTAGCTGCTTCTAAGAAGTATGGGTGCTCCTGGCCAGCAGGCTGCAGGGCCCCTGGGGTCAGCTATAGGACTGACCTATGTGGTGCTCTTTCTACTCTCTCCAGTGATAGAGGAAGGTGGTGTCAAAATGAAGCTGACAGTCATCGACACACCAGGCTTCGGGGACCAGATCAACAATGAAAACTGGTGTGTGCCTGCCTCTGAGATCTCCTTCCTAAATACTCCGCTAGGAAGACACAGTGCAGATTCATTCCCGTTGAGCACGACCTGCATCCTCCTGGGAGAGAGGCTGGGTCCCCTGGGCGAAGTCCACCCGTGCTAACCATCCATGGAAAGCCGTCCATGGGGAGGTTGAGGGTGAACTCGTCATCGGGGAGAGAAAGGAGGCTAGGATGTGAGATGGGTGTGAGGGGATTGGGACCTGACTGAGCCTAAGAGGCACTCCTGAGTCTGTCCTCTTGATGTATCCCATCCATGTTTCCCCGCAACCCCTCAGCTGGGAGCCCATTGAGAAATACATCAATGAGCAGTATGAGAAGTTCCTGAAGGAAGAGGTCAACATCGCCAGGAAGAAACGCATTCCCGACACCCGTGTCCACTGCTGCCTCTACTTCATCTCCCCCACAGGACACTCGTACGTACCAGACCCACTCCTACTACCGGGCCTGGCTCCGATTTGTGTCCTTTGTGCCAAGGATTGGAGAATCCTTACCTGGACTTAGCTGGGGAGGGTCAGATGGCTGGAAGGTCATGGCCCTGTGACCTTAGGGCTCCCCAGGCTTTCCATAAGAAAGAGAGTAAAGCTGGCCATCACTCCCCGGCCCCAGTACTGTTTACTGGTACCCAGCACATCACTGCCCCCCCCAATACTGTTTACTGGTACCCAGAACAGCCCAACTATACCAGCAGAGAGAACCTGAGCAGAAAGCACCTCATTTGTTCAACAGATACTTGCTTTGGACAAGGGTGTGGGGGAGGCAAAAAAGGTAACGTAGGGAGAATCAGGGCTACTGGATTGGGGGCTGGCATCTAGGCAAGATGTGGAACTTAGCTGTAGGTACCTAGACGGGGGCCATTCCAGCAGGAGGAGCCGGACATCCAGAGATGAAGGCTGTGCTGGGAACTTAATTTGTAAGTAGCAGATGGGCCCCATGATGAGCAGTGTGGGAACAGGCAGAGGTCAGGGATCTCAGTGGTGTTTCTAGCCACCTTCCTGCAGGACAGTGTGTCTCTCTAAGCCCCTCTGCAGAGTCAGAACTTAAGTTTTTGAGAGGATGACACACAGCAAGGTAGACCCTGAATTTTGAAAGATCCAGGGGTTCCCAGCCAATGTTGAGTAATAGAGGTCCTGGGTCAGGCCTAGGAGCTCAATAAAATAAGGGCTTTTTTGTTGGTTTTGTTTTGTTTTTAAGAATGAGTACTGGGAATTGAACCCAGGGCCTCACACATGCCAGGTAAGCACTCTACCATTGAGTTATATACTCCAGCCCTCTTTTTACTTTTTAAAAAATATTTATTTATTCATGTTTTTTTTTTCTTTGAGACAGGGTTTCTCTGTGTAGCCCTGGCTGTCTTGGAACTCTCTCTGTAGACCAGGCTGGCCTTGAACTCAGAGGTCTGCCTGTCTCTGCCTCCCAAGTGCTGGCATGTGTCACCATGCCCAGCCCTTTTAATTTTTATTTATTTTTAATTTTTTAAAAATTTTATGTGCATTGCTGTTTTGCCTGCATGTATGTCTCTGTGAAGGTGTCAGGTCTTGGAATTACAAACAGTTGTGAGCTGTCGTGTGGGTGCTGGGAATTGAACCTGGGTCCTCTAGAAGAGCAGTCAGTGCTCTTAAACGCTGAGCCATCTCTCCAGCCCCTCTTTTTTTTTTTTTTTTTTTTAAACGGGGTCTCACTTAGTTGTCCAAAATTGCCTTGTACTTACTCTGTAGCCCAGGCTGGCTTGGAATTTGAGATTTTCCTGCCTCAGCTGAAACAATAGTTTTAGCTTTTCTGAGACCTTGGTCCACAGTTGGTGGGAACTATCAGATAATCAGACTTAATGAATTCCCCGACTGCAAACTAGAGCCTGGTTCTACAGGATGGAATGTGGGGGCCGAGGTGAGACTGTTCAGAAGAGTTCAGTTGGTCATGGCCATCCATGTATGTCCCCCAAAGAAAGAAGTTCCTAGGCCAGAAACCGTGTCATGGAATGATTTGAGGGAGTTTGAGGAGAGACATGCTTTACATGGAAACTGAGGAAGGAAAGGGAGGGCTTGGTTGTGATGGCTTGAGGGTGGAGTTGGAGACACGCAGCGGGCGCTGAAGCAGTGGACATGTGCCAGAGGAGAGGCTACAGCTGTGTGGCCTCAGCTAGATCCCCAGACTGGTGCTCCCCCAAGGACGCTGTGGGGAGGGCAGTGGCTGAGGTGGGAAGGGTTGGTGGCTCTGACATTCCTACCTCCTCTGGGCTCCAGCTTACGACCTCTTGATCTTGAGTTCATGAAACACCTCAGCAAAGTGGTGAACATCATCCCTGTCATTGCCAAGGCTGACACCATGACCCTGGAGGAGAAGTCTGAATTCAAGCAGAGGGTGAGCAGCCCCTTTGCCCTTTTCCTGTCTAGGGCTTCCGTCCCCTCCTCTGGGTCCAAGCCATTTCCTACCTGCCATGTCTTCCACTCTGCTCCAGTTTCCCATCCTAACTCCCTCCCACTTAACCACCCAGGAGGCAAGGGCTAGAAGTTCCTGGGCCAAAGGTACGTCCATGCAGTTCCAGGCTGCCTCTGCCCCACCCTCCACATTTGTCTGCAAAGGCTCCCAGACACTCATCACTGGGAACCCAAGATCTTACTTCTCCAATGGTCGGGTTACTAGAAAGACTTGAAAGTACGGCCCACACTAGTACTCACTGGATGAAAAGAAAAGAACACTGAAGAAATCCTGGAGGAAGAGACTTAAGCTGGCCTTGAAGGAGTGCTAACAGAGAGCCCAGGAGGGCTTTATCTCCCTTCCTTGCAAAGAGGAGTAGAGCATGAAGGTCAAGGTTGTGAGCATGGCCTGTGGTGTCTGGATTCAGCTGTGCTGTTTGTCTGAAATCCCAGAGGCCTGAACCTGCTCCCACAGACTCTTCCTCTCTACTCTCAGGCTGGGTGGTGTCTTTTCTTGGGATCTTTCTGTTGCCCAGGGCCTAAGGATTATCAACACTGTAGTGCCTTGCTCCTCCTCCAGGTTCGCAAAGAGCTTGAAGTAAACGGCATTGAGTTCTACCCTCAGAAGGAGTTTGATGAGGATTTGGAGGACAAGACCGAGAATGACAAGATCAGGGTAGGTACCTCCTCAGTGCCTCCTCAGTACCTCCACCTCAGTACCTCCTCCTCAGTGCCTCCTCAGTACCTCCTCCTCAGTGCCTCTGGGATGTGCCTTCAGGATGTCCCTTCCTTCGCTTTTCCCTTACCGCATCCCCTGGTCACTTCTTCTGATCAGGAAGCAGGAAGACAGTGACCCTCACTAGGACTGTGAGCCCACAGCAGGGCTTCCTGTACCCAGTCCCTTTCACCACCAGATGATGATAGAAAGCCTCCCTGTCCTTCCTAGGACCTGGCAAAACCACAGTGTTAGGAGATAGGGCAGCAGGCAGGGAAAGCACTGGGATGGCGCCCAGAGGAATCTATGCTCTAGCCAAAGTTTGTTTCAGTTTCTCCCTTTATAAAATACAGAAGCTGGTGAGTGGCTTATAGGCTTTCTCTCTCCCTAGAAGAACTATATACAAAACAATCAAGGGCCAATGAGATTGCTCAGCGTGTAAAGGCTCTTGCTGCCAAGCTGACAACCTGATGAGTTGGATCCCCATGTGGTGGAAGGAAAGAATTGACTCCCAAAAGTCGCTCTCTGGTCTCTGTACACACTTGAGAGAACACACACACACACACACACACACACACACACACACACACACACACACACACACTATGTAATTAAGATTTTTAAACAAACAAAAAACCTTTGAACTCTAGTATACAAACCACCAGAACAGAGCTGCTTTGGCTGAGTGTCGTGGGCACAGAACTCTGCTGTCCCAGCAGGTGCTAAGATGCCCTCTGTGGTTCTGGCCCCACCAGGAACCGGGTTTGGAGATCATCAGCTCCATGCCTTCTAAGGTCTTGCCCCCAACTCAAAATTGCTACAATTCTGTGATTCTGCATCAGAAACCTGGGCCCATTGCCCAACCCAGTCTAATCTGTGACAAATCTCTCACCTCACAGCTTAGGTTTTTAGACCCTCTTAGACTCTTTTAGAAAGTTGAATAATCTAGCAGAAGCCTTTTATCTCTTATAGTTGGATAGATACTCAGTTGAAAGAGGCAAATGAATTAAGATTATCACTTAAAAATCTCCTTTTTTTTTTTTTTTGTTTTGTTTTTTTGAGACAGGGTTTCTCTGTGTAACAGCCCTGGCTGTCCTGGAACTCTCTTTTTGTAGACCAGGTTGCCCTTGAACTCACAAAGATCCACTGCCTCTGTCTTCTGAGTGCTGGGATTAAAGGTGTGCCACCACTACCCAGCATTAAAAAAAAAAAAAAAACCTTTTAAATGACATTAATTTACTTATTGGGATGGTGAGGGGGTGGGAGTTGGTCCTGCCCGTGGCATGTGTGGGGGTCAGAGGACAACTTTGGGGGGATAATTTTTCCTTCTACTATGGATCTAACTCAGATCATCAGACTTAGTGGAAGTATCTTTCTTTATTCACTGAGCCAGATAATTAGATATCAGCCTCAGATAATCACCTTTAAAAGTGATGTCTACAAATCTTGAATGTCTAAAAAGAAATAGTTTAGGAAGCTAAAATGTTAAAGTATGAGTCACATCCATCAGCCTACATATTTTTGTGGTGCTTCGGATGGCATCATCATCATCATCATCATCATCATCATCTCTCTCTCTCTCTCTCTCTCTCTCTCTCTCTCTCTCTCTCTCTCTCTCACACACACACACACACACACACACACACACACACATACACACACACACACACACTGGGCAGTACTGAGGATCAAACCCAGAGCCTTCAGTGTGCTAGGCAAGCACTCAATCACTGACCTGCGTTCTCAGCCCAAAGTCCATCCTTAATGCCAAAGCAGTTCACGTTCATCATCTTTCTGCATGCAAACGGCTCTACATGTATGTGTCCTCAGTTTACATATGGCATTCATGTGCTGCATGAAGAGATTTTGGTCAGTGAAGGGCCACATAAGACAGTGCTTCCCTGCAATCCTACCACCTGGTGACATGGTAGCTGTCTTATTAGCTTGCATACTTCTTATGCTATGAGTTCGCCCCATGGCACAATTGCCCATGAACTTTTCTCACAATATTTTCTTGTCATTAAGCAATACATGACTGATTTATCGGATGACAATAACACACACCAGGCAGATACATTCGGGTGCTTGTCCTGATAGAACAGAGCAGCCTAGGGCCCTGAGAGTTTAGTACCTGGGCATCTGCCAGTAGGTTCCATGGGAGCCACATAACACATCTCGGAGTCTGGCTGGCGCCTGGAAGGGGGGGTGCTGTTTGTGAGAGTCTGTCTAGCTAGCTCACAGAGCGGTTCCAAATCAAATGAAACTATGTGCTCAGGCACAATGAACCGTACAAAGTGCTCTCTAGTTGAAGGAAAGCCAGCTTTCTGAGGCTAACCAGCCAGACCACAGTGTAGTCAGGGTTCCCACAGAGTCCCAGCTCAGTCTTTTCAAGGGGCAGAGTCTTGACCTTACCCCCAGGAGCATCATTGAATGAGCAACAAAGGAAGTTGTGAAAGGCTGTCCTGCCCTTGGACGTTCGGTGTGGAGAAGAGGACTGAGCATGTGTGTTGGCTTGTGTCTTCCCCCATCTAGCAGGAGAGCATGCCCTTCGCTGTGGTGGGGAGTGACAAGGAGTACCAAGTGAACGGCAAGAGGGTCCTGGGCAGAAAAACACCCTGGGGGATCATCGAAGGTAAGTCGGTACATCTCCTGGAAGAAGTGGCTATCCAGAGGGCGGCTTAAGCATCGGGAGCCAAAGTGCTGTTCTGGGATATCGATGCCAGCCAGTGGCTGCCAACAAGGAGCTTACAGTCTGGGATGACAGTCCTAGGCAGGAAGCAATGGCACCATTTAACATGTGACCAGGTGGCAATGACTTGGCCTGTCAAATGAATTTAGAACCCGGAGAAACTACTGAGGGTGGAGAAAAAAAAAAAAAAACAGAGAAAGGGTTTCACATGTGACCTGGCAAAGTGCCAAAGGGTGGTTCGGCTGTTGTCTTAGTCTACCATTTATGATGGATAGATGTGACCTCGGGTGGGCCTTGATGATTCTGAAAGTTTTCAAGAAGTTACTTCAAGGGTCTCATTCAGGGATGGGGAGTAGCAGCTCAGGGATAGAGCGCTTGCTTAGCATGTGCAAGGCCCTGGGTTCGATCCCCTGCACAGTACAGACAAAACAGACCAAGAAAACAACCCTTTATTCAACATGGTAGCCCTGTAAGGAGTGCGCGCCAGGTGTTCCCGTCTTGAGAATATGAATCTCAGACAAGTTAAATGCTTTGCTTTGCAAAGGTCTCACAGTCCCCACCCACCACCAGCCGCTGCCCTGGAGAGTAAACCCAGTGCTTTTCCCATGCTAGTGAAACTTGAACTTCAGATTTGGATATTTTGATGAGATTTACTCCACTGTCCTGAATTGTTTATTATTAATAAATTTTGTGGTCCTGGTCATAGAACTCAGGGCCTTGCTGTGCTAAACAAGTGAGTTACCACTGAGCTAAATCCTTAACTAGTGTTTTTTTTAAAATACATAATTTATTTTTTATTTTATGTGCATTGGTGTGAGGGTGTCGGGTACCTGGCAACTGGAGTTACAGACAGCTGTGAGCTGCCATGTGGGTGCTGGGAATTGAACCCGGGTCCTTTGGAAGAACAGCCAGTGCTCTTAACCACTGAGCCAGCCCCTAAGTAGTGTTTGTTCGTTCGTTTGTTTTTGAGACAGGTTTTTCCTCTGTATCCATGGCGGGCCCTGAACATGTGATCCTTCTGCTCCTTCTCCCACATACTGGGATTGCAGTGGTGAGCTCCCGTGCTCACCAGACCCAGTACCTTGGGATTTTCAAAGTAGTGTTAGCACATTGTTCGCCTTGAGTTAGAAATAGTGATGAGAATGTTATATACACATTGTGAGACCAGAGTCTTGCCTTATCCTCCGGTTCCCACAGTTCTTGGCGTGTGGTTTGTAGACAGAAGTCTCTCCATCTCTGTTAACTGGGCTTTTTGTATGGAGTGTGACCTTTGAGAGCTGGTTCACTAGGAGGTCCTGTGTGTTTTACTTTGTTCCAATCATCTTAGGCCTTCACAAGTTCTTTTAAACTTCCACATTAGTTTTTTTGTAAAATGTGGGACAAAACCAGTCTATATTGAGAGTCATTCTCCGGTGTCTAGAATAGTATTGTGTCCATTATACCTGATTAAAAGTTAAAAAAAAAAAAAAAAGAAGGAAGGGAACCAGGCCACTAAAGAACCTGCCTAGAACCTCTCTCTCTGTCTCTGTCTCTGTCTCTCTCTCTGTCTCTGTCTGTCTGTCTCTCTCTCTCTCTGTTTCTCTTTCTGGTTTTCCAAGACAGGGTTTCTCTGTGTAGCCCTGGCTGTCCTGGAACTCACTCTGTAGATCAGGCTGGCCTTGAACTCTGAGATCTGCCTGCCTCTGCCCCGAGAGTGCTGGGACTAACGGTGTGCGCCACCACCACCCAGTACCTCGTGCTCTCTTTAAAGCTGCCTACCTTCTGGGCCCTGCGCTAGTGAACCAGCCTCCCATTTTCTTCTGTTTTATCCTTAGTGGAAAACCTCAACCACTGTGAGTTTGCCCTGCTTCGAGACTTCGTCATCAGGTAAGATGGTCTCCCTCTCCCCAGGGGGCAGGTTTAATTATTTGGGATTGAGGGCCATCTGCTCAGATTCACGTCCTGAGTTTCCATGTCTCTCTGACAGAGCTTTCTGGCCCAGTTCTAGCCCCTGTCTCAATGAAGGAGGGTTGAAGAACTGTCATTGGCCCTCAGGAATGGGGCCCAGTCATTGAGTCTGGTCTACCAGAGAGATGTGTTAGCTTCAGAGGTGGATCTCTTCCTCCTCTTCTGATGCTTAATTGCATCCCCTTCCCTTTTTTACTCTGTCCTCCAGGACTCACCTCCAGGACCTCAAAGAAGTAACCCACAACATCCACTATGAGACTTACAGGGCCAAGAGGCTCAATGACAATGGAGGCCTCCCTCCGGTGAGCGTGGACACAGAGGAGAGCCACGACAGTAATCCATGATGACTCCTTCTCTGTGTTATCTGTCACTCACATCCCACATTCTCCAAACACACACATGTCCCAGACACCACCTCCAGCCACCTTTTCCTTTCAGCTCTGTCCCACAGGCCTGTCTGGTATTTGTGGAGTATTTTGTCGTTTGTGTGTGTGTGTGTGTGTGTGTGTGTGTGTGTGTGTGTGTGTGTATGAGAGAGTGCCTGAGTGTGTGTGCTCAGGGGTGAGGTATTTTCATTGCCCTCTCTGGAAAGTTCTCTGTTAGTCTGCCTTCTCCATGACTATCCATTCTGTCTCCTTTTTTCTTGTGCTCCAGAACACAAAGCTGTACGCCTCAATCAAGAGGTCTGGGGAAGATTTTGTTTTAAAATGCTGGGAGCAGGTGAACCACAGGCAACTCCTTCTTACTTCTGACCCACCCACAAACTGGGGCTGCAAATATTCTTCACAGACAGGTGGCTGAGCTAGCCTGTGGTGGGGTGTCGGGGTTCGGAACAACCTTCGCTGTGAGTTGGGGTGGCCTAGAGGAAGGCTAGGACTTCTTGGAAAAATGAAAAGAAAGGTCATGGGGAGCAGAGAAGAATGCGGAGGGGGTTCCTGCAGGATTAGTGCCTGGACATGGAGCTCCACCCTTGGGTCTATGTCAAGGTCGCTGTCAAGCAGCGCCGTCACCATTACAGGCCACTGCTTTCTGTGTTCGCTTCGCATCTCAGGCTGGTTGGTTGTCTCCTCTTCCCGATTTCTCTCTCCACCCCTCCCCCAGCCGCCTTTCTTCATATATTTGTACATTCTCCATCTCTCCTGCCTGTCTCTTCCCTTCACTTCCTTTTCGAGTAATCTATGTTAGCTTCGTTTCTGTATTTAGAAGTCATACCCAGTCTACTTCCTAAATTGACTTTCTGCTGCCCTGAAATAAAATTATAACTAGGGGGCTGAAGAGATGCCTCTGTGCTTAAGAGCAACTTCCACTCTTGCAGAGGATCCAGGTTCGGTTCTCAGCATGTACTTGGCAGCTCAAGACTATTTGTGACTCCCCTTCCAGAGGATCAGAAGCCCTCTTTTAGCTGCCATGAGCATAGTGTATACATACATACACAGAGACAAACTCTCATATGCATAAGATAAAAATAAATAAATAATTTTTAAAAATCACAAGTAAAAGCATGGGACAATACACACTGAGACTGGAAGAGAAATCAGAGCTTTAGGGAATATAAACGTCAGTTTCTGCAGCTGAACACTGAAATTTGCCCTGAACTTGGGAGCAGCCTAGGCAAATAGGGGAACTTGGTAACTTGGGCTGCCCGCCCCCAGTGTTCTGTTCAAGGAGGCACACACGCTGGCCAAGTGAGGCAGCTTTTGAGCGGAGGACGTTACGTTTTCGAACTAATTCTGAAATATCAGAAAAAATATGTGGGATTTCTTAGGGGGCTGGGCTATGGAGACTCATTCTAGGACATGTTTCCCTTTCTCTAGAGCCTTCTTTCTGTGGTAAGCTGGCTTTTCTGTGGCTTTGCCTCATATAAACCTGATTCATTTTTCTCTGTTCTCATTTGTCTGTCTTTCTCTGCTTCTCCCCCTGACCCAGTTCTCCCACCTTCTGACCCTGTGGACTTCCTGGGAACACCGCGACCGTACATTTAGCCTTGTCTTGCCTCCTCTTTCAGGAGCCCTGTAGTAGTTAATGCGCACGTCCACTGCTCCTTGCACACACGTTTTTCTTCCTGTAGTTTCTAAAGCTGCTTTAAGGAAAACAGTTTAGGCCTTAGGAAAGGGAAGCGACCAAGGGATTCTGTTTATAATTGGTCTTATCCACTATCCCATCCCCTGGTCCAGCCTGGGTGTTTAACTGGTCCTCACTGAATGCTAGCATTTATAATTTCAGTCCTTTATCACTCAGGTGCTAGGAAAAACAAAAAAGATGGAAGACCCATGATCCAGTGGACCAAATGAAAGAGCAGGGAATGATCAGATCATGTGACCCCTATCCTATGGTCTTAGCCTCTCCTGGAGACTGCTCTCCCCTATATCTAGCCCTCACTCCTCATCCCTACTTCCCCATGAAGTTCCTCCAGAGCAGGCACCTGTCAGGCTAGAGTGGCGGCAGGGTTATAGAGCTCCCTTACTACCCCAGCGAGCTGTCACGGATGGCGACATGGAACTGGGTGCCTAGGGCCAGCAGGGGATAAGGATGGTGGGCATTGGATAGGCTAAGCAGGAGAATGGTACCTAACACCACCCCCCTCCCCCGGCTGTGGTCTCACTCTCCCCAGAGAAGCTGTTTTGTGTGTCTGCTGTGAGCTGCTGGTCTCCACCCCCTCAACCATTCTCAACTCCCCTTGCAGGGAGAAGGCCTCCTGGGCACTGTCCTTCCGCCTGCACCAGCTCCCCCCTGCCCCACGGCTGAATGAAGGCCATTTCAAGCGCTGCTTCTCCCTCATTCCTTCCAGCTGCCATTGCTGTAGGGCCAAGCCCCTTTTAATGCTGTGCTGGTCCAGCCCACCACCACAGCCCCTCTCGGCCCTCAGCAGGTGGGAGGGGCCAGCTGCCTCTTTAGGATAGTAGCTTCCTCCATGTAGCCAAACCACTCCTCTCCTCCTAATGGAATGGAGTTCACCTGCCAGCCAGCATTGCCCTGCTCCATCGTCCGTCAGCAGCCCCCGCCCATGCGTAGAGAGAAGGGACTCACCGAGAGCTTCTCCTGCCCTTGCAAGCCCATACCAGCGACTTGTAACCGTCTTTAAGGGACCCGGTATTGCTCCCTAGCCATTCATCTGCATGAGTACTCTTCTTGGCTCCCTCAAACGGTCAAGAAAGCAATTTTTTTCTGCTTGTCAAAGTCACTGAGGTCATCTGTGTGAGCCCTCCTGTGGGACAAGGGTGTCTCCTTCATTGCTTAAAGGTATTTATAAGGGTGATTCATTACAGATGTCGGGGAGCAAGAGAGCTAGCGTCACTTAAAAAAAAAACAAAAAAACAAAAAAACCCCCACCACTGGTGGCTGGCCCAGTGTGTGTATGTATGTGTGTGTGTATGTGTAGAGAACCTGTTTACCCCCCAAATACGGCCATTTGGGAAGTGGTTTTCCTGAAAAGATGTTGCTGGGTTTGACTTCCTTATCCCCAAACTAAAAAAAAAAAAAAAAAAAAAAGTGAATTAAACACACACACACACAAACCACCCCAAACCCACAAGCTATACACTCTAGGAAGAAAAATAGCACCCCTTTGTACATTTAGCAATAAGAGGGATCTCTTCCCACCTACCCTGACCATTCCTACTCCCATCCCCCACCCTATTAATGTGAGCAATGCACTAGCCTGACCTCAGGTGGTCGCTCTAGGCTAATGGAAACTACTCAATGGCGGGCCAAGCCCTCATCAGATGCATGAATGTTTGCGAATGTTGGCTGCCACTGCCCCATACACTGTGTCTTTATAGAACCCTGCCTTGGCCGCCTCACCTGCCATCGCCACCTGGATACAACTTGCTCAGAGGCTGGTGACTTGTGGGCCATTCATCTACAAGTCCTGTTGGAACAAGAGGCCCAAGCCTAGAGGATGCAGGAATGACCCGTTTTTTTAAAATGTTATTGGTCCCCAGCCACTGTTTTGGTGATATTCCAAGTTTAATTTCCCAGTTGAAAACAAGCCAACAGACACTCAGACTGGTCATGTAAATGTTGCTAGCCTCTGTGTTGTACAACTAAACATTGCTGTTTGAACAATAATGGCCTGGTCTTTGTGTTATTTGTGCTGCTTGCTCCTCCATCAAATCAGCCACGAATGACATCATCTCACCTGTGTGTGAGCTAGGGACCCTCTTGGCAAGAAGTAGCCATAGGTACTAGAGATTGAACATGTGTGATCTCTTCATTTTCAGGTGACATGAGGTCATATCCCAGTCATTTTCCTGGAACTTTGTAACCCCAGTGAGTGGAAGAGTTGACGTTTGATCTCACAGGTTCTGTGTTTTCCCAGAAAAGGATTCAGTCCCGTTTACTTAACTTCTTAGTGTCCGCTCTTTTTTCCCCAAGAACCAATGAAAGCCTAGTCTTGCCTAGAAAATGATTTTACCATGAACATATTAAAAGCATAAAGGGGCCAGTGAGATGGCTCAGTTGGAAAGAGGCCCTTGCTGCCAAGGCTGACAACCTGAGTTTGATCCCTGGGTTCTACACGGTGGAAGGAGAGAATTAACTCCCATAAGTTGTCCTCTGACTTCCATGTGTTCTTGTGCATGTGTACACGTGTACACACACACACACACACACACACACACACGTTTCACAAGGGACATGGGAGGTGAGTCGGCTGGTAAGAGTGATGACTGTACAATCATAAGACCTGAATTCAGATCCCTAACACCCTCATAAAAAAAAAAAAAAATAGGTATGGCGCCATGCTTACTTGGGGCTTGCTGGTCAGCAGCCTGCTTCCAGGTCCAGTGAGATATTCTTTTAAGGAAATAGAGGAGAGAGTGATAGGACTCTCTTCTGGCCTCTTCAAGTGCACACAGGCATGGACAGCCAAACACACGTGCACATATACTAATCGTACGCACAAAGGAAGTTAAACACTAGGCTTTTTCTTGAGTTTAGGACAACCTTCCCCTCACTGGGAGCTTATTAAACAATACAACTCTCTTCTGCTGATTATTTCCCTAAATGGTAGTGTGAACTGTAAGCAATCATTTGGTACCTTGACTTTCTGTGCTGTGAACATATGGTATAAATGAAGGAGGAGACACAGTTCGGAGGGGTCAGAATGGAGGAGGATGGGTCAAGAGGCTCTCAAAACCACGCAGATCAAATCATGAAGATGGCAACTCGAGGCAACACAACGCAGATGAAGTGAAATTTGATTGGTGGACATCAACTATCCCAGCCACGGGAAACCCAAGCACTGTTCTGACTCAACATCACCCTACACGCAGAAGGTAAAGTCCGGACAGCAATCTTCTTGTTTAAGGTTGCATTGGCAGGAGAGGCTAGATCAGATGTTTCCTGCTCTGCTCTGTACTACTGAATTTGATTTTTAATTCTAGTAAGTCTTGAACTTAAAAAAAAAAAAAAAAAGGATCTGTGCTACGTGTGGTGGCACATACCTTTAAACCCAGCACTTGGAAGGCAGAGGCAGGAGGACTTCTGCGAATTTGAGGTCAGCCTGGTCTACACAGCGAGTTCCAGGACAGTCAGAGCTACATAGACCCTGTCTAAAAAAAAAAGAAACAAAGAAAAAAATCTGAAATCTGGACGTGTCTTAGAATGACATGTCTGATTATTTGGCAATTTTTGTTTCTTCACTGGCATATTAATACTCTAGAGTGTCTTGAGTAATACAATGAGTGTGACACCTACCCGGAATTGGACCCACTGAAGGTTGAAATCCACAGTCCACTTCCTGACCTAGCTCACCTTTTCCGGATGTTCTCTCACAAGACCATTGGTTCTGATTCAATGCCTTCTTTGACGGAAGAAAGCATGGAGGAATGTAGACTTTTTTTTTTTTTTTTTTTTTTTTTTTGGTTTTTCGAGACAGGGTTTCTCTGAGTAGCTTTGCGCCTTTCCTGGGACTCACTTGGTAGCCCAGGCTGGCCTCGAACTCACAGAGATCCGCCTGGCTCTGCCTCCCGAGTGCTGGGAGGAATGTAGACCCTTGATCTGGATTGGTTTACGGTAATCTGGGCTGAGATTTTAGGCTAATGGATGCTTTTTAACCCCCCAGCTCCTAGCAGGACCAAGGGGGGCCTGGCTGTAGGTCTACACAACGAATTGTAGGATAGATCTACACACCCATCCTTCAGCCCCTCCCCGCTCTAGGGGTGGAGCCAGTTCCACGGACATGCCCCTCTCCCTCATCAGGGCTCTCTGGCCCCTGACTCCAGCAGTTCCTCTTGTGACAGCTGTCCCCTCCACTCCAGGTTTCTGCGCCATAATCTCCGCCCTCTCCTCAGGGCCCCGCCCCCTGCTTTGTAGGCCCCGCCCCCTTCCCATGTGAAGGGCGGGCGGTGGCGGGAGGGGACCAAGAGCAAGATGGCGGTGAACCAGAACCATTCGGAGGACCGCCGTGAGGCCCTCATCCCTCATGGCGAAAGGTGCCTGAGGGGACTTGCAGGCTGCTGTCCAGGAGGGAGGAGCTGCTCAGGGGTAGACTTGCGCGCTAGAAAGCCCTCCGCCAATCGAGGACTTTCCCGCCCTTTCCGGTCGCGTTCCCCTGAGCTCCGCCCCTGACGTTTGAGGGCATGCGCCATCGCGGGCGTTCCGGGGGGTGGGGTGGGGGGGGCCTTAGGCGCGTGCGCGGGGCGCCGGGCGCCAGGGCGAGCATCCTCGAAAGGCCTGAGCGAGGGGTGTGTGAAGAGCGGGTTAGCCCTTGGCATCGCGCGGCACGGCCGCCGCCGACTGTGTGCGACGTGACGGGGTGACAGTCCCCCTGAGGGCCCTGGGTGCAGCTCACGGGACCCGGGGTAGGAGCATTGGAAGAATTGGGGCTAGGGTGTGGAGTGTAGATGACTGTCGAAAGACCCCGAAATGTCGAGGCCTTTCTCAGAATTTCCCCAAAGCTCCCTTTTCTTGTTGCTTCAACTTGGGAGATGGGGAACAAAAGTAGGGGTGTCCAGGAAGAACGGCGCCCTCAACCTCGCACTACCGGCTGAGGCTCGTGCGGGGGCTTCTGTCAGGAGAAGCCTATCTCCAGGCAAACTCAAGACCTTGACCCCAATCCCTTCCTTAGTCAGCCCCGCACCCACTTTCCTTACACTCTGTCTCCACCTCCTCTGGATGATCTCTGCTGATTTTCCCTTTGTTTCCCGCCTGGCAGTGAGACGCCCATGCAATGCCGTGCTCTAATAGAACCCTGAGGTCAGTTCGAGGCCATAGCAAGTTCTAGCACAGCCAGAGCTGTATTGTAGAAAGATCCTGTCTCAAAAGAGGAAAGAAAAGAAAAATCTTGATTTAGAATCTGTGCTCTTAAATATGTACAGATAGTTTTTCATTGAACAGCTAATTATGACAAGTATTGTTCTTTGTGCTTCTAATTGCTGTGTCTGCAGTGAGGATCAAAACTATTTTTCTCGTTTCACAGGTAGGAATATAAGAAATAATTTGCTCAGAATGCATTTTCAGTGTATATGGGAAAGCCTGGATTTGGGTTTGAAATTACATGCATCCATTTCTCTTGCTATCCTTTAGAAAATTTTTTCTGCTTTCTCTCTATCAAAGACCCTATTGGTTATCTGGCTTTCCCAGATACAAACTGTTGTAAGGAAAGAGGTTTTTTTTTTGGGGGGGGGGGGTGCGGATTGGCTCTATTTTCTAGTTTTCCTTACAGTTGCGATACACATTTGAGAGTCTAGTTACAATCCGTGGTGTGTTGAGACTTAAGTCTTGCTATTTATTTATTTAGCTATTTAACTTGTGATTTTTATGCCTCAGCCTCCCAATGAGTGTTTGTAGTAACTAAACAAATACAACAAAACATCCCAGAATGTCTTAGATTTGGGGTTGAGCAAGGGTTTATTTACAGTGGAATACCAGCCGTTGGTAGTAATAATATAGATACTGACACTTAAAAGCATCCCCAATGTATTTGTAAATGAGGAAAATAAGTTACAAAGGGGTTGGGGGGACCACATATTTTAGTGATGAGGAAGAATTTAGTGATTAAAGTTGGAGGTAGAGTGTCTTGTCTGTATCTTGCCTTGGTATAGTACATGTTGAACAGACCTAATTAAAAACCTAACATGCTCCATTGAAGCCAGATGTGGTGATGCAAGTCTCCTGGGATTACAGATCTGTGCCCCCATACCTGGCTTGTAGAGAGTTTGTCATCATGGCTGAGAGTATGTACGGGCCAGGATGTGTTGTAAAAATGGAAAAGATTAAATTGCTTTATTTCATCCATTTTTTAAAAAATTGGGCAGATAATACTTGATGTCCCAATAGGAAAATCAGGGGGAAAATTAATTACCCAAATTCCAGTAGTTTTTGCATCTTAGTATGGCTTTCTCTGCACTTCTCCCTATGAAACTCACACTTGTTTCCCCCTCCCACCAGCTTTCTAACTAATTTTCCTCATTTGCCAGTATATTGGGGCAGTTTCCAGTACCCATAATCTATATTATTACTGTTAGTGGCTGATACTCCAGTGTGCATAAATCTTTGCTTAATTCTCAATGTGAACTATTCTTAGGCTTTCCCCACATTTATAAATGATACTATTTGGAATTCTTAAAAAATTAAAATTACATGTGTATATGTGCACGTGCCACAGCACATATAGAGGTCATAGGACAACCATGTGGGTCCCAGGGATAAATAAAACTTAGCTCACCAGGCTCAATGGCAAGTGCCTTTACTCACGGAGCCATCTTGCCAGACCCTGCTTGAAAATGTATCTTTACCAGTCTATCACAATGTGTCTTTGAAGCTGGTACCACCTGACTCTGTGCCTTACCTGTGATGCCAAGGATGCTGGGGGAGACAAGGAAGAGCCCTGGCTGAGACTTTGTTTTGGTGTCCTATCCTACCCCATGTGAAGAAACCAGTAGTGACTTGGTTTCCAGTAATAGCACAGTGTATGCATCCAATTTGTCCTTTTAGCCAACAAAAACGTACTGGTTATTATTTTTTTTTAAAGATTTATTTATTTAGTATGTATACAGTGTTCTGCCTGCATATATGGCTGCAGGCCAGAAGAGGGCACCAGATCTCATTACAGATGGTTGTGAGCCACCATGTGGTTGCTGGGAATTGAACTCAAGACCTTTGGAAGAGCAAGCAGTGCTCTTAACCTCTGAGCCACCTCTCCAGCCCACTGGTTATTTTCTAAGTGTAGTAAATTGTGAAGGTGACCACATTGAATGACAAAGATGCTAAGGACTGTGAAGGAAGTGTATTTATCAGACTTTTGGATAAAAGTGACACCCGAGCAATAAACAAGCAGTTATTTGATGAAGTAATAAAGGTAAGTATTGTTGTCAACAGTAGAGGAGTAGATGAGTTCATTTGAGGATGAAACTACTTTGAAAATCAGTTAGGGACTGTGGAAGAAGGGGACCTTCAGGTCATTTCTGTCCTAGAAATATGCTTGAAGCACGTCAGTCTCCAAAAAGGAGCAAAAGAAAGCAGATAAGTTGATATGAAGGGAAGATCCTGCTGAGTCAGGCCAAGGCGTCCCAACAAACCAAACCAAAGAAGATGAATGGAAAACCAGGGCAAAGGCCCCACAATATCAGATTCAAGATGGCCAAGGATAAAGGAAGAACTTAGGGTCTGGTGTTGTAATTGTGTTAGTATCATTAAGACAAAGGTCTTGTGGAGTACAAAGTTCAGCTGGCCAAAAATTAGAGATTATAGTTTTTTTTTAAATAGTTTTTAAAAAAAATTTTAAAAAATGGTTCATAGAAAACATTTTAAGAACTTTAAAGTGTTATGTTTCTATCTCGTTTTTGCCCAGTACACATTGAACATCCTGATCTAAAAATCCAAAATCTAAAATGCTCCACCAAATTCAGGTGTGATTGGGTTGGAGACATGGCTCATCTGTTAAAAGCATATCCTGTTCTGCTAGAAAACCCAAGTTCAGTTCCCAGAACCTATACTAGATGGAGCGCAGCTTCCTGTAACTCCAGCTCCAGAGGGGTCTGTCCTCTAAAGGTACCTGCAGACAGGCTTATACCACCTTTCTCTCTCCCCTACCTCCCCACAGAGGGCACACACACAATTAAAAACAATTATTCTGGGTGTGGCGGTACATATCTAAAGGTAAAACTACCTTGAAAATTGCAGCACTCAGGTTGATGTAAGAGGATTGTGAGTTCTAGGACAGCCTGGGCTGTATAGCCAGACCCTGTCTCAAAAACAAAACCTTTCAGCCTGGTCTACAGAGCAAGTTCCAGGACAGCCAGAGCTGTCACATAGAGAACTCTGTCTCGAAAAAAAAATTAAAAAAAACAACAACAACAAAATCTTTGAGTACTACCAAATAATTCATCTAGAAAATTTCACTCCATAATACTTTATTTTATGTATAACATTGTTTAAAATATCATATGAAGTTACCTTCAGGTTGTATGTGTAAGGTATATATGAAACTAATGAATGTCACATTTAGACTTGGGTCTCATTGCTCCCAAATCTCTTGTATATGCAAGTATTCCAAAACCCAAAAACTGTTCAGACCCTAAATAGTTCATTAAGAGATACTCAAGCTGGGTAGTGGTAGTACACGCCTTTAATCCCAGCACTTGGGAGGCAGAGGCATGTGAATCTCTGAGTTCGAGGCCAGCCTGGTCTACAAAGTGAGTTTCAGGACAGGCACCAAAAGCTACACAGAAACCCTGTCTGGAAAAACCAAGAAAAAAAAAAAAAAAAAAAGGAGAGAGAGATACTCAAGTTATACTAAAAATGAAGACTTATCAGTAATTAATCTTGAATTAATTTAAATAAGAGTAGGAAAACAATAACTATCACACTAATGCTGTTGGTCCCATTATAAAAGCTTTATTAATTTTTGATTGGTTTATGTGAGAATTTTTGTGTTTTGTGGTGGTTTGAATGAAAATGGCCCCCATAGGCCATAGGGAGTAGCACTACTAGGAAGTGTGGCCTTGTTGGAGGAAGTGTGTCACTGGGGGTGGGCTTTGGAGTTTTAGAAGCTCAAGCCCAGCTCAGTGTCACTCTCTTTCTGCTGCCCATTGATCCAGATCTAGAACTCTCAGCTCCTTCTCTAGCACCATGTCTGCCTGCATGCTGCCATGTTTCCCACCATGATGACAATGGACTAAACCTCTGAACTGTAAGACAGCCCCAACTAAATTCTTTCCTTTATAAGAGTTGCCATGGTCATGGTGTCTCTTCATAGCAATAAAACTCTAAGACATTTTTATTTTTTTGAGATTTATTTTCATTTTGTATGGGTGTTTTGCCTGCATGTACGTCTGTACATGTGTGTGTAATGCCTGTGGAGGCCAGAAGATATAGAATCCCTTGGGACTGTAGTTACATATGGTTGTGAACCACCGTGTGGGTGCTGGAAATCCAACCTAAGTTGTCTCCAAGAGCAGTTAGTGCTCTTAACAACTCAGCCAACTCTCTAGCACTGGTTTTTTTGTTTGTTTTTGAGACAGAATTTCACTACAGAACCCAGTGGATCACTATATTAGCCGAGGATGTAAGCCTGGAACTGTATGTATGTTTGTGAGTGTTTGGGCTGTAAGTATAGTGGATGTGCATGCATGTATTTTTGTGAGGAGTACAGTGGGTGTCCTCTTCACTCTCCTCATTTTCTGAGGCAGGATCTCTCACCGAACCTGATGCTCACTGTTTCAGCTAGAGCAGTGAATGAATAAACTGTGATCTGCCTGTCTCTTCTCCCCAATGCTGGGATTATAGGTGCATGTGGCTATTCCTATATTTCGAATGGATGCTGGAGATTTAAACTCAGGTCTTGTTGCTTTCACAAAAAGTGCTCTTATCCACTGAGGCATCTTCTTAGCCCTCTTGAACTCTATCCTCTTGCCTCAGCTTCCCAAGTTCTGGGATCAGGCATGTACTACCATGCCCAGCAGGTAGTTGGAGAGTTTAATTCATTTATATTTAATGTAATTGTTAAAGGACTTAGCATCTGCAATTTTACTCTTTGTTTTCTATACATTTCTGTCTTCTGTGTTCCTTAACTTCTTCACTACTGCCTGTTGTGTCTGATAGTTTTCCTAGTATACCATTTAATTCCATTCTCATTCCTTTTTTGGATATATTTTAGTGATTTTCTTTGGATTTGACCTGTTGACTATATTTAACATCTTAATTTACAGTAATAGAACTCAAATCAGTACCAACTTACTTTCAATAATATACAACATCTTTTGTCCTATGTAGCTCTGCCCACTCGCCAAACTTTACTGTCACAAATTACAGTTTTATGTATTACCACCATCACTATAAATGTATAATTATTATTTTATGATCTTAAACTGATCCTTCCACTGTAGCACCCCTTCCTCAGTCATGTAACTTCCCTGCTGAACAATCTAGAGCTTGCCATCCTTCTTGCCTGTCACTGAGTTCCCAAGCTCAAATCCCAGACAGCTTCCCAACTTGATCTCACTGTTCTAATGTTACTCATGCTGTGTTCATCCATGTGGCCTATCTCCTTCCAAGTAGGCAATTTGCTTTCCATTATCTGCATCTCCATGTCTATTAATGCTCTTGACTCCCCATTTGAATTGTTCCTGTTCCATTACCTCTGCCTATTTAAACACTACCTATTTCTTAAGAATCAGCTCTAGCTGATCCTTTCTATGAGATCTTTCATAGTTGTTTCCACCATAAATAATCCCTCCTGTTAAATTACTGGGACATTTTTGTGCCATTTAGATAGTACATGTCGCCTGTTACTTGCATTATGTTCTCTGTTCCTTTTACCTTTTTCATTTTCTTAAAATAAATATTTAGTAACTTACTCTTTGCTAGAGCTATAGTAGTGAAGCAGTTGTTGTCTCTAATAATCATCAGGGAGGACACTGAACAAATAAACTCAAAAAACACCTAGATTCTATGAGTGGAGAGGACACAAGTCCAAATTGTCCATTCAGAGTGAAGCCAGAGTAATGTGTGGGGTGGAGGGGGGCGGGGTGGGGTGAGTAGAAGTATCTATCTGTGCTTTGCTTTCTTTACCAGCTAAACATCCCAAGAGCCCAGTTCTTCCTGGTAATTGCACAAGAAATTTAAGAATTAGTGACAGACATTGAGAATAGAAGCAAGTTTGAGAAGACAGAAAATCCAGTGATAAAAAGGGAGAAGAGGGGCTACAGAGATAACTTGGTGGTTAAGAGCACTTCTTGCTCTCCTAGAGGACCCAAATTTGGTTCCTAGCACCCATGTTAGTCAGTTCACAATAGTCTGTAACTCAGTTCCAGGGGATCCAAAGCCTTCTGCTAGCCTCTGTGAACATCCACACACACGTGCATACATTCACACACACACACACACACACACACACACACACACACACACACACACACACACACAAACACACACAAACTTAAATGTATAAATAAAAGTAAAATAATTTTATTTTAAAAAGTATTGTGTGTATGGATGTTTACACACAATAGAGGGCATCAGAGCTCCTAAAACTGGACTTACAGACTATGGTGAGCTGCCGTGTGGGTGCTGGGAATCAAACCTGGGTCCTCTGGAAGAGGAGCCAGTGGTCTTAACTGATGAACCATTGCTCCAGTCTGAACAAAATCCCTTTAAAAAGGAAGAATAGGAGTAAATTGCCCAAGAATAATATTGCTTGGATCCATTTCATTTCCCTAAAATAAGAGTAGCAGCTAATGTTTATTGACTGACACCTTTGTTTGTACCATTTTGGTGTCTCCTTTGGTGGTGTTGGAGATCACACTTGGCCTAGCATGTTCTAGACAGGTGCTCTAGTCTAGAGCTGCATCCCAAGCCCTGTGTGTGTTCGTTTATGTACTTCTTAACATGTGCTAACACTTGCTTTCTGCAGTGTCTTGAAGAAGTCTCCAGATGTGGACTTCTCCTTCCCTCAGTCACCGCCAGGCTCCAACTTCTTCAGTGGTACAAAAAGGGGGGTGCTCTTTCTCACCTCATACCGGGTAATTTATACTTTTCTTGATTGGCTGATTAGCTTACATTTATTTTCCATAAGGCTGAAAAAGTTAAACGTTGGCTTTTAAGGTGTTTAAAAACACTTTTACTTTGAGACTTTCATTTTGAAGAAGGATGGAAGAAAAGAGGTGATGTTTCTTAATTAGGTCACAGTACTCAAGTGACCTTGGCCTTGCTTCTGCAAGCCTCTGTCCATGGACAAATTCTGTATTCCTTTTCCAAAGTTTCCTTCCTCACTTAGGTGATTTTTGTGACCTCACGTTCACTCAACGACCCCATGTTGTCTTTCATGATGCCATTTCATCTAATGAGTAACTGCACTGTTGAACAGCCAGTCCTTGGAGCAAACTACATTAAAGGGATGATCCAGGCAGCTCCAGATGGTAAGTTTTTCCTCTTAGAAGTGCCTCCCTAATACCCCCCCAAAGATTCTAGAGATGTAAGATTCTGACCTGTTTCATGTTAGAATTCAAACCAAAGCTGATCTGCTTGTTTGAGGGTGCCTTCCTCAGGGCTTGGAAGTATTACCATTTCTTCCCCCAGGTGGCTGGGAAGGATCGGCTACTTTTAAAATGATCTTCAGGAAAGGAGGTGCCGTTGACTTTGCCCAGCTGATGGCCAAAGCTGCCTATGCTGGTGAGTAATAAACACAGCAAATGCTTTAGCGGTTAAGGAGTTGGAACAGTACTATTACTCAGCAGAGACTGGCTAGCCTGTGGTCAGGCATTTGGTATTTCTATTTGACTTCAACAAGCATCTCCTGAGTTTACTATTATGTGTCAGATCCACACTGTGTGCTTATTTACCTCACCCTGTCCTGGAGTAGCTAGGAGCCTGTGCTCAGACACCTACATGACTAACTGCCTCCTGCATGGCTTGGTCCTGGAAACTGGACTGGAGCGACTTAGGAGTGAACAGACACACGCATGTACTAAAGGCTGGGATCCGGTGGGCTGTGCTCGCTCTGATGGTGCAGCACCAGCATGCAGCCCAGAAACTCAGTGTTTATATGAACAGCACGATGGAGGGCTGTAGCATGAATCTTAAAAGTTCTTATTAATAAAACAAACCTGGAGCCAAGTATTGGGGTGAACACTGGAAGATCAGAGAGACAGAACAAGCCACAGCTAACCTCACCTGGCCAACTTCTCAGCTGGTCTTGTTTCCTCAGACTGGAAGCTTCTGTGTCCTCATCCCAATGGCTCTCAGCTGAACTGTGCTGCTCAAAACCTAAAAGCTTAACCAGCCAAATGCTTAACCAGCCAAATGCTGCTAGTTCCTGGTCTTCACGCCTTATATATCTTTCTGCTATCTGCCATCACTCCCTGGGATTAAAGGCGTGAGTCACCATGCTTGGCTGTATCCTTGAACAGATGGATTTCTGCCTCTGGAATGCTAGGATTAAAGGCGTGTGCTACCACTGCCTGTCCTAAGTATCTAGTTGCTTTTCTGTTCTCTGACCCCAGATAGGTTTATTAGGGTACACAATATTTTGGGGAACACAATACCACCACAGAGGGCATGTAATCCCGGTAGGGCCTATGGGAATGGTCTCAGGGGTGAACAGCCCAGAGGAGCAAGTGTCGGTGCATGCTTTGTGTACACTCCTGTCACTATTTGTGCTTGGAGCCGAGGAAGGCTTCCAGTTCCCTGAGCCTCACCTGGGGAGGGCTTTGTCACCTGCATTATGATCTGCTTCCCTTCTGTGTGCTCCTACTGTCCCTGAGAGGGGAGTAGGGGTGCCTACTTCCCTACAATGCTGACCTAATGGCTGTACCAGAGAATGCTTTCTGTGACTGAACTACTCGTTTATGCTGTCTGTCTGTCTGTCTGTTTACCCAGCCTAGCTTCACTTCATGCCGCTCACACTTCTTTACAATCCAGTCAGGCCGATCTCTGGGCCTTATCCACTCTTCTCTTGAGCTGTCATTGTGCTCTTCAGGAAGGCCCTTTCCCTTTCCCTTCTGTTGTCCACCTCAACCCCAGTCTAGATGCTGAAAATGCAGCCCAGGAAAGATGACCATTTGCAGATAGGTGTATATCTGCTTTAGTAGAAGCTTTGAATATGGTGCCCCAGATACAATGGAAGAGTATAAATGTCTAGGTTAGTGAATGAACTGTGGTACTATATCATGGTCAAGAGCCATATCAGTGTAAGTCTGAAAGTAAATGAGTTCAATTTAAAAACATGTAATTTAGTACTTTTTAAATGTTTTCTATACTGGATAGTGGTCTAAGCCCTTCACAACCATCCGTTGAAGGTTCATAAAACCTTATGATATAGCCAGGCAGTGGTAGCACACGCCTTTGATCCCAGCACTTGGGAGGCAGAGGTAGGTGGATCTCTGAGTTCGAGGCCAGCCTGGTCTACAGAGTGAGTTCCAGGGCAGCCAGGAATACACAGAAAAACCCTGTCTTGAAAAACCAAGAAAAAAAAGAGAGAGAGAGAGAAACTCCTTATGATATATATACTAATATTATGCTCACTTGATAGCTGGAAAACCAAGTAAGTGATGATTGTATAGTAAGTACTATATTAGGTCCTAAATAGCCACAGGCAAAAGACAGAAGTTCTTTCTTTCTTTTTTTTAGATTTATTTATTTATTTATTATGTATGCAGCATATGTGACTGCAGGCCAGAAGTGGGCACCAGATATCATTACAGATGGTTGTGAGCCACCATGTGGTTGCTGGGAATTGAACTCAGGACCTCTGGAAGAGCAGTCAGTGCTCTTAACCTCTGAGCCATCTCTCCAGCCCCAAAAGACAAAATTTCTACTCTCAAGAAGTATGTGGTTTAAGAAAAAGGCCATATGTATTTTTACTTGGCAACAAGAGTATTGTTGGCTCACATGTAAGGTGATAGTTAATACTGTTAATTATTCAGTTCATAGCTGCTTATATATCTAATTTAAAACAATAAAGAGTTCTTATTTTGCCAAATTGTTTTCTCAGCTGCCCAAGGATTTCCACTCA